GGTATGAACGTACTCATGTGGGTATGAACATACCTGTCTAGGTATGAACCTACTCATGTGGGTATGAACATATCTGTCTGGGTATGAACTTCACGTTCACATAGATAGTCGTGCCTCATAGTACGTATCGTATGGTACGGAAGTACAGTAAAACACTAGTTTGCTGAGTGATCCTTCTAGAAATCGCCGATCGCCAATTTTTTCGACGTTCTCGTAATTGCTCGAAATCATGGCATCACAGTATCGAACGTTTAAGGTGAATCTTCGGAACAAATAGCATTATTCTTCGTAATAATACACAATCAACTTTCGTTCCAAACAGCACTATTCAATTGCAGCACCGAAGAATAGCAATTGACCGTTTCAATATTGTTCCTCGTACTCTTCGATTCGATTCGATTCGATCCGCTCCCGAAACAAAAATTGTTGTACGAGCTGAAAGCCAAGAAAACAATGTCGTATAGCGATGACGAGAAACGTCTTCGTATGGGCTGTTCGTCCACAACGATGGGAAGTATTCTTAGTGCCAGGAACAACGACCTTGGTGAAGAAGCATACATGGAATACGATCAAAAAGAAGCCAGCATGTCGGTCAATGAAGAAGGAGAGGAATTCTCTGGCCACAAGAACGACGTGGGAACAAGAGACAGGGATGTGATAAATCACCTCGTGGACAACGACGAGAGCATTGAAGTCGACGAAGACATTGTTGAAGAAACATCTCCTCCGGTTTGCGAAGACGCTGTCGTTAATAGCGACGGTAATAACAGAGACCAGCAGTCGCGAGTATCTTTTTCCAAATCGATTGCCTCCATCGACACCCTGGAACGTGGTCACCCGTCTCGAAAGACGAATAATGATATGAAATCGCCTAAGAAGAATGCACGCACCTCTTCTGCTCGCAGGCTCTCAGCTCAGAGCAAAAAAGCGGCTTCGCCAGCTTCGCAACCAAAATCCTACATTGCACGCATACTGGCAAACCACCAGCGTGTTCCGGGAGGTGCTGCGGCAAAATTGATCGGGCGCCCGGACGACAACGAAGGGGATTATTACCAATTCGTGAACGACGGAGATGATGCTCTGGAGGTTGCCGCACCCTTGGACGAACTGATGAAAAGTCGCGACATGGCCAAGGCCGAGTTTGAGAAAGGACCAACACAGAACAAACGCTACCACGCTGCTGTCAAGGAAGACAGTCGTGCTTCGGCTATCTCGTCGGTCACCGACGGGACCGTCCCACGTATCTTGGACCGTGACGAAGTCTTTCACGAGAATGCCGAAGCGGCGCTTCATTCGATTTTGACCCCGGCAAAGAAGCCCGAGCCCGAACTCGACGAAATTGTAGAATTTCGAAAGAAGTTGAAAAAGAACAAGAAAAAGACGGAGAATCCGTCAAAGGACCAAATCGTTCGAAATTTGCTCACAAGCAAAACGGAGCGCCATCTAGCCACACTCAAGGAGAGAATGACTGATCCCAGCAAGAGCCTGACCGAGCTAATGGAAGCGATTGCTAGTCCGAAAGACGGAGTCTTTGATCGTCACTATATGGTCCGAAGAAAAAATGCGTGTGGGGCCATGAAAGTATTGACTTCCAACGCCTCGCATCGTGTGAACATCTGCTGGACACTCGGGGTGCTTCCAGCCTTGACTTCCGTACTCGAGGATTCTGGTCCAGCAGCACTGGATGAGCAGTACCCGGACAAAATCATTCGACTAGAGTACATCGAGGCACGCAATCGAGCTGTATCTGCTCTCATCCATTTGGCAATGCCCCAAAACAACAAACTCCCTATTTTTCATTGCCCCCGCTTAGTTCCCTCCTTGGTTCGTGTAATTGAACAGGACGATGGCGAAGCAAGAAGAGGTTGCTGCTTAGTATTGGCTCATTTGAGCAAGAGCAAAGAAAATAGGTTGATCATGGCACAGATTCCTGGTTTGCTCGATGCCCTTGTGGCTGTGATCGAACCAAAGGAGAACTTCGCTCGCTCTGAGAGCAGCGAAGATTCCATGTCGTGTCGTAGCAGCCACGATACTTCTGATATCGACATTCATGATCGACTTTCGCAAGAAGACAATATAGACTTGAATCTCTCACAAAAGAGCACCGTCCAGTCTTTGTCGCAAGATCCGGCTGAGTTGTCTGTTAGGTATGACGAAGACCCCCAGCCATTTTTACACGGTGCTCGCCAAAATGTCTTCGCCTGTCTCGGTTACTTGGTCAAGGAAAAAGAAAATGCATACGTTCTTGCCAGACATGTGCAGCTTGTCAATACGCTTGTGTTCATTACGAGGCTCCAGGAAAGTTCTTCGCAAGAACATGCTGTGAAGATTTTGGCCAATTTTTCTCGCCATCGATCTAATTCGAAGTTTCTGGTGTTCAAAATCAGGGGTATTGTACAGGCGGTTGTCTCTGCTACATATTCCGAAAATACAGAAAGCCGCAAGTATGCGTGCTACACTCTCCAGAATTTCTCGCATGACAAGCCCTGTCGGCAACAACTTGCGTTGATCGACAACCTTTTGGAGGCAGTTTGCGCCCGTATCCGCGAACCCGCAAGTGGCGACGAAAAAATGGCGGCTTTGCATGCCTTGAAAAACCTAACAGATGAACCAGCAAACCTCATTCCGATGACAAATACTCCCGAATGCTTTGCGACGTTGATGCAAGTTGCCCATGCCGACAGTCACAGCATTACCGAAGAGATGCAATACATTGCCTGTGATGCGCTGGCGACGTTGAGCCATTGGTTCCGTTCGATAGCAACCAGTGGACAACGTATTGGGATGACGCATCCCGAGGAAAACGCCAATCGCTTTGCAAAGGATGAATTGTTTGTTCCTTCACTTCGAGTTTTGACCTGGGAACCGTGGCAATAAACAAAGCCTGCTCTTTTCTTTGCGAAATAAATCGAATTCAAAAAATTTAGTTCAAAATTAGCATATTCATTTCATTGTTCAACCAAAGGTTTTAATACTAGTGTAATAATAAATTGCCAGCCTTCCTACTATTTCTAATTCGGAGTAGTTTTTCTTTTCGGAGAGCACGAGTTTGAATCCACCAAGGGTGCCTTCTTGATTGAGAGAACGATCATGTTTGTGTCTTGTTGGATGAATCTCAACGATTATGACTGGTATGAAACGGGAGGTTTCGGTCCGGCCGCTAAGATGCCTCAGGAATAATTATTGCTCTTCGTAGACGGAGAAAGGCTTAGTTTGTGGCCATTTGACGACATCACGCAACAACATTCTGAATACTATAGAAAAATTATTTAAGACTATTTTAAAAGTGTAAGCTCTACTAAGGAATGGATCTATTTTTCATTGTCTCCTCCGAACAACCCTTGAGACACACAATGCTTTGTGTATTTAGGTGTACCATGGTGCACTTTATCCTTCTATACAATACAAAGAGCAGCAATCGCATTTGTCGATGAAACAGTCGCGCTTTATTCCAATTGAGGGACTTCTACAGATCCCCTCTGGAATTGATCCGGTCAGGTTGTTCATGGAAATATCGAGAATTTTCAATCCTTGAACGTTTCCCAATGCCGACGGAAGGGAGCTTTCCAATCTATTGTTATATAGATACATTTCATTCAAGTTGGTCAAGAGGCCAAGTTCGGAAGGCACAGAACCCGTCAACCCTCCTTCCGTCATGCTCAAAAATTTCAAATTTGTGAGTCGACCCAGTTCGGTAGGGATAGGGCCACGGAATTTATCAACGTGAAGCGATGTCAAAGCTTGACAGTTGCCTAGTTCGGTGGGAATCGTTCCGGTGGTATCGTCTACCACCAAGTTATCCAAGATAAATTCCTTGAGATTTGGTAGTAGCCCAAGCTCGGTTGGAAGGATGGAAGTGTTCATTGAAGTTTGTTCAAGCCATCTGAGAAGGAGACGAAGGAACCAATCAACGCAAGAAGCTCATTTGTGATTCAAGTGTCGAGTCCATGATTGAAAAGATACAACCAGAAAAACGCGAAGAACAAAGAGGGAATCAAACTCACATATACTTTAAATTAGTATTTGTTCCAATTGTGGTGGGAATCGTTCCAGTGAAAGTTGATCTCAAAATATCGAAGTACGTTAGATTTGGCCAATGCTCAGAAAATTCAAGAAGAGGGCCAGTCATTTCGGTTGCATGCGAAATAGATATCTCTTCCAATGAAGACAGGGATTTCATCGCGTCCGTTGGCACTTCACCTGTCAAGAAAAGTTCGCCCAGATAGAGTGCCTTGAGATTGGTCAGCTTGGAAATATCCGAGCTGATAGTAGATAAAAATCCATTGTTCCTCATATCTACGCGCTCTAGAATCCAGAAAAGTGAAGGAGAAATATTGCGGTGAACCAGAAAAGAATCAGTATCGATAGACATAGCACAGAACCCTTGCTACTGTATTCGTACCTAGTTTCGTCAATTTATTGTAAAGGAAGGAAGGAATAGTCCCTTCCAGGTTGTTGCTTTCGACGTTGAGAGACGTAAGCATTGACAGCATTCCAACTTCCCCGGGGAGGCGACCCCTGAGCTTTCGGTATCCTACGTCCAGGGTATTGATATGTCCTTCCAAGTCGCACTCTATTCCCATAAATCTGCATTCAGGAACGTTCACCAATTCCCTCCAAGAACTGTCCGACCATAGTTCGCCATTGGTAGCAAAGAACAATACCATAAGTGCATAGCGTTGCACTAGGGGGACAGTCGAAACGGAATCTTCGTCTCCGTTCTTTATGTATTCCGCCATGGCCCGCACCTCCGTCGAGTTTAAGACAAGATCATCGGAAACCAACCAATCAATTGCTCTCTTCTGGGGACCCTCGACGAAATCGGTCGACAAGCCTTCGTCCATCTCTGTGAAAAGGATATACTCAATGTCACTTCTGTACGCGATGAGATCACGGTCTGGATCTACCTCCGCCAACGTTGCGGGAGACGAGCTATCGACATCGGTGGATCCGTCTGAGGTGGTGTCTTGAGACGGTGGTGATTTGTGTTTGTTCTTCACCGTTTGGACGTATCGGGTGACAGCGAATGCGAGGCCAGCTGTAGCGAGAAGCAACATGACATAAAGCGTTATGAAAAGGGGACGATAGGAGTTTCGATTCTTTCTTTGGTCTTGCGCTCGGTAGCCATCGTCGCTTTCCACGGGAAATCGTTGCACATTCCCGTATTCCACGTTGGCTTCAGGTTTCGCATGTGGAGATGGATAAGGATCGGATGTGGCCAGCATTGTAACACTTTTGTGGGAGAATCAGATCTTTCGGTTGTCCAAGCAGTGCAGAAATGTTCTGAATGCAAAAGTGAACATCAAGAGTAAGTGCAAACAGAGCATGAAGTATCGATAAAAGTGAAAAGCGATTGACATCTTCATGTCGAATTCTTGTGAGAAGCTTCTCACCGTCGTGTTTTTCGTACTGTACTCACTGCTGTCACGTTGAACTCGTACTGATTTCTACAGAATTTTCAGATTTGGACCACTCCACGACTGCAAAATTCATCGCCAGTCCGGGTTTCAATCAAAGTTTGACTCACCCATGGATCGTGATTTATGATTCATGATCTTGCCTATCAACTTATCAAGAGTATCGTATCCAGACAGATATGTTCATACCCACATGAGTACGTTCATACCCATACAGGTATGTTCATACCCACATGAGTACGTTCATACCCATACAGGTATGTTCATACCCACATGAGTACGTTCATACCCAGGTGGGTATGTTCATACCCACATGAGTACGTTCATACCTAGACAGGTATGTTCATACCCAGGTGGGTATGTTCATACCCACATGAGTACGTTCATACCCAGACAGATATGTTCATAATCGTTATGATCATAGAAGTACATCATACATCATACGGTACGGTACGGTACTGTATCATCAACCTACGTTTGTAATGGATGTCCGTACGAGCTTGTACAGCTCGAATCTAGAATACGGAATACGGTACGTAGTAGAATGATGAATGATTCAAGATTCAATTACCTTTTTATGTATGAATTATATGTATAAATTATTTGTAGGAATAATATGTATGAACACATATCTGCATGCCAGAAACTTTGGCGTGAAGCCGTGAAGTTCTTTCGTTTGACGTCGTCTGTCGACTTTTCAGACCGTGCAGCAGCCGTATCCACAAGTTTCATCCTCGTGAATTAAACATCCAACTGTTGTGCAATTACTTCGGTACTTTGGTTGACTTCCTGCGTCCGGATCACCTAGAAATTTCCAACAACAATGGATCAATAGCGAAGGATACGATGCTGACTTGGTAGCGATTTGCAGCGGCAAATCAACTTAACAGTCAACTTAACAGCCCAGTTGATCTCTTTCAGGCATGGGTGCGGTACGGTACGGTACGTGAATTACGGTGGTTATATTGTTTTCTCACTTTGTTGCGTGTATTGTGGAAATGAATGGGATGGAGTGAAACGAAACGAAACGAAACGGAATGGAACTTGAGAAACAACGACCGGTCCCTATGATATACACTTTTTTCGAGAGGCCCCAGTACGGTGACAGGAGGACTTTTTCTATTGGTTGAGATTGTTCTCCTTCCCGTGGGATCCTTGCGTCTTACCGTTTGTGTGCTTTCTTAAGCTTTCCCTATAACGTGCTGGTGCTCCTTATGGCTGGAGCTTACGGCAGAGGGCTTTCGATCGTCGCAGACAAACGCTTGGATGGGTGCCGAACCTTCGGAATCGGGAAAGGGAAACTAGTTTCTTTTTTTTGGTTCGCATCGGACTAGTAGGCATTGCGCTGATGCATCGCTGGATTATGAGAGATGAGGGATTCCGGGCTTTGTTTCCAAAAAAGCAATCGAACCCGTTTAATGACTCTCGTTCCACCCACCCACCCACCCCCTACACACTGTTCCAAAAATACCACCCGCAACGCGCGACGATCTTGGCTAACGATGTTTTTCTCCTGTTTTTCCCTTTGCAGCGGTCTCTGTCTGCTCTCTGTTCACCCTTGGTGTTTACGGCTCGGCACTGACCACACAATCGATAAAACCGTTCGGGACATCGCTCCCCAAGCCTGCAAGCAATATTCATACGTTTATTGAATCTCGAGTTCTCTGAAAGTCAACTCTTGAACCACAAACGGAGCAAAAGAAGGGATCGTGTTTCATGGGAGTCCGGAGACGTGCTGCTCTGCCTTGTACTGTTCATTGCTGGCAATGCAACGCACTGGAAACCGATGATTTGGTTCGGTTGACTCGGTTGCCTTTGTTGCGCACTGGATATCACTGTCCTCGGCGTTTCCGTTTCCGGTTTAGTGAAAAATCCGCAAAGCCATGGTGCACATTCTGTGATGCGTTCCCGATCTACATACGGTACCGAATCGTAGGCTCTGGATTCAATGTCACAAACTTGAAAGCATCCCCGCAATCGAAGTCTGTGTTTCTCGCAAGAGGCAACCGAACGGGGTTCTGTGCCCATGGTTTGTCCTTAGGTTTGGTTTGAGCTCATCTCTTGCGCTGAATCAAGCAGCGATAGCCAATCACCAACGGCAATCCTTCAATTCAAACAATCGTTCCTTTGCCAACCGAAACCGATCCCGAGGACCCTGGGGGAAACGCGATGCGGGAAAAGCGTTTGGTTTCCTCTTATAGGTCGAAAGAAACGGATGGAGCTGTCCAGCTGTCCTGCAGCCGAGAACGAGTCGCAGCGCCGTGCAGTCGGGCCGATGTATACCATGTTTCCCGACGAGGACGCCTGCCACGGCCTTGCCGTTCGGCCACCCCACGGAGATTGTTCCAAAACACAATCCAGGAAACAGACAGACATCGCTCCCATCATCTTGCAAGCAGCACTTGCAATCCAAAATATACAGTATCGGTTGAGCTACTTCTCAAACGGAGCCACTAAAGTTCTTAGATATGCATATGCATAGCGTAGCTAAGGAAAAAAGGACGGCAACATAAGCAATGCACTAAACTACGAGTACCCTAATTGAAAACGAACCAAAGCCGTCAAACTATTCTGCGTCGTGGGTGTCGCCGAAAACGGCTCCGGCGCAGCACCTCACTCTCGCTGCCTGCTTTCGGACCCGGTGGTGTGGTGTGTGTGTTTTGTGTTGTGTTGTGTGGTGTGTGTTTTTGTCTTGTGTGTGTTGTGTTGTGTTGTGGCGTCTTGTCTGTTGTGGCATCTTGTCTTGTCTTCGTTGTGCCCGCCTCACACGCCCGCAACCTCGATCAGGACAAAGCACGAGCCGATGCAAAAGGCCGTCCCCAGCAGCAGGCCCGCGAGCCACGGGACCACCAGCAGCCAGTACCACCAGGTCGCGGCCAGAAAGGCCACCATCGAGAGGGCCGCCAGGGCCGGGCTGGTGTCGGCCAGGCCCGTCTTGTCCAGGAGTCCCACCGAGGACGAACCGGGCAGGAGGACCAGGCCGACCAGCCGTCCCGTCAGCGGCTGGTGCGGCTCGCACATGACCGAGACGCTCTGCGCCGCCATCGGGAGGATCTCGCCCCACTCCCTGTGGAGCGAGAGGCCCGTCCGGCGGCTCCCCCACACCAGGATCGCCAGAATGTTCCGGGAGCTCCCGAGGACCGTCACGTACAGAATGACGAGCATCCAGAGCACCAGGAAGGACTTGTGCAGGGGCCAGCAAAAGGAGGCCACCAGGTTGCGGCAGGGCGTCGTCAGCGTGACGTGCTCCAGGAAGCGGGCCACCGCCAGGAGGGCCGACTCCGGGAGGGCCGCGAGGTCCCCCACGGGAGCGCAGAGGGGCTCCTGGCGGATCCACCAGGCCGTCTCGACCGAGGTCTGCGAGAGCCGCCGCAGGTAGGCCTCCCGGGACTCGGCGGCGGCGGCGCACAGGAGGGGAATCGCCGCGAGGCCCCTGGGGGTCGGGGACGAGGGCAGGGCGCTGCCCGCTCCTCTGCTTCCCGCCGGGGTGGTCTGGGGGGTCCGGGTGGCCCCGTTGGGCGGGGTGCCCCCGCTCTGGCTGCCGCTGGCGTTGCCGCTGGTGTGGGGGATCGGCGCCCCCGCCGATCCGTAGACCCTCAGCTGGCGGTCGGCCTCCTGCAGATAGAGCCGCATGGACTCCTCCCTGGTCTTGCCGCTCTTGCTCCGCCAGGCGTTGTACTTGGCCCGGTCGGCGGCGCTGGCCGAGGAGGGGATCGACGGGGGGGCGTCCCCGCTGACGGCCACCTTGTGGTAGGCGTAGAGCTCGAGCTTGTCGCGGTTCGACGGGACGCTCCCGGGCTTCCAGGCCTGCATGATCCCCACCTTTTCGCGAAAGGCGGACCGGAGGCCGGTCCCGGTGGTGCTGGCGCTCGAGTAGCTCTGGTGGCTGGCCACGCTGCTTCCGCCGGAAACCATGGTCGGATTCGGATGCGGATGAGGATGCGGATGCGGACGAGGATTCCAATTGGATGGATTTGTTCGGTCGGATGGATTCGGAACCCGAAAAATTCTACGGTAGCTGGTTAGGCAGGAGGCGTTGGTGGTTTCTTCCGGGAGAAAGTCGGCTCGGCAGCTTTCCTTCGTTTCCTTCTCGGTGTGTTCGTTCCCGGTCTAGGATCGTTGGTTGTCTTTGGTGCCACGGGACAAAAGTTCCTGGTTTGCTTTTGTGTTCCGGCATGCACCGTACGGGTACGGTATTGTACAAGTGACCAGTCGAGAAGAACGTTTGGAAAACGAAAAGCGCCTGGGCAACGCGGGACGGATGATGTCGTCAGTTTGCGAGCGGAGAAAAGACGGAACGCAAATTTTTGGGTCATATTTTAGTAGAAGTACCGTACTTCTACTACCATCGGTTTCAGTGCGCGAGGCGAACGCTGACTACGAACTAAGAGTACCTGTACTGGCGGGTACTTGTACGTACAGGTACACCGCGAGGTAGGTTCTCGGAGAGGATTGTTCGACCTCCTCGAATGCAATACTTGGTTCCGTATTGCTCTTATTCGACTCGTTCGAACAGAAGATATTTGTGTCTGCATTCCCTACGATTTGGTAGGTACTAGTAGTAGGTGTACTTCATGGTACTGTACTCGTAGGGGTACAAGTACATGTACTCACGGTTCCCAGAGCGCGTCATGATGGGAGTGAGAATAATGGTGTCAGTGATCCTCTCCTTCACTCGCCGGTGCCGAAACCAAACGCTGAACCCGGAGGGCAAATACGATACGATACGTCCTCTCTTCCTGCGTAGAACTACAGTAGCGTCAGTACGGGTACTATTCGCACCGCTCCAGGAAGGAGGCGGTCCCAAGCAGCGGTCCGTGATGGCTTCCGAAAAACCTTTCGCTTGATGCCCATCGTTCGACACGAATGGCTTCGGAGGAAGGCGGAAGTTCGTATTGGTTTTTGATTTGATTTGATTTGATTGATTGATTGATTGATTGGCAGTTGATTTGCAGTTGATTTGCAGTTGATTGATTGATGGATGGATGGATTGTGATTGATCTATGACCCCAGCAGAGATACCTTAGAGGCACAAACAACAACACCCCGAACCGTAAATCGAGTCGTCCACGAAAATTCATATCCGTCGGCATCCTTCGCAGCACACAAAACGAAGCAAGGCACATTGAACAAGCGCAACAACACATACCGAAACAAACCAAAGCACATCCGACTAACAACACATCAGAAGAAGAAGAAGAAGAAGAAAGGAAGGCACAAAAATGGTTCGAACTACCGCCGCATCCTCCATCGGCAGGAGGCTAATCATGGTTGCCCGAGGAAGTGGCAACGTATTGTCGTCCTTTTCGTCGTCGTCGTCGTCGTCGTCGTCGCCGAGGCTTGCATCCACAACGCCCCGGCGGACCGTCGCATCGGTTTCTGTCGCCGCCGGCAACGATCTCTGGACGAGCAGAAGGCACGCCAGAAAGGAAGAGTCACCACCGAGGAGGAGGACGACGACCGGGGAAACCCGACACCTCTCCCTTTCGTCTGCGTCGTCGCCGCCGACGCCGTCTGCTTTGTCGTTCCCGATCCGCTCGCGGAGAAAAAGCCCGCCGGCGGAAGCAGCAAGGGACCGAGCCGGTGGCCACCGCCGCTGGCGTTCGTCGCCGCCGGAGGAAGACGGGCGGCTGCTGGAGCCCCGCGAAAGCATGGCCTTTGACGTGCTGGTCGTCGGCGGGGGACCCGCGGGGCTGGCGGCGGCCATCCGGTTCAAGCAGCTCTGCCTGGAGCAGGAGACCGACCTGTCGGTCTGCGTCATCGACAAGGGGAGCGAGATCGGGTCGCACATTCTGTCCGGCAACGTCTTTGACCCGCGGGCCATCCACGAGCTCTTTCCGCAGTGGGCGGGGAAGGCCGGGAACGACGAGAGCGGGGAGAATCCCCACTGGACCGAGGTCTTTTACGAGAGCCAGGGATCCAGGGCGACGCCGGTGGAGAGCGACGCCTTCCAGATCCTGACCGAGGGCGGGTCCGCCTACCCCGTTCCGGGGGTCTTTTTGCCCAGCCAGCTGCACAACGACGGGAACTACATCCTGAGCCTCTCCCAGCTGTGCCGGTGGCTCGCCGAGGAGGCGGAAAACCTGGGGGTGGAGATCTACCCCGGCTTTGCCGCGAGCGAGGTCCTCCTCTCGGAAGAAAGGGAAAGCAACGGGCCCTCCGTCCTGGGGGTCGCCACCCGCGACGTCGGCATCGGCAGGGACGGCCTTCCCAAGGCGACCTTTGAGCGGGGGGTCGAGCTCCGGGCCCGGCAGACCCTCTTTGCCGAGGGGGCCCGGGGGTCGTGCTCGGAGTTTCTCATGGAGAAGCTCGGCCTGCGGGAAAGCGAGGCCGTGCAGAACCAGACCTACGGCCTCGGGATCAAGGAGGTCTGGGAGGTCCCCGAGGAGGTCTTCCAGAAGGGACTGGTCCAGCACACCCTGGGCTACCCCCTCCAGTCCTCGCCCACCGACAAGACCTTTGGGGGGAGCTTTTTGTACCACCAGGAACCCAACCTGGTCCTGGCGGGACTGGTCGTCGGCCTCGACTACAAGAACCCGAACCTCAACCCCTACAAGGAATTCCAGAAATGGAAGACCCACCCGGAGGTCCGGAAGCACTTCGAGGGTGGCACCTGCATCAGCTACGGTGCCCGTGTCCTGAACGAGGGTGAGTAAATTAAAGGGATTGGATTCCTCCGGGGGAGCCGCGATCCCGCGCTGTCCGGCCTTTCGAACCACGACTGACCCACCCGTTGCGTTTTTTATTGTTGTGCCAATGCTTTGTCGCCTCTGCTTTTTCGCTGGTTGGTTGGTTCGTTCGTTCGTTCGTTCCCATTCTCGCAGGCGGATACCACGCCATTCCAAAGGTGACCTTCCGGGGCGGCGCCCTCCTGGGCTGCGCCGCGGGCTTTCTGAATGCGGTCAAAATCAAGGGCTCCCACACCGCCCTCAAGTCGGGCATGCTGGCGGCGGAGGCCGTCTTTGAGGGCCTGGTGGCAGAAACCGACCAGCCACCGGTGGCGGAAACCTTTGAGCTGAGCGAATCGTACCGGCCGACCGAACCGGCCTCCTACGCCGACAAGCTGGAGGCCTCGTGGATCTACGAGGAGCTCTTTGAGGTCCGGAACGTCCACCAGGCCTTCTCCAAGTGGGGCGTCGGGGGCGGCCTCGCCTACTCGGGGCTGGCGACGCATTTCACAAAGGGCCGGGAGCCGTGGACCCTGTCCCACGAGACGACCGATTCGTCCGAAACCGAGGAGGCCTCGGGACACGAGCCCATCGACTACCCCCCCCCGGACGGAAAGCTCACCTTTGACCTCCTCACCAACCTCCAGCGAAGCAACACCTACCACGAGGAGGACCAGCCGGCCCACCTGCGGATCCGGCCCGAAAAGGCGGAGGTCCCCGAAACCGTCTCGCTGCCGGTGTACGGCGGACCGGAGCAGAGGTTCTGCCCCGCCGGCGTGTACGAATACGTCGAACGCGAAAGCAGCGGCGGCGACGACGACGACCAGGAATCCTCCCCCGCCGGCGGAGCGGCTTCACCCGGGGGAAAACTGGTGATCAACGCCCAGAACTGCATCCACTGCAAGTGCTGCAGCATCAAAATGCCGGACGAGTACGTCGAATGGACGGTGCCGGAGGGAGGAGGGGGCCCCCAATACCAAGTCATGTAATGGCAACATGCAAAGAGTACAAACCCAAAATAATTTGTCTAGCTTGTACCGTCGAATCTATTTTTTTTAAAAAGACAGAGCTATCACAGTTGGCATAGTGAAAGGGTGTAAACCCAAAATAGTTAGTCTAGTTTTATCTTGGACTCTAATTTTTACAGTGGAGCCGTCAAAGCTGGCCTAGTGTTACCGAAATGAGTGTGAATATATGAGGGATAAGATGCCGATGGCGGAAAATCAAAATGCGAGTGCCGGTCTCAATCGTCCTAGCTGTTCAAAGCGGCTTTTGCCTCGGCCTCGTGTTAAAGTTGAAACTGCTCTTCAAACTCTCCAGCCAATCGGAAGAATGATCGCCCTTGTTGATCGTTGGGAAGGGATAGGCACTCATCTGGATCTGGACGCTGTCTCCCCGCTGGAGTTCGGATCGGTGCTTGCCGTCAAAGGCGACCGATGCGAAGGACCGGGCGTCGTCCGGCACAAAGCACCGCAGCACCACGTGGTCGGGGAACACCATCGAGCGAAAGCTCAGCACGTGCGGGCAAATCGGCGTTACCAAAATACAGGGAACCGCCGGATGAACAACGGACCCGCCGGCCGACATGCTGTAGGCGGTGGAACCAGAGGGGGTTGCGAATATGATCCCGTCGGCTTGAACGGTTGTCAGGTGTACGTCGTCGCAAAAACATTCCAGTGCCGCCAGGTACGGACTGCCCCCCCGATCAATCACGACTTCGTTCAGGACATTGTATCGACCGCGGACAACGCCTTCTCGATTGACAATTCTGCAATCTAGTCTCATTCGTATCGTCATGCAAATGTGTTCGTCGAGGCCAAAGGTAAACCGCGGTGCTTTCTCGCTTACCAAGGGCTCGTAGGGGTAGGATGGCATGTTTGGTGGAAAGACTTGCAAGGCACCCTGTTCTTCTTCTTCAACCGATGAAAACGGGACTTCCGTTGTGATGTTTTCATCGTCGTCGTCGCCGTCGTCTTCGCCATCCTCTGCGATGGGCATGGTCATGCCCAAGGCTACGCGAATCGCATTCGTCATCTCGTGTTCCGAAAACGCTGTCAAGAACCCCAGGCTCCCCCCGCTAATGGCCAACAGCGGTGGCACAGGTCCCTGAAAGAGGCTGCTCGCATACAAAAGAAGACCATCGCCTCCCAGTGTGCATATCAGATCGGGGAAGGTATTACCATAATTCATGTCCCGGACCCATTCTTCTTCATCGTCTTCAACGTACCGTACCTTATAGTCGTCTATGTTCGTATCTTTTGGAGGTTCAAATAAATGTATCCGTTCGTCGTCTACCCCATAATAGTGCTTAAGTTTGGCCGCGAGCTCGGGCGCCATCAGCACATCAATGCCCACTTCGGTGAGTTCGGGAACCTTTCGAAAAAAATTAGCAAGAGCATAAGCACGTCAGACGCAGCTGGACAAAACACGGGCCACTATCAGTAAACCTTCTCGTTGTTTATCACTTTCATCACAGGCAAGTCCATGCTGATACAAAATAATACCTAAATCATCGTGTCACAAACCGAATGTTCGAGACAGTAGGGTCTCTCCACAATAATTTTGTACTGACCTTGTGAGCGGCAATCTGCAAAAGATCATCATCGTCTCTTTTCACAAGGAGTAGTACGGAAGCGATCTTTGATCGCACGGGTGTTGCAAACGGAGGCGTCTTATTTGGGGTGTTTTCTTTGGATGACGAAGAAGAATGTGACTTTGATTCGGAGCTTTTTGAGATGGGATATGCCTTCTTGTTCCATCGGTACGCAACTTGTCCTGTGGCAGGTCCATTGAACACAATTGTGTTGTGATCGCCGACTACACGTTCTCTCAATGAATCCTGGCACCTATCACTCTGGCACCACATGAGATCCATTTTTCGATCATTTTGTCGCTCGTTGTTGCCATTGTTACGAGGAAATTTCTTGTTGAGGGAAGCAACAGGTGTTGTCATGGCCGACATCACCGTATTAGTTGGCAAAGATGACGACGAACTCTTCCTTGAATTTTCGCCTGGCGATATCGTATTGTTATTGTTGCTATCACTAATTATTTCGCCCATGTTACTGCCAATGTCGTCCCTGTTGTCACCGTTTGTTTTGCCTTCAAGATTGGAATATTTTGGAACTGAAAATCTCTTTGATCGGGGAGTAAATGTCCGCACCTTATGCGTCAAATACAGCAACAAGAATATTTGTATTATCCCTAGCAGAACTGCACTGGATGACATCTTTCGACTATTCATTTTCCTAGACTTATTGAATGTCTCTTCGTTGTGTCTGGTCTTCTTTTTTTGTCTCGTCGTCACTCTTTCCTGCTTCGCATCTTGTTCTTCTTGTATCGTCCGGCACTTCTCTGGATTAAACTGCGTCCTCGTTGCAACTTACATTTCGGGAATTTTTCAACGCTCGAAATTTCGGTGTCAGACAGATACAAACAACAAGGTCGAAAGAAGAACGTCGAATCCGAGGAGAGAAATAAGAATTTATGGTTTGTCAAGCAAGATTTTATTTTTGAACCGTTATGAAGACAAAACATACCTACTTTATGCGTAGTATATATGTATAGTATCTATATATGTTATGTATGATATCAGTGTTGTAACTTGTTCGTCTTGTCACACATTTTTGTGCGGTTTATTGCGCACGCCGGGCCGTATTCATAACTGTATCTCAGTTTGAATTGCCGATTTTTCCACTAGGTCCCGATTTGTACCGGAAGAAACTTCCAGTGAATTCTGCATCTTACGGAACCCAAGAAACGACATCTCTTGCTCAGACGAAAACCTCATTAGACGAACATCGGTAGTGTTCCGATTAGCTTCTTCTACCATAGTCTAACCTAACCTTTCAAGATGAAGATCAGCGCCAGCGTCGTTGCACTGTTTGGGGCCGTAGTTGCCCCACTGGTCATGGTGCCGTTTGCGGATGCTCTTTCTCCGTCGTGCCCATCTTCCTACCAAACCCCTACCGCTCCACCATTTGACCAATCTTGTCAAAACGTTTGCGCAAATGGACCGAACGCAGGGGAGGTTGTCGGGCCTTCCATTTTGACTTCTGGAGAGGCATCGCAGTATGAAGTTGCAGTCGTTTATTTCGGACACCAAAACTGAGGTGTGTAACATTTGGACACGTCGTCATCCAGTTTTCTTTACAAAACTTATTGTCTGTTTCTCTTGCAGGTTGTCTGAGAGTCGGTTGTCTCAGAATCCTTTTTCAACCGAATCCTAACCAATCACTTCTCCTATGGCATGTTAACGTTCTCTTCCTACCAAACAAATAGGCGGATGCGTTGGCATGGTTTCTACCATGGCCAACGCATACAATACGCTCACCGATGAAGATCGTGAGCGCGTTTTTATGCTCGCTGTCGGACAAAATGACTATTCGATGAGCAATCAAAACTTTTGTCAAGGTTTTGCGGCATGCGCCGATGAAAGCGGCTCGCCTTGGTGGAACGATGTGGCTGCCGCCCAACGCGATGTCATCTTTTACATGAAGACGGATCCCACCGATGATAGTTCCTGGGAATTCTATTGCCATTATTCCATGAACACTGGGAGGGGAGAATTTGCCGATACTATCCAAGAAATGCTAAGTATTACAGCGGCCAATGCGATGGACCTTGACGAATCGGATTTCCTAGGAAATGGAACGGATGTCTTTGGGAACGAGACCATGTTCGAACCCGACGAATTATCTTCAAATAGTATCACTGCAATGAGTAGTGTTTCTTCCTCTTCATCTATGACTTCGACCTTTTTGTTATCCATCATGGTATCTGGATCAATTTTGGTCTGGTCCATGCAATAATCAGGCAATTGATTAGTTCATGCTGTTCAAAATGAAAGTTATGTGTCGAACTCTTATTCGATAGCATTGATTTGTCTCTGCTCTGTTGGAAAATTACGCTGAATGACGTACCATTTTCTTCGGCAAGGAGAAATCCTTGATTGTGTAAAATGGCACTGAGAAGCAGACGATCATTATCAGAAACGAAGAATGCATCTGGCAAGTTACGAGCACTCAAACTAGTCTTTGTCCAATTTAAACTCTGGGAGAGATTTATTCTAATCAAAGAAGTCACTTTCAAAACTTTGTAGAGATGTCGATAGCAAGTAATTGATACTGCTGGCCAGCACAATTCATTCAAGAATTCAATTTTGCCCATAGAATTCCGATGTTGCTGTTGTCGCCTACTGAACTCTCGAATGCTTCTGTGTCGTTTGAAGTTTCTATCATAAGATCATCTATTCTACACCAGATAGTGCTCTACTGCACAGTTACTGCACGGCTTGCTGGAGAACAATTTATATTATGTTTTCTGATCCACAAGTCTCCAGAACCTGGTTTTTCTTATGTACCTTTGGATATTCGACCAACCTCACATGTAGGCGTCCATGTTAGTGTCTGTCTTTGCTCTGATGACACTACAATTACGCTAAAATATGAATACATGAGGTGAATGATCAATCATAATCGATGGTGATGGTTATGATAGAGATTCCTTCATGGTATTGAGAAAAATTGAGATTTCACATGTCAATCACATGTCAAATACGCCGGGTAAACCGCAACGGCAGTCACTGGTTACCAACACGTGCCTGAGAGATAATTTAACGTTAATTTCTACCGCACCAATGCGTTCCGTCTAGTGTATCGTACAGCCTACGCGTGATTACGTCACGACGAATCGGCAAAAATCTTTACATTTCTACTACTCAACGGTGTAGTTCGTTCGTACGCATTGGTAATGGAAGTAGGAAGGTGATGAAATGCGGTCCGACGCAGTTGGCATTCCAATCACTCAATTTCTCCTGCACTGAATCCATGAGGGAATATTTTCTCCTTGGGAGTCACATACTGCGTACAATTGCAAAGACTGTCAGCTGGGGCATGATTGGACATCCTACAATGGGCACAATTCAACTGATTACTGTATGGTTTATCGGAATAGCGGCAACAAGCGTGGTGAATGTTGCTGCTAGGTTCCCTGGCCTCGGCATCACCCGGAAGCAGCCGAACATCATCGTAATCCAACCCGATGATTTCAGGTATTTCGAGGACTGGGGTCCACCGGCACCGTTCGAGGGATCTTTTATTACACAATTTCCTCCAAATTCCAACCAGCTACCAAACATAAGTCGCCTCAAGAGAGATGGCCTCACAATGACTAGCGCATATGCTGCTGCTACCATGTGTGGTACTTCCAGATATAGTACTATGACAGGCCGCTACCCTTCGCGATCGTCGTTGGGAAGGGCCTATGATAGAAACTCAGGAATGCGAGACGTCTCCAACCCTGCCACCAAACTCGACGACATTGAAGGGCTTTCAGATGGAAACGATTGCTCCGAGAACAACATCGCAGCATTGTTGCAGCGAAACGGCTACCGCACAGGCATTAGCGGGAAATGGCACCTGACCGAGGACGATCGGGGGCGATACAACTACGAGAGAATCCAAGAAGAGGTCAGAAATTGTGGTTTTGATTTTGCCGAGGCAATTTACAAGGAAAACATGGATGGAAATTGGAACGGTGATGCTGGGCACAACATGGAACACGTTACGTCAGAGGCTATTAAATTCATCGAAAGTGCGGTTGTAGAGGACGAGAAACCATTCTTTCTGTACTTCAATCCCACAGTCCCACATCCGTCTTCGGACGTGATTGAAGACCTCGAATCCGCGGATTGCCGAGAGACCATAGGGGGGACACTCTCCCAACCTCCGGTGATTCCGTACGGAATGACGGCGAACTTTGGGGGAAATTGTAGAGCATATCGCCAGAGCGTGCTGGCCCGTGGTGGGAACGACAGTTATTTGGCGGGCGCTGTTTGGGTGGACGATGCAGTTGGTTCGTTGATTCAAACCCTTGAAAGCTTAGATATTCTCGAGAATACATTTATATTGTTCCAGATGGATCACGGACAACAAAAGGGAAACCTGTACGAAATCGGAAGCCGGATTGCACAGTTTATTCACTACCCCGACCGCATCACTGCTGGTTCAACCTTCGACAACGTAGTCTCAACCATCGACGTCGCACCGACCATTGCTGATGTAGCTGGTGTATCGTTTGATGCTTACCCAATGGATGGGAAGTCATGGATGTCAGACGAGGTTAACAACGATAGGTGTATCTTCGTTGAGCTGCAGTTTGATCGTTCTGTCCGGTGCGGGTGTTACAAATTCATCTCGATTGCAAACCTGAATGATGGAAGACATATGATCAATGCTGATTCTATAGGGGCGTCGGTTGACTTCAACAATTATTACAATCTTTGCAACGAGGAGACAGGTGAATACATCAAGGCCCCCGAGATTACTTCAGAATGGCGTTCTACGATCACGAACGAAGCAATCAGGAATGGGCTCCAGGAAAAACTCATATGCCACATGAGCAGAACGGATCCAACACGAGATCCTGATTACAGCAACAATGAATGCGACGAATCAATGGTCTTGCCTGAGACTACCCTGAGACCTACCCTGAGACCGACGTCACCTCCGATTCCTACTAACAATTTACCTACCAGTCCGTGGGGCGACTCCATCTATCAACAACCCGTTACTACTAGCCCAACGAATAAACCAACAAAGATCCCAACGAATAATCCAACACCGCGGCCCTCGCCACTCCCCAGTGTTCGACCTGTCACGGACGAGCCAACCAATTCCCTCATTGATAGCTTTGATGACGAATCATTGAATATCACCGATATAGAGGCATTCATCGAGTACCTCGAAGATTGTTCCGATGACCAAAACTATCTTTATAATGAAATAGATGGTCAGAACTGTCGATGGGTAATCACGAACGACAGATGTGATCAGGACGATCCCGAAACTGAGTTGCACATTGGAAGAAACTTCTGTCAGAGGAGTTGTTCCTTCTGTTCCAAATACGACGACGATTGTTCCGACAATAATTACTTTACATGGTATGGTCAAGAAGGAAAAAACTGTACTTGGATCGCGGAAAACGAACGCTGCGATAGAGTGCGGAACGACTTCAATGGTACGACGCTAGTGGTGGGGGATCACTACTGTCCAGAGAGCTGTGGATACTGTTCTACGGAGTCCAGCCCACAAAAGTAAGCAAAATTACAAAATATTGGAATTGTACCCTCCAACCAAAATCCAAATCCTTTTTCCCGCTACTGTTAGATGCCCATCCATCAACATGATGGCTATACGTTCCGTATACTTGTTTTCTATCAAGAATAAGCTAGTGCTAAATTTACCTTACAATGATCTAGTTCTCCTTTGCCAAACCTGTTTGTCGGGCTTCAACACCGATTTATGCACGGCAAGCGATTGGTGTCAGATACATTATTCGCTCTGTCGGAGGAGAAAGGAAGCAGATCCAAGGAATTTGTGACGGGAATGCCGCGAGAAGGAACAGAGATTGTTTGAAATGCCGAGCACATTTACTGTGGAGATCCAATCTCTTTGTATTCGCTTCCTACACAACGAATTCCGTATTTTTTTCTTTCGGGTCTGCATTCCGTCAAACAAACGTGTGAAAGCACGTCTACTATCCAAAAGAAAAGGATACTCGAGGCGCGCTCTCGAACGTGCTCTTATCGATGTCTCCGCCTTCTTTGAGGAAATGGCAAACGATAATCCTGGTCGCACGAGGCAAGATATCGTCGGCAGTATCTGAGGCTATTTTCTCACACCCTTCCTCATCTACGCGATTTCGTTACGCGTGCTTTGCCATGCGTGTTGTAAATTTTGCGCCGACTACCTTTGCAATATTACTGTAAGATATTATAAAAGAAAAATGGACATCTCGCCTAACTCCAAAATTAGACTGCTTTTGTTTAATGTTCAGAGAGGTTTCACAGTGACCAATAAGCGATTCCACTGTGCGATTGGTCCACAGTCTTCGTCGATCGTTCCTGGCGTTCGATGCCCTCGTCCCAGAACCAAAAGCATCGCAAACACACTTCCGAGCAGGTGATGATGTCTCGCCAAATCAGTCGCTCGGGCGAGGTTGATTAGTATGCCCTGTAGAAATCCGGTGTGGGCACGTTCGACGCCAGGCTTCCCCCTCTTCCGTGGGGATCTTCCGGGGACGGGTGGTAGGAATCAAAGCCGGACTCGCTGGGCGTGCCAGCCTCGCTCATGCTCCAGCGATATGGATTCCCGTTGTCACCGGAGCCATTGTAGTCCTCTCCGGGCGAAGACCACGACGATTCGCGGAACAACTGGCTCGGGCGAAAGCCTTTTTGGGGTATTTCCGTCGCGAGGGCCCGCTCCAGTGCTGCGTACAAGGGTTCGGCAGCCTTGGGTGGCGGCATGAGCCCGTCCAGAACGAGATCGGCAGGGGTCAGGTTTGATCGGCCGTAAAACTTGGCGTTGACGTCGTTCCGTGCGCCCAGGACGGCCCCCTCGATGCTCATCCCCGCAAACAACCCCTTGGAGTGGGCGTAGGAATAGGCTGGGTGGAGCGCCCATTCGGTATTGGACGCGGACGCCGATACCTGTGACATTCTCCCCACGGGTCCGATGGCCACACCGAGCTCGGTTCCCAGCTGCACCTTCCCACCACTCAGCACGGCCTCCACCGCTTCCTCTGTGGTCAGAACGACGAGATAATGCGTAATGTCCCCCCCCGCAAGCATCCCCCATCCCATTCCGATCGTCCCGAGTGCACAGGGTGCCGACCACTTTTGTTGTGGATTCGATCGTGCTCCGTCTTCCCCGTCGACCCGGGCAATCAACAAACCCGTGCCGATTCTTCCCGAGACCACGAAGCCCGCCTTGATGACCGTCAGGAAAATCAACCCCTTGGCGGACTGCAACAGATCGAGCGGGATGCTCTGGTCGGACTTTATGCCCGTCCTCGATGGCATGCACATGGTTTCGACGATTCGACACGCCTGGCGAATACTGCTGCCCAGCGTAAAGCTGATCGGATTGTTCCGCCGGAGAACGCCGCCGCTGCCGCTGGTGCCATCCGCCCGCGACGAAAGGTCGTCTACGGTGTTTTCCATGTCGCAGGGGGGTCGATCCGACAGGGTGAGAAAGTCGTAGACCAGGCGTGCAAGGGAGTGTGGCATGTCACCGAGATTGTAACGGGCCGTCACGGCCACCAGCCAGGCGTCCAGCTGTACCTTCCGGTACCGCACGAGTTCTTCGTGCTGATCGGGGGCCCATTTCCTCGCCAGCTGCCAGTTTCCGACCCGCCCGGCGAGGTGCTTCGGAGGAAACGGGGCGTCCAAGTGGATGTCACAGCGCTCAAAGGCGTCCCTGAGCTTTACGAATTCGCTGTACCGGTGCTCGAGCTGCAGAACGTTCTGGTTCTGGCTGCTTCCGGGGAGCCTGACCCTCAGGACGTAGGCCGTGTATTTTCTGTTGGTAACGTCGCTCCGGTTCTCGGCCGACACCAATCGCACCGTCAGCGTACCCGGCCGGTCCTCGTCTCTGCGCCGGGTTTCTTCCAGGTCCTGCGTGAGGGCACCACCGTGCCGCTTCCATTCCTTCCGAGCGGAGAGCACCAGCTCGTCGCCGTTGCTGCCGTGGGGCGTTACGATGGAGGGTTCTGTCGCAGCTGCGTTGGTTTCACCCGTGCCGCCGGAACCCTGACCCCGGGGTTTCATGGCAGATGCCAGGGGATGTGGACTCGTAGTAGATCTCATGACAAGCGATCCCGCCCTCGGTGGCGTTGGGGTTACAGCGGCGGGGGCCGTGGAAGTGGCCGAATAGTGCGGGTGCTCGCGGGCTCCTCGTTGCCGATGCAATTGCAGTTGCCGCTCCGCCTCTTCTCTCAGGGTGAGCCGTGGGCTCTCCATCGCACCACCGTGTGTGCTGGTGGAGATGGAAGCGGAGGTCTGGTAGTAGCTCGAGAGTGGATAGGGACTGTCTTCTAGGATGCTGCTGTTGTTGCCGGACGGAAACATTTTCCCCTCGGGACTGGCAAACGGATTGTCCATCGAGCCGTCGTCGTTCTCTAGGTGTACAGGATACGACATGGTAACGCAATACTGACTTGAATGGAAAGTATCTCGCTGACTCGTTCTCGTCTGTGCTTGTTCTTGCTTATCGATTCTCACTTGCGATCGGACCACGAAAAATATGTTCTCCGATTTGTCGTAATACTTCACCAACTCTGTTTCCAAAAAATGGTCTTCTTTCCTGGTAGTATTGTTTGCGTCGGACTGGAGAAATGGGTAAAGTCAAGCAGAAGTTTCTTTGCACTAGTATGCATCACTGACTGGAATACCGCGATGTTCTTTGGTACGAGTGGACTTCCTTGTTGACTTGTGAAAGGTGGGATGACGAAAAGTATGTAGTGAGTCGTTCTGTTGCGTGATAGATGATCATTCTGGACGAAGTACGGGACTGTACCGGTACACCACGATACGACACCTACCACTTCTCGTGTACTCGTACCGGTATCGGCCTTCAACGTTTTCGGCGTGTCAGATTTGAATTCAGCAGATCACCAAAAACCGGTTCTTCCTACCATTTGAATCTATGTTGTACGGTACGTAATCGTAGAAGAACGAAACCGTGCCCGTAACTGCAGGGATATGCGAGCGCGTATTTCATACTTGGGACCTGAATCGTACGACTCAAATCGTTCAGCGTTGCTGGATCTTGGTGGAAACCATGTATTTTTGTCGAAAACAACAAGGGGCATAATACAGGTAAAGTACTTTATTCTCTCGAATTTCGTTTTGTCTCGAATAAACAAAACTACGAGTACCGTACGAACCTTAAACGTGTTCGATACTCAAAACTTCACTACTTCGTACTTACGTACGGTACGTATTGTAGACATAGATTTTGGTGCATGTTTGGAGCCAATCTCAAACGTGCTCGACTGACTCGACTTGCGATAATCCCATCCACACAAAAAGTGCCAGTTTGGCAGTGAAGTAAAGGTAATGGTAACGGGGAATACTGTAAGTACGGTAAGTTTAGTACAAGTACCTGGTACTTCTCTCTCGTGGTGTAGTCCTTCCACTCTTACGTACGTACGGTATCGTAGAGCCCGAACAGAATAGTGATGTTGATCACCGATGATTTTCTCAGGAAAGTCAGCGTGATAGTGTAGTACGAAGTACGAGTAATACCTTGTGAGGAAGTAAAGCCCTGTAATTTGTAGGAGGTAGGAGGTAGATTCAAAGAATCGAGAATTTGTGGAGAGGAATCATAACTGAGCAACCCACACCCCAATCCGTGTCAACATCAATACTGATACGAACACCAACAGAACCGAGTGCGGATGCATAGTACAAAGCTCAATTGAATAATCAATCGTCGAAACCACCATGGCGAAACAAAGTTTGACGGATGCCGAGGTCAACGTCCAATCCGACGGACACCATGTCTGCATTGTTTGTTTCAGCAGCCTCGAATCGAACATGAGAGCAAAGCTGCCATGCGGTCACGACGACATGTGCGGAATTTGCCACCTGCGGTTGCGCCACCTGCACGAGGACAAAAAATGCCCCATTTGCAAGCAAACGAACGATACCATCATTGTGGACAGCGACGATACGAAAACCTTCGACAGCTACCCCCGGTGGGGCGATGAAATCGGGGCCGGCTTTGTGTACAAAGCCGACGTTGGCATGTTCTTTGAGGAGAAATACTACGAGAAAGCCGTTGTGCCGCTTTACGAATTTTCTTGCCAAAAATGCGACTTTAAGGTCGACGAGAACTACAACCAGCGCGCACAAGAAGACGACGGCGACGACGAAAACAACAAAGGCGGCAAGAAAAAGAAGAGGAAGCCCCTCCGCATACTGCAGGACCACCTGCGAAAAAAACACCGGCTTTCGATGTGCCAGCTGTGCATAGATCACAAGCGCGACTTTGTGTCTCAGCTTCCCCGATTCACCGCCAGCCAGCTGCAAAACCATCTGAAAAACGGAGACGGACCCGGCTCGGGGTTTTCCGGCCACCCGATTTGCGAATTTTGCCGCCCGAAACGGTTTTACGATGTCAATTTCCTTTATAAGCACCTGCACCAAGAACACTACAAGTGCCACATTTGCGAAAAACAGGGTTCCGACAACCAGTGGTTCAAGAACTACAAATCGTTGGCCCGCCATTTCGATAAGCAGCATTTTATGTGCCACCATCCACAGTGCCAGGCAGCACGGTTTGTCGTCTTTGAAAACGAACTAGATCTTAGAGCACATGGTGAGTATTTCGGAAGGCTCGGCCTCGTCGAACCCCTTTATTGTCTGCTGGTGAATTTTTGGCTTTGGATCCTTAAGGTTAAATTGGTCGGAGCTCTGTCTCTCATGCTCTGCTCTATCGTCTGTACATCCGCTACCAGAGATTTCTGTTCACGGTGGTACATCCACTGGATCCACAAAGATCAACCTTGAATTTAATATCCGTCGGGCGAATGGAACGAGCGGGAGTGGTGAAAGACAGAGGGCTCCTGCCGAGGCAGACTTCAACTACGATCTGGATGGCCAGGCATTCGTGCCACCGGCTTTGGCCAACGACAACAACAGCAACGATCAGGGCAACAACGGCAGCAACAACAACGCATCCGAGTTGCACCCGCAACACGTCCAGCGGACGGAGGAGTTGCGCGCCCACGCCGCAGCGGTGCGGCAACAACAAGCCCTCGATAACCAGGGAGAGGCGTTCCCTACCTTGCGGGATGCGGCGGCACCATCTCCGTCATCGGCTCCGTTGGTTGGCTGGACGTCTGGAACAGCCCTCCAAAACATCAACGGTTCGAACCGGAGGGTCGGGCAAGTTACTGAGGAATCCTTCCCTACTCTACAATCCAATTCTACCAGCCAAAGAAACAAAAAGAAAGCAATGAAGGGAAGCATCGGAGCCGCGAGACGACAATTTGCTGCGATGACAACAGCTGCCAACCAGCCAGCATCAAACTGGGGTGGAGGCGATTCCGCGGCCTACATTGGATCGGTTGCAGCATCTCCGGCGTCTGGGGGATATGGCAACCCGTTTTCTTCCGCTATGCCGGCGAGACAAATGAATCGGCAAGCGGACCTGGCCCCCGACAACTTTCCTTCCCTGGGGCCATCGTCGTCCTCCGCGCGCTCGGCGGCGAGTGCCTTGGCGAGCAGAAACTATCAGCAAAGAACCGTCGCTTCTGCTCCTCCGCCATCCATAAACAGTGCCGTAGACTTTCCTTCCATGTCGAGCAATGGTCGAAGCTCTACTGCTCATGTAAGCAGGAACATGGCAGCAGCTGCGCAAAACAGGCCCAAGCCTCCGCCATCGATGAACAGTGTAGAGCATTTCCCGGCACCTCCTTCGGCAAAACCCGTGGCAAAACCCAAGATCCGTGACCAACTACTTGGAAACGCAAACAGGAAAATGCCCGCACAAGACAATGTTCTTCGGGCAAACATGTCCTCTGTATCGTCGACCGATGCCAAGGCTACTCTGGAAGACATGAAGACGTCCCTTGGTCAAAAGAATTTCAAACAACTCAAAAAGCTGACTAAGTCGTTTGCACAGGAAGCGATTGCTCCAGAGGGATATGTCGATCAGTGCGCTGCATTGTTTGAGAAGAGCTACGACGATCCAGATTTTTGGTCATTTTTGCCGTCCCTGCTCGAATCTTGCCCCAATCAGGAGAGTTCGAAGCATGCCCTAAAGTACATGAATAGTTTGAAACGGCAGAAATTCGGAAGCAGCGATTCAAGACCGTCGCCATCATTTGCATCGTCTGCTGCTGCCAGGGCGACGCCCTCGCAATGGAGTGCTCCTTCCTCCAAATCGAGCGTGATGCGGCAGGTAATTCCCCCCCCACCCCCTCCTTCCTTCGGTGCTCCTCGCTCATTGACACAGCAGGTAGCAGCGGGAGTAGGTCGCCCACAGACGATGGCATCGAAAAAGAAGGCTGCATGGGGATCCGGTGGAAAAGCGACCATCGTAAGAACGAAAGCTCCACCAGGATCGGTAGCTGCCGCAGCTGCGACTCAGGGCCCACAAGGAGGAACTGCAACGAAATTTATGGCGAAGCAGCAGAAGCAGCAAGCAAAAAGCAACACCAATACAAACAACACGCAGCAGCAGAAAAAAGCAAAAAAGAAGAAGCAAAAGAACGAGCTAAAGGATCTGGCATTCGGTAGATCATAAAATAAAAGATGTTTTGAACAACGAGAATGCGAGATTTAAAATAGAATCATGAAGAAGTCATCTCACAAGTTAAAACCTGAAGATTCGATTTATTCTTTTATCTGTAATGTTTTTAATATGTTGCAGCAGAGTGGGGAAGCTGAAAAACATTTGTGTGGAGGAAGACATGCAAGGTATGACAGTCGCAAAGCTTATGACGCTATGAAGGAGGAGGGGAGTCGTCACGGCTCAAAGTGAACAAGAATGTGAAACTCTTGAAGCATTGAATGAAATGGATCAACAAGGCTTGCCTATTAATGATATTGCCAAAACAAAGTCTACACCCTCCCAAACAGTTGCTCCTTTTTCCCTCATTAAGATTGATAACAAATCATCATCATCTTTGACAGGAACAATAAGGCACTGATGAAATCTAGCTACTTACCACGAATGCTAAAGAACTACTAATCGTAGAATAACGTACCCGAACTACGCCTACTACACTACCGGTATCGTATGCTAGGAGTAGGTACCAACACTCTGCCAGATCGGAAAACAATGCTCCCACGATTCATTCCGCGCCCCAAACCGCGCAAAATGACTTCTCGAAGAAAAAAATAGTGCTTCTAATAAGTATGAATGCGTATGCTACCGAAGTTTTCAGGGATCATTAACCGATATTTAACGTCTACCACGACCGCTGTTAATTTTGGTGAAATATGACATTCTCGAAATGCTAAAAATGAGGGAAGCTGTGTTGATTCAATGTGTCAAATGCCGTATGCCAACGTCATCGGATGCATGAAATCTTAAAGAAAGTGTATAAATCTCCTATTGATTAGATAAATTAAAAAGTATGAGGTCAATGCAGAAAACCCTTGGGATTCTGATGATTTCTCACGTGAGGTTTTTTACCTCCTTCATGTATTTTATGTATTTCATGTATTTCGGTATTGGTGGACATCCGTGCGGACGTCTGTCCTTCAACACACTCCTCGCTGCGGTTTTTGTGAGTAGCTCCCCCACGATTTGGCTCGTAGGGATCACTACTACTGTCTAAGACTGCAGTGCACTATACAGCGCGTCCGCTTGAAAACAATGCTGCAATCTTCGATCACAACAGTATTCACTCATCCTATACTGTTGCTGCGACCTTATTGACTGATGGTCCTTGCTGCTTGCTTGGCAGCATAGTACTCCTGCTTATACTTGACACAGTCAATGTCGTTGATTCCTTGAATGGTGTTCCGGAACTTCTTGAATTTGCTTCCTTGCAGTGGCTTCGTAAAGTAGTCAGCGATGATATCATCTGTGGGGCAGTACTCCACACTCACCTCCCCTTTCTTGATCCTATCCGTCACGAAGAAGTATCGGATGTTTATGTGCTTGGTTCTCTTGGTACTGGATCTCTGCCCGTTTCTCTCAAGCTTTATGGCGCTCTCGTTGTCCTGGTAGATTATGCTACGGTCTCCCAGGGCCGGATCGGCCGGTTGGTCGTCTCTACTGTCGGCAATGTTGTCAGTCATATGTTGATGCTGGGCTTGCAGGAAGTACCGGGCCCACAGTATGAAAGTCATGTTATCATCCACTCCCACGACCTCAGCCTCGGTCGAGCTTTTTGTATTCAGCTTTTGCTTTGTGCAGGTTGTGATTGCTGCTCCGGTGCCAAACGTCATCATGCCTCCTGAGTGGCTTCGCATGTCGTTGTGTACTGCGAATGCGGCGTCCACGTGCCAGTATGCATTGCCACTCCCATCTGATCCCAACACTAGGGGGATGTATGGCGTTTCAGACAGGTAACTCATCACCCGTTTAAGCTTCTTCCAGTCATCCTCATCAGGTGCTGACACTCGGGTACATAGGAAAGCAACAGCCGTCTGTATATCCGGTCGTGTTCTCTTCGCCATGAAAAGGAGTTTGGCTACATAGTGGTGAAACTTATCTGCCTGCTCCTCATCCAGCCTCGGGCATGCTTCATTCACTTTGAACAGATGATCAGCGGCGGGCGTCACTGCGGTTCCTTTCAGGCTGTCGGGAAGATTTTGGATTATTTCCTCCAGATAATCAAACATGCTGAGCTTAACCTTTCCACTTTCGGAGTAGTCGAGTGTCATTCCCACGTAATCATGTATCTTCCCTCGGGTCTCTGTCAGTGGTGATTCCTTGCCAAATTGCTCATTTAGCTGCTGTATCACAGCTGTCACAACACCTGGGTCCACGTGTGATATCTTGAGGTCATCCACATGCCACACGATTGTGCACTGCTTGTCATTTATCATCTTGTTTACGGTGCAGGGGTCGTATGGATTCAGCTCAAAACCCCACTCCTCAAGTTGCCCATACAGTTTCTCCCAGAACAGTAATGCTGCTCGTAGGGTGCCATATATAGCCTTCTCAGCCCTTGTGAATAGGGTCTTTTTCCCGTTGCGGTTGACAAGATACTTCCGGTACATCTTTGGATCGACCCTGCAGAGGAGCTCTGCCATGGTGCCATCTAACCTGATGTAGACATCCTCTCCCTCTGGCATTGGTGTCTGCAAGAAAGCTCCAGGAATATCGACTGTTGCTACATCCCTTCCCTCGATTGCATCGATGATACATGAGAGGACCAAAGCATACAGCGACACTGTCGGAGATGCGGCGTCTTCCTTCCTGATATACTCACGTTGTCTCCTCCCGTCAGCACAACCTCTCCCTTTGATTGAGGTGTCCCTTTTTCTCTTGAGGAACATGAGGTATGGCAGTGCTTGAGCAACCATCTCTCTTGTAATGTGTTTAGGATCGAGAGCCGACACCACTCCTCGGTCATGCAACTGCTTTAGCTCCTTCAACACTGCTGCCACTCCTGCCTCCCCAAAGCGTCGAATTCCCTCCTTCATGCCATACTGTTTGGTTGCATGCGTGGCCTCCAGGTTGTTGTAGTTTGCTATTGCATTTGCCACCAGCATCACACACTCCTCCCTTTCACCAAGGTGTTGTATTCCACGTACGTATCCAGCCGTAAAGAAGGACCGTGTGTGTGTGGTATTTTCGAACCCATCATCCTCACCAAACTTGTTGTGTGATCTTGTAACACGCTTCCTGAGGCGTGAGCTAACTGGCTCTATATCCTCTTCCGCCTCCACTTCTGCCATTTCCCCGTCATTCCCTGGTTCCTCCTCCTGCTCTTCATCTTGGTGGCCCTCTGTTTCCTCGCCGGCCTCTCCCACAGGCTCTGTGTGGCCAGTGCCCTCGTTAGCTTCCTCACCTGCCTCATCTCCATCCTCGTCAACTTCTTCAATCACATCGTTTCCAACCTCGATCTGTGCAGCGGCTTCCACATCATCCCGTACGTCCGTATCTATGTAAGCGCTTAGTGTTGTTTCCACAGATGCATCATCCGCATCTCGGTTGCTGTATGTTCCATCAGATGCATCATCATCATCCGTGTTTGGGCTGTCGTCCAGGTCCAGGATTGTTGTGTTCCCTGTCGCGTCTCCAAAGGACACTCCGCGGGGCATCTTCTGTGCCTCAGCAATCTGTGTTACTTGTCGTATGATTGTCTTTGTGAGTGGTGTTGGTGTTGCGGATTTTCGATGAATCCGCTTACATGTGTTGAGGTCAAAGGCGTAGAACCCCCCCGTGATTGATCCTGTGGGTCTCAGGTAGAGGGCATCGACCGCACGAGCCTTCATTGTGTTATCTGTATCATCAACATGGGCCAGGATGGGCTCCATAAACTGGAACTTACAGTCTTCCCCTGCATTTAAACAGACTCCTGTCATGATTTCCCTAATGGACTTTGTTCTATGCACACCAGTGGTTCTGCAGTTCAGCCAGTAAGTTGCCGCATAGATTAGCTCTATTACGCATCGCTTTGGCAGCTTTTTGTACGGGAGGTGATTCACATAGCATCTAACTGTTTCCTTCAGCGTGCGGTTACTGCGCTCAATGGTTGGCTCGTGTTGTCCTGCTGCAACACAGTGTACATCCACTGGGGGAGACAGTTTTAGCAAGTCGTCTCGAAGGCATTCGAACTGATTGTCCCCGCTGATCTGTGTTACGATGAAACCTCGCGTTCTATACTGCCCAATCAGGCTCACTACACAGTCTAGCAACGTGGACTGTCTCATGTTGGTAACTGCCCTGGTTGTACGGAACCTCAGGTGTCGTGATATAGAGTGGAAGAATTGTATTCCATTCACTGTCATAATATCCACATGGAGCATGACTTTGCCGTACCGGTCTAGTATGTCTGCAGGCACTGGGGATACATCCTCCCGGATGTGCTTCCCTTGCTGTCTCACAGTCTTCCCTTTCACGATACTCACATGCTTTCCGTATATGACTTCTGCATTCATTATGTCCCTCCTGGTCACCCCACAGTTGGTCACCAGCTTGTTTTCCACCATGCGTATTAGGTCCCTTGTCGTTGGGAACCCCATGATCTCTTGTAGCTTCCTTGCCTTCATTGCCCGGCGGCAGTCTAGATCGGAAAACTCGCTCTGCTGTCCTTCTACTGAAGTAATTGTCAGCACTCGTCCGCTGGTAGTCTTTGTGAGGTCACAGTAGTAAAGGTTGCATTCCGATCTGCTGAATCGTCGTGTTCCTCCCCCTGGCCGATGCACATGTAGTGCATTGTCACAGTCAGTATCCATAGTTACACGGAATCGATCTGATACCAGGGCGAGCGATAACACGTTTGCGATTCCTTCCTTGTAGAACCACACCTTTCCGAAACCGGGGAGGTCTCCAATCAGGTTGGTGCTCGCCACTCCTGAGTTACAATAGATGTGCATCACCTGTCCCTTTGGAGCCTTCCTGATATTCTTCAGCAGGTCCGGGTTCGCGATTAGATTGCATGATGACTCGCTGTCCAGTAGTATCCAGTTTGGATTCACTCCTCCGGTCCCCTTGCGGTCGTTTGTATCATTTTGCTGTGCAAACAGCCTTTGCACTTTGTTGCTGTATCGGAAAGTGTCCGTGGGTGCCTTGCTTGTTCTTCCCCATTGGAAGAAACAGTGTTCCTCTGTGTCTCCAAAATCTTCATCACATTCAACTGCCCGCATGAGCAGCTGGTGGCTGGTCAGTCCCAACTCCTCACTTTCGTCGTCTTCCCCTGCGGCTTCGATCTCTGGTGTTGCTATCGCACCCGTCGTGACGAAAGCTGTTCCCTCCTGATGATTCCTGTGGACCCCCTTATTTCCCTTGTTGGCTACGGCACTCTTTGTTCCTCCTTTCTTGCTTCCTTTGAATTGGTTTAACATGCCCAGGGCTGCAGTTGGTGTTACGGGGTAGTTGTTCATTCCTAGCGTGTATTGGTTCTCCAGCGTCTGCTTGAGAACACTGGTATCTTCATTGCTGCCTTCAATTAGCAGCACGGCCAATAGTTGCTGCTTTGCTGACTTTTCAATCATCACTCTCAGGGCGTTATCCTCCTGTAGGTTCTTGTACTGACTGTACGTCATCCTCCCATACTTGGCACTGTTTGTCTCAAGCTCGTGCTTTATGGCAACTGGGCACAGTAGGTCTCCTCCAATAGCCTCCAGTACATCATACGCCTGTGTGGTTGCTTGCACATAGGTCACTCCCTCCGTTAGACGCTGTCGTGAGCACACCAGCTTTCGTATAGCTCTGATGATATTTGTCAGTGGGTGAATCTGTGTCTTATTCCCTTGGTAACAAATGTCTCGAAGGAGTATCAACAGTTCTACTGGGCACTTTTCCTTATTGATTCGTTCCCACTTGGGGGACTCCCTTAGCTTCTCTTCCATCCCCTCATCCACTTGTCCGAGTACCACAGAATACAGCTTCTCCATATCGTTGGTGTATGCTGTGTACAGCTTGCCTGACATCTTGACCTCCTCATCGTGCATTCGCATGAGGCTGGTTTTGATTCCTGCAACCTCCTTCCCTTCCACTGTCCAGTTACTTGCGTCTGGCTCTGGTACCATGAAGTCAAGTCTTGTGAATCGTTCGAGCAGCTCAATCGAAGTTCCAACCTTGGGCATGTATTTGGATCCTCCCAGGGTCTTGAGTCGTTTGTGCAGTTCTCTGAATTGCGTTAGACTACCGTTCTCCGTAAGGACGATTCCTTCCAAATCCCCTCGGTTGTGTCCTATGAACTTCTTTGTGCTGTTCGACTCTGCATTTTTCTTTTGCGTTGAGTTATATGTTGTTTTTGGCCTGATCCTTTGCTCAGTCCATCCAGTCTCCTTTGGTGAGGGATTTCCCTCATATTTCGCCTGTTGCTTTTCGGCGATTCCACCGGAGTAGTCTTTCTTCTTGTCTCCCCCGGCTTCCATTTTCTTGGTCGACGTGTCGGCCTGTGGTGAGCTCTCCTTGGACAGCTCCTGTTTCAACTCCGGGCCCTTGGGTCCTCCTTATGCAACTGCGGTTGGTTCTTTTAACCGAGTGCACGAGTATAATGTAGTAGTGTACTTTTTAATTTATGTTGATTCAATGTGTCAAATGCCGTATGCCAACGTCATCGGATGCATGAAATCTTAAAGAAAGTGTATAAATCTCCTATTGATTAGATAAATTAAAAAGTATGAGGTCAATGCAGAAAACCCTTGGGATTCTGATGATTTCTCACGTGAGGTTTTTTACCTCCTTCATGTATTTTATGTATTTCATGTATTTCGGTATTGGTGGACATCCGTGCGGACGTCTGTCCTTCAACAAGCTGACGGAAAATAATTGCATGATTGATCGAGTTGAACACATGGGAACACAGATTGACATTTGATCTCTGAATCAGTTGATGAAACAATCAGCGGACTTTCCGGTGTTGTTCATCTAGTGTTAATTTCTATTGAAAGGAGAGAGGCTCAATAAGTGACTGGAGCGAGAAGTAGTTAGCTCGGTTCTTGGGAAATTAAAAATGTTCGGATCATACGAAGGACCCTCGGCAAAAAAGAAGGAGAAGAAAAATAGGCCACCAAAAGGCTTTGCGCAGCTCCCAGAATGGTGGATGGACACCACTCCCCACAACACGCTTGACATTGAAGGAGATGCGGCGAAACGCTTTTCTGAACGGCAGCAAGCGATGATTTATAAGGATTTAGCTGAGAAAGCGGACTTGGAGGAAAAGAATGGGCTATCCAACAAGTACAGGAAGGGGGAAAATGGAGAACTGATTGACAACGCAACTGGGAAAACAATTGACCCTAAATTTGACTCGAGATTTTCGCAAGATAAAAAAGGGGACTGGTTTTTGGATGGGAAACCTATATTTGGTGCGCAGTACGTTAGTATAGCCGCAGGCAATAGCTACGGTCACAAGGATGTAAGCTGGAAGAAACCAGACTGGATGAAGGTGAGTTTATATTTTATGAGTCGCCCACTGGCTTTCGTATATTTTGAAGTCGGATGATATCGTGTTGGATGTGTTATTTTGTTTTGGTTTCACCGCGATCAATGGTCAATTTGTGGGAGTGTCCCTGTCGTCATCAATAGCTGTTATTAGAGTATCATGAATGGTAATCGGCGGAATATAAGTATAGTAGCAATAGAAGCACTAATATTTGAAACATGGCAATATCACCACAGGTCAAACTTAATGCAACGAAGAAAGGAGCTGCGATGAAAAGAGGCAGCTATCTGGAGAAAAAGTCATTCGTTCCATCGGCATAATTGACTAATTTAGAGACAAGTTTGAATCAATGGCTTTGCAAAATCTGGGACAAAAATGACGTATGAATTACAACAGCATGAAAAGAAAGAGAAAGAGGTATACTATTATTTTCATTTGGTGCTGTTTTTCGCAGTACTAGTCTAAAGTTACGTGAAGCATTGGGTCTCGGAGAGAATGAATATAATTTATGTTAAAGAAATAATTTAAAACCTCCAAATGTTGGAGACAGACCTGTCCGAAATTGAAAGATATTTCCTATCTAAGATAAGAAGATACTGTAAATCAAAGTCATCGCTAATGTACGTTTAAACTTCATCACGTAGTGAAACAAATAGCTTATTCCGTATTGAATATGCCAGTTTTGCTTCAAGCTTTTGTGATCAATATTCCGATCTGTAACCAGAAGAAAGAGTAGCAGCAACCTGATAGGAAGTTGAAAATCATATCTGTTCAAGTTCCGTACTGTTGACAGTCTGCCGCTCGTGCTCTCTTGAGTCACTGATGAGATGTTTCATCGCAATGATAGAACTTCATCCATGGTGGGAAAAGAATCTCCGTTGCTCCTTCGATCGAAATACGAAGTTTCTCTGGGGACCTGAGACAATTGAAATCGATTACATCGTGGCTTCAAGAATGAAGATCGTAATTCTATTGATTTTTCTGCAATGACAACCCATGAATTCGTTTTGTATCCGACATGATTGGAAGCTCTTGGAGTTGGAAGAACTTGTGAATATCCCAGTGATTATCGTCGGGAAAGGCGCATCAGAGTGTAAGCAAACACCATTACTTGATACGTTTTTTCCTCCACTGCACCTAGGGTTTTCCGTGATCGCTGAAATAATTGCCATTGCTACCAACAAAATATCCAAGTCCCGGCCCGTCCTTCTCGTGGGATCCACCGTTGATTCCGCCCTTCTGGGACCACATACCTGCGCGACTTCCTCCAAACTGAGATCCTCCATAGGAACTATCACCACCTACGCTACTGGCATCATCTCCGCCAGCATAGCTGGGAAGAGGAGCAAAATTTGGAATCGGAAGACCATTCGAACCTCCGTTGTTCATGCCATTGGTAGACTCACCGTCGTATTCGTAGGATCCATAGCGCGCATCGAATCTCGAATCGCTCTGTTTGTCTTTGCCATAGCCCCGGCGACCGACTTTGAATCCGGGAGCGGTTTGGGTACCACGACGATCGTCCCATCGACCATCCCATCCACCGCGGGCCAGAGCCGTGAAGGCGTAACGAGAGTCGCCGGCTGGGTTGCGACGAGGACGAGCAAAGGTCATGTAACTCGGCTGGAGATTGTTCAAGGGTCCCTCTACCAAGCAATCATATTCCTTGAAGTGCAACAGCAGAGCAGCCCACAGCGCATTTTTGCTCAAAACTCGTGGGTTTCCAATGAGAATCACTCCCAATCTAGCACGTGTAAGTGCCACATTCAGACGTCTAGGATCGGAAAGGAAACCAATGCCCTGTGTCTCGCTGGAACGGACACACGTCACAAGGATGAAATCCTTCTCACGCCCCTGAAAGGCATCGACGGATGCAACTTCGATAGCTTCGTACAGAGTGTGGGCTAGACCTCCGGATCGACGCATGTGTTCCGAAACGTATTTCTTCTGGCCATCGTACGGAGTAATCACACCGATTTGGGAAGGCGTGACTCCAAGGCGCAAGAGGTGAGTTACCACTTTTTCGACGTATGAAGCTTCGGTCCGGTTCAGGTATGAGGTTCCCGATGCGGAAATTTCTTCCATCCCATTGACCGAGTAGAAAAACATTGGTTTGCTGGGTACGGGCCATGCAAAATCTTCCTTTCCAGCAAACCCCGGCAGGCTCAAGAGCTGGCGGTCGGCTTCGGTCACCCCGTTCTGCAAACTTCCCTCGTAGAACATGTTCGAGGGGAATTCGGACAACGCGGGATGCATTCTGTATTGGACCTGCAAACGGATGGGGCGGGTTCCGATCAAGACCAAGCGTTCAAACAGACTCTGCGTCAGACCCGCTTTCGCGGCTGCCTTGCACATCACTACCGGGCCGAGCTGGCAGTGATCTCCGACGAAAACTACTTGCTTGGCGCCGTTGGCAATGGGAATCAGAGCTTCTGCTTCGATGGCCTGCGTGGCTTCGTCGATCAAAACCTGGCGGAACCGGAAGTTTTTGAGACGGGGATCGGCGGCACCGACACAGGTGCAGCAGATGACGTCCGCGGCCTGGAGAATCTCGCGCTCCGTGCGGTTTCTGAGCGAGCGGTATTTCTTCTGGTCCCTCTCGGAGAGTTCACCGATTTCGTTTTTCAGGCGCTGGAGCTTGTTGAATTCGTCGCCAGCGGCCTGAGGAACCATGACGTGCAGGCAGAGATGGTCGACGGAACTCGACGAGGCCTCCCTGGTCTTGGACGCCAATCGAACGACACGCAAACCAGTGGCAGCAATCTTCTCCGTGAGCTGATCGACCGCAACGTTCGAGGGAGCCGTAACCAATACCTGGCCCATGTTCTGCTTGGTCAGATGGTAGACCAGGGTGGCCGAGGTGACCGTCTTTCCGGTCCCAGGAGGGCCCTGAATCAAACTCATCGGACGCTCCAAGACGGTAGCTACGGCCTCGATCTGTGACTCGTTCAGGGAGGGCAATCCAGGGACGGCGTAATCTTTCTCCGTGGCCGGAAGCTTCGCGGTGGCAATGACCTGCTCTTCGACGGGGTGACCCAGCAGCTTGTGGTAAATGTATCCGGTAACGCTGGTGTCGTCGATCGCAAAGGTTTTCAGGGCGTTTTGCATGCGGTCAAAGGAAGTGGATTTCCAAATGTACTCCACGACGTAGTCGTCGTGAATCGAGTCGGGGACGTTGCCGGAGGTCCGCAACTCGAGTTCGACCTCTCCGTCGCTGATTCCCTTGACGTATCCGATGCCCTCCCAGGGCTTGTTGTACAGGTACTGGGCACCATCGCCCAGTTTCAAGCGCAGCTCGTCACCCACCATGATTCTAGATTGCTCCACGGCCAATCGATGAAACGTAAAGGTCGCGACGTTCTTTCCCGCCAACGACTTGTCCCACCGGACCGAGATGTGTTCCTCAGTCAGAGATTCTTTCATCTGTCGATCGTAATCGGCTTCTATCTTGACGAGCGGCGCCAAAACGTTCTGGTAATGGAACCCGTCCTCGTATTGGAGGAGCGTGGGTTGCATTTCTTCGTCCTCGATGATGTCTGGGCGATCGAGGTCCGCAAAGTTCGCTTCCGGTTCGTTTTTCCACAGTTCTTCGAGCTTGGCCATCTGGGACTGAGTAATGTCACGGGATCGCAAGAGCAACTTGTCCGAGGGCACCTTGATCAACCACGGAAGGAACTTTCGGTCCTGGATCAGCGGATGCCACTGCGCGAGTTCCCAGTCCATGTCCTTGAGGGCGGGAACCGTTTCTACACAAACGCGGCAGAGGAGGACGACGACGCTGGAGGAACTCGCCGGAACAAAGCCCAGAACGAAAACGTTCTTGGACGTGCAGTTGTAGCACTCCAGAACGGTGTCGCCGAGGGGGGACTCCGGGTGCAGCTGCACCTGGTGGGAACGCGAGCGCACCAGGTGGTGAACGAGGTGCGAACCACCGCTTCCCACGCAGGCATTGCAAAACCACTTCTTCGTCTCCACGCAGTGGGCCACGCAAGCCGGATCGTGGATGCCGCAGTAACGACAGGCGTATTCCGGCAGGTTTTCCTCGTCGTAGTGATCCAGGGTAAACAAGTGGTCGTCGTCCTCGTCGTCGTCGTCCTCTTCGTCTTCCGAAACGTCCGAAAAGTCCTCGTCGTCCTCATCGCTGGAATCTTCCTCCTCCTCTTCGTCTTCCTCCTCGTCATCATCGTCGTCGTCTTCCTCCTCCCCTTCCTCGTCGTCGCTTTCGACAAACGCTGCTTTTGGTTGATCTTGATCGTCTGGAGTGTTCGTCATGCTGAATATTCAAAGGTACGCTACGGTACGGTATCTCGCCTGTGGTCTTTCACGAAAGATGGATGATTGCTTGTGTCTTTGTTCCTCTTCTTTTTTGCTTAGACTTTCTCTGCCCGTGTCCTCTGTGGCTAAAGTTCGATTCAATTGTGTTCCGGTACGAGTACGTTACCGTGTTCGAAGGACGCTGTCGCTGTGGTTGCTGAAGCTATCTCCTCGAGCTATGGATTTCAGCTCACCATCTCTCAAGAAGTTGCTCTACTTAACGAAGATGATGAGGCCCTTCCTAAGAAAACACCTACCGGTACGGGTAAGATTGATGATCTCTCATGGTAAAGATAAAGCACGAGGTGGTTATTACTCGTTGCGCGCGTTACGTCTCGTACCGCACCGTAAGAGGGCTACGAGTGGTATTATCTCTCAGTGATAATCCGTGAAGTAGGGTACGGTACTACAGTAAGTACTTCTAGTAGCGAAGAACCGCATCGAATCGATGAAGAAGAATCAGTGGCGGTGGTATTGCGACTCCAATTCGTGACTCATTTCATTCAAGTATTGGGGGTTTTAGAAAACATGAGAAACAAAATTGTCCCCCAAACTAGTGTCGACGACAAAAAATTCGATACGGTGCCTTGGGTTTTATTCCACGTGGTTTTGCGAAGGTTTCGGGCCGTACGGGGGAGGCCGGCCGGCCGGCGGCCAGCCGGCGGTGCCATCCGAACAAATTCGGCGTCGTAGGTAGTTTTGTGGGGTTGGCTGGCTGGGGCCGCTGACGTCATAGTTCCTCGCGTGCATTTTTTTACGAAAAGAATAAAGAATTCGTTTCGTCGCATCAACAGAACGGCAGGGCAACCATCGGCCAATAAATCGGTCGATTCCCCGAAATCATGATTTGGTTGGCCGACACGAGGTATTTCTCTTTTCGTCCCCATGCCGTCCATACGGTGGACAGCTTTTTTGGATTGATTGCTTTGTGAAATTTCACGCTGGCAGCTTCAACTGATCGGTACCCCATTATCTTTTGACACACACCGAAGTTCTTGGTCGCCGGCGGAAGATCTGAACAACCTAGCTCCTGTGAGAAAAACGCCACATCGAATCTTGATTCATATTTCCTGCATTCCTAGAAAAGTAAGTCGATCGGCAAACGGAGAAAACAACGATTCACCAAGGCGTGACGATGCGTCGAGATCCAAAGATATTTGACGAAAGATCTTATGGACGACAAGGATTTGTGTCGGGACGAAATATGTGTGTTGGCATTGGCTTCCGAGGAGTCGTCGAAGAAACCCACCCCACGAGCGCACAAAAACTGTTCGGAAGATGGATTTGGCTCTGCCTCTCTGAGGTAGACAACATATGGGTTGTCGTTTTGTTTGTTTGTCATCACATCGCATCTTGCGAGGCGTTCCTATTTGCGACAGAGGATCACCCAGTCGGTTTGCCCTGTCGAGATCTCATCGAGCTTGGTGCTTGTTGGACGAGGTGCTCTTGCATTTCGATCACGTGCCCTCGGTGGGATTTCCGGGGTCCGGCGAATGGTGCCTATCACTCTTACTACGGGACGCTAGAGAAAAGACCAGTGCGACCATTTTGAGTATGTACGAACCTCTTGCTTCCATGGTTCTGTACATAATTAGGTTTCGTGCACAATTTCTGTTTGCGCTCAGAAAAGGGGGTCTTGGATTCTTCTGAAAGCTGTGTCGGTTTGTTTGACATGCCTGCTTTCTGCCTCGTCGACAGGGGCATTGCCCGGGATCCTTGTCGTGCTGCGACTCGTGTCGTGTCGGAATGTTCGAATTGTCTCTCACTCTTTTGTTTTTTCTGTTGTTGATTTTGACACCGACCAGTTTCCAAAAGATAATCAAAATGGCATCTATTTGGGCACGATACAACAAATTGCTGGACACCCAGCCACTTCTGACCAAGTGTCTGACCTCCCTCACCGGGTTCACCGTCGGAGATATCTTGGCGCAGAAATTCATCGAGCCCAGCGACAAACCGTACGACATTATGCGTACCATCCGCCTGGGATCCTTCGGGTTTCTCTTCCACGGAAGCACCGGCCACTACTTTTACGGAATGCTCGACTCGAAGATGCCCGGAACCAAGCCCGTCACCGTTGCTTCGAAGGTTTTGATCGACCAGACCATCTGGAACCCCATTTTTGGATGCTGTTTCTTTGGATTCCTGAACTTTGCCGAGGGCAAGACGTGGGACGACTACACCAAGAAACTCAACTCCGACCTCAAGACCGCCGTCATGGGATCCTGGGCAGTTTGGGTGCCGGCCCACACGATCAACTTTGCCTTTATTCCTCCCTCCCAGCGATTGTTGTACATTAACACTATCCAGATCGGATACAATATCTTCCTTTCCTTCCTTGGAAACAAGAAGGCGGACGAATAAACAATAATTCATAGACGTGTATGTATTATTTTTTTGGAACGGCAGATGCGAGAAATAAGCATGATATGTGCTATTGTCTACCTTTTTTTAGATTGGTTGTGCCCTTGGGGTGGTGTGTTGCGTTCTGCTGCAAGCGTTGCGTGGGGCAGCGCGGAGGCAACCCGCTCAATCCGAACGCGGCACTGCTCTAGTACAATATATGAGAATAATGCTGGTGCCAAGTAATCTCAAGTACGACGATTAGATAATATCAGTAAGGTAGTCTTCGACGAATAGAGTGAAATTTCTGAAAAACCACGTCAAAATGAAGGAGCAATAACTTTGTTACATTGTATGGTTGTGGATGGGTGGAGAATGGAAAAGGTATTCGGTAGCTCGTGGTGTCTCACTCTATCCTAGGAAGCTGGCTGTCGGCATGAAGAATTTAGAACATGGGAAGCACCCAAGGATAATGCCCTCGTTGTTGTAGTGTCGATGAGAGCCCTGCTTACTAGAGTACGAACTGTACTATTATTACCAACTTCTACTACTCTACTATTACCATACCTTTTGTTCATATCGTACATACCGTGGAATCAAAACACCAAAGTCTGTCTGTCAACMGCAGAATACAACACGAACAAAAACATCGAGTACCCGTACCAGTATCTGATTTCACATCACCTTCGGGTTGTCGGGGATCACCCATTCGTTTTGACACCGAATACAAACGGAGACGCAAATACCTCGGAACAAAACCAGAACCGCAAACAAAGGTGCCAACGCAAACGCAGACGCAGACGCAGACACAACCGCGTGGCAAACGCACCGACAAAGGCCATCGAATTCCTGTCATACCGTGCGCATCGGTTTCCGCTTGGCCGCAGAGAAAAAGCCTAGCCTCTCCCGCCGACCACTGGAGCATACCGGACCAGCAAAGCAGGTCAAGCCAGACCGAGACACCGTGCAAGGCCCGATCCCAGCGCAACACCACGACCATGTCCGGACGGGGAAGAGGACGCGGCAGGGGAAGGGCGCCGACGTCCGGCGCCCGCCTGTTGCTGCAGCGATCGGCCAAGGAAGCCGGCCTGGACGAGAGAAACCTCCGGAACCTCCAGGACATTACCAAGCCCCGTCTCTTTCCCGACTACGAGTGGCACTCGAGCGGCAGGAGGGGGCACAACCTGCCCGGGGAGCCGATAGTCCCGCCGTCCGTGTCCTCCGGCGCCGGGGATCCCTCCCGGGAGCCAACGGCCGTGGCCACCCCCCGGCGATCGACGAAAACCATCCACCTCATCAACAAGAGCCGGGAGATCCACGACCGCTTCCAGAATTCCGCCTTTTACGTGCAGCTCACGCAGGAGGCCGACGTGATCCGCCACGGGAAGGAACGCCAGCAGCAGCAGCAGCGGGCGGACCTCCTGGTGCTCAAGCAAATGAGCAAGACGGCGGATCCGCAGTACGTTCCGCCCGAGCTGCTGAGGGACGACGACCTCGACAACGTCTACGGATCGGACGACGACACCTTCCGCAAGCGGTCGCTAGACGACCTCGCAGCGGAGGAGCGGGCCGAACGACGCAGGCGAAGGGAGGACGACGGGGACGACGACGGGCAGTTCAGCGACGCCGGTGCGGATCCGGCGGACGACGAAGACGAGGAGGACGTGGACTATGCGACGAACCATTACGAAAGCGAGAACGAGGAGAGCGCCGGTGGGGGCGGGGACGACGAGGCAATCTTCTAGGCGCTTGCTTCCTTTGCCGGCAACGAAGCATGCGTGCGAGACGAACGCCGGGGCAGTTTCTCGATGCCGACAAACGGAACCGTCCGTCGATTCAGCGAAAATCCAATCGAGAGAACAGCATGAATTCATTTTGTCATCCTGGAGATCGCTATATGGCGGTGTCAAGAGTATCTCATATTCCTATTGCGATTGGCACAGCTACTCTTTTTCATTCGGCCACGTTGCTGTATGGAAGGCGTACACGAATCTAATGATTACTTACGACCCGAGAATATGAACATTGGATCGAACGAATCTACTGCTTCATGTCGGAAAAAGAACGGTGGTCGAATCGTCGAGGTTTCTGCATCCAAGAGTGAATTTTGAGGACCGATCGAAATATTTGACTCACGCGCAACTCGGGAAGTTTGCACCAAAAGTTTGAGATGGCGTATCAACTACGGAGCCTCGTCGAAACGAACACCGGCCGAACAAAATAATCCCTCATCCAAGAATAAAAATAAAAGAAACTACTCGTAAACCCAACGGACCCTTTGTATTCTCAATTTGCACGCACCTCTACTGTAAGAGGCGGCAAACTAATGACAACAAACAACAAAGTAACGATCCATCCGTAACGAAGACCCTCGGGATCGATATTGTAGGATTTTGAAACAAACAAGAATCAATTGCGTCCGGTAGTCACCGCATTGGAAGTGCTTCGTGTGCTGCGATGGCATTAGTAGAAAGTTACGCATGGATCACCATGTACAACATTTGGTTGCAACACTGGTTGCAACATAACCCAAGCAGTCAGTCACCCTTGACAACATCATGGAAAACCCGGCAAGAAAAAGGCATACCAATGGCAGAAACGCCAGATCCCGATCGCCCTTTCGAACACTGAGGGCGTCACCCTGGATAAGAGGCAATGGAATGAGCGGAAAGATGTTGAACGACAACACTCGAGGTCTCGTAGAAGCCGCCAAGTCCAATCCAAAAAAAATGGTGGTGAAACGAAAAGAACCATTGCCGTTTCGAACCCCACATCCCGTGTCCAACGGAAGCGGGGTTTCCCCTTGGAGGCACCACACAAAGGGGACACAGGAGGAACCAAAAACGGAACTGCACGAGTCGGAAATTAGCATCTTCAAACAGCTCTGCCTCGACAAGCACGACGAGAACGCCGCGATCGAGATCTTGCTGGATTCCACCACAGAAAGCAGCATACCAGAACTCTATACGGCGTCGTCCGAAAGCACGGACCATGGTTCTGGCACGCCATCGAGGAAGAAGGCTGGTTCGGTGGACGGGAAGAAAAAGTTTTTGGATCGGTTGTTTTTCAAGTCCTCAAGGAAATCTTCGAGCCAGTCGGATTCTTCTGCGGCTTCCGACTTTGTGGACGCTTCCAAGGAAAACAACCTTTCTTGGAGCCACTCGTCTAACCTAAGCGACGAACAGAGCACTCCCACTCCTCCGTCTTCCATCCCGAGGACCAGAATCAGCGTCGAAACCGTTTCTGCATCGCCGGCGAAAGTCTCTTGGACAGGACCGCCGGTGAGAATACCTAGTGCGAAGGTGAAAGTAGACAAAACAAGATCGATTCTGGATGATACCCGTGAAGTAGGTGATACGGTATCTAACATTAGTAGTCTTAGCGGAACCAGGGCTAGCAGTCTCGTCACCCCCGTGACTCTGGATCGTCATGAATCATTGGGTTTCGAGTCAATCAGGGACATTCGGAAGTGCTTGCTGGAAGTCGAACGCCAGCTTGGAAAGGCTAGCCAGAAGGGTCAGAGGGTGTCTCGGCAGAAGGTGATGCGAGCTCTGTTTACCGTTGCGGATTCTCTCGAGGACGACGAAGAAAAGGATTACTTGCAGAAAGAATTGAACACTGCAATGAAGGTGGAAAGGGATCCAAAAGTTCAACCAGTCGCACCGGTAGACAAGGCTAAGAAAGCTGACAGCAGCGATGACGAAAAGTCGGAACTTACAAGCAGTGATGATGAAGATGAGTTCACCCTTGACAGCAATACATTCGAAGACGGAGACAGAGGTGAAGACGACGACGAACCCGCATTTAATATTGTGTCCTCGGTTGGCAACTTCTTTGGTGTCAGTACCCGTGACCAACAGACTGTTGAAGAGGTCTTGGACGACTTGCTCTGGACCGAATTTGTATCCTCTCGTCAAAAAAACGAAAAAAGTAAGTCGATGAATGGTGGTCACTCGCCACCAATAATGTCAAGAAAAGGCCGTAAGAAAAAATCGAATAAACAAGAGCATGGCACTAGTCAAAACCATGGAAGTCGCAACCAGTCGTGGTGGAGGAACCGCCATTCAGAAGAGGACGACGACTATTCGAGTTCGTCCTCGGAAGTTGAGGTACCATCCTATCTACCCACGAGCATCACTGTAAAACAGCGGTACAAGAAGCCGAAGAGCTTCGAAAGTACTGTTTCCCGATCAACTACTTCAAATCCAAGATACAAAGTGAAACTTGTAGATACTGAGAGTCGCATGGGGTACGAAATGGACAACGCGCCACGAAGATCACCTGTACTATGAGTGCTGGAATTGCTCAGAATTCCGATATTTCCTTTATGCTCCATTATGGTCCCGTGTTATAAGAATGTCCAATAACTATACATAAAAAAGAACTCTTCGAGCTAACGATTAGAGTAAACATTACTGCTTGTGCTTGTACTTATACTCTACAATTACAATCCTTATAATTAGCATAGAGAACTACATGTAACTTTGACGTTGCACAAGAAACAACCTTGAAATACCCCGATACAAAGTTCGAATGCAACAAATTCCCACCATTGATATGCAATCAATTTACTTTAACCCCGTCCCCGTACTTTTATCCTACTTGCCGCATTACGTGACCCTAGTCGCCTCCGTTTTGGCGCATCCCCCCTCTGTTCTCCTTCTTTGTCTGAAACGAAGAAATTCATTGTGACGTTAGATTTTGACCCACTGAGAATAAATCCACTCATGAAACTGCAGAATCGAATGTCACTTACCATTACTCTTGTCATTATCTTTGTCATTTCCATTATCCTTGTTATTATCCTTGTCATTGCCGTTATCCCCATTGTTATTCTTGTCATTGCCGTTGTCCTTGCCATTGTCCTTGTCGTTATCTTTGTTATTGTCACTGTCCTTGTCATCATCCTTGTCATTCCCATTATCCTTGTCGTTATCCTTATCGTTATCCTTGTTATCGTTCTTATCATTGTCCTTGTCATTGTTCTTGTCATTGTCCTTGTCGTCATCCTTATCGTTATCCTTGTCATCGTTCTTATCATTGTCCTTGTCATTGTTCTTGTCATTGTTCTTGTCATTGTTCTTATCATCGTTCTTGTCTATAGAAAATAAAACTATGGTATTAGATATCACGTATAGTGAAACGGCGCCAAAATGAAATATGAAGGTGAAGCATTACTTACCATCTTTGTCGTCCTTGTCATTGTTCTTGTCGTTGTTCTTGTCATCCTTGTCCATGCCACGGTCATTGTCTGCGACGAAACAAAATAAGCCAATGTTTAGATCCTCATTGAAATTTGTAATAAGAGTTGTGATTCTATCGGAAAACGAAAAAGGAAAAGACTTACTTATTTTTGGAGGCTTGTTGCCGCCTGGCCGGTTGCCTTGAGGCTGCCGGTTGCCTTGAGGCTTAGTTAGTTTGTGTGAACCGTGCTTACTTTTGCTGTACTTGCGTTTTTTCTTCTCGCTTTTGTGTTTTTTGTCACTCTTGCTTTTCTTTTTTTTAGAGGATTTCGACGACTTCTTGTCTTTCTTGCTGTGTTTCTTAAGGCTCTTCTGTCCACTTTTGTGCGACTTGTCATGCTTATCGTGAGGCTTGCCATCTTTGTGAGAACCCTTATGATACTTTTCGCTATGTTTCAACGATTTGGAATGATGAGGCTTGCCATCTTTGTAAGACTTGTCTCCTTTATGATATTTATCGCTGTGTTTCAACGATTTAGAATGATGAGGCTTGCCATCTTTGTAAGACTTGTCTCCTTTATGATAYTTATCGCTGTGYTTYWRSGATTTAGAATGATGAGGCTTGCCATCTTTGTACGACTTGTTGTGCTTGTGGGAATACCGCTTAGCTGATTTTCCGTGAGGCTTGCCGTCCTTGTAGCTCTTGTCGCCCTTTGAATAATAATTGGGTTTGTTGCCTCGGGAATCGTGGTAAGTTTTCGGGCTTTTGTGTGAATACCCTCCCCCATGATCATTGTCATTAGGCCTGTGCCCAACTCCTCGAAATTTGATTCCGCCATTCAGTTCCCGAGATAAATCTTGTTGAATATCACCAACTTCGTTTGATGGAATTTCACTAAGCGTGCGTCTCCGCAACGAAAAATCAGAAGCGCACGTCGCTACTGCAAATAAAATGATAATCCCTGTCGATACAAACTTCATCTCTGCCTACTAGATTATATGGTTGTCGACCAATTTGTTAAATCCTGGGAATGAGTGCTTATGCAGCTTGAAATTGTTGCCAAACGGGTGTCTTCGATAGGAATCTATCTCAGATTTTTCTCCAAGTAACAGTATTATACTTCGGTTGGAGTTCGTTACTAGACTCTAAAAAAAATACCGGTACAAATAGAATCTGTACGTACTTTCCCAGTACTCTTAACGTAGTACCGATAGAGAGAGAAATTTTGTGAAACCCCAACTGCTTGGATTGAAGAGTAGCCATCAAAGGCTGGCTCGCCTGGAGTGGAAGGATAACCCCAACGGGATCCAGGGGTTATGGCCTCTAAACGGCAAGAGCAAACTTTTGAAAAAAAGTAACGGCACGTTAATTTTTTTTGAAATTTTATGTAGAATATCTTGGTCGCATTTTTGCCGTTACGATAACGTTTATAAGTCAGCGCCCTTTTCCTCAGGCACATTTTCACTATCTTATCAAGAAGTGTCGAAAAGGAAAAATGAAATCGAAAAAATGTACTCGTACTTGGACGTACGATACTCGTACGGTAGGGAGTTCTTCGTGGAACGTTTCTAATGGTATTATTGAGTGATTCCAATTCCTGTAATCATAAAAACATGGTATCAATGGGTTATTCCTCGTCAAAACACTGAAATATGTATGTCTCCACACACAGATTCTCATTACCCTGGGCCCACAACAACCAGGATCTACTATGTACTATGACGAGGATGGAGACATATTGTTTTAGTAGTAGTAGTGGTAATTGGAATCCTTGTTGTTGACTGAAAATTTTCAGTGTCAGTGGGCAAATGCACACTAAATGATATATGTACTAAATAAAATGGGATTCCAAATTCCAAAAATGGGGGGAAATATGCACCACTGAAGATGATTCCCAATTACATACCTGGTAATACCATGTTTTTCTGAAGAAATATAAAGTTATGGAAATGAGATGCTGCTGCTGGTGGCATATGATGGTGAGTTTGCTGATGCATACTACGCTGTAAGAAATTCAAAGTTTAACTTCCAGTACCACTAAAGACTAATCTAGACAATCTAATTTTGACAGACAAGAAGACCAAAAACTAGATTATCTAGACCAAATATTTTTTATGGAATTTTAGCATGTATCAATTTACCACTCATGGACAATCTCTTGCCGTTTAGAGGCCATAACCCCTAAATCCCGTTGGGGTTATCCTTCCACTCCAGGCAAGCAAGCCCTTGATGGCTTTTCTTCAATCCAAATAGTTGGGGTTTCCCAAAATTTCTCTCACTATTGGTACTATGTTAAGAGTACTGGGAAAGTACGTACAGATTCTAGTATTTGTACCAGCGTTTTTTGTGGAGTCTAGTAGTAAGGAACCCCAACCCCAAATTCACAATAGAAAAATTAAATAAATTAAAAGACTCAACAGAAAGTTCTACCAAAAATTAAGACTAAAAATTTATTAGAATAAGAATGGTCCTTGGCCTCTCCTCTATCACCAGCACAGCGTGGTGGGGGCACCATAAGAACAAGAAGAAAGACCACCACCATTCCCAGTACCCACAACCCTCATAGGAGTGGTCACTACTAGTACTACTACTTTCTATCTCCAGTCCTAGTAGTTCTTGAAAAAAAGAGTTGAGGTCAGACTGGAGTTGGAGCAGACATGCCAGTGCCCCCTTCATCAACATTCATTCTTCCCAGAAGGATGGCAGTAGACAAGAACATCATGAAGGAGACTTTTAGTACAGAAGGACACCAAGCAAAAGTAGATGCTGGGCCAGCAGGAGGTACTGCAAACTAGTAATCCTAGAAAGAACTTGTGTGGTTGATGACCCTCATCAAGGAGATTCTATTTCTTGTTGGTCCAGATGACTGAAATTTGGAGCCAGCAGTCCTCAGAGGATTGGATTTCAACTTTCAGTCTATTTGCAGGTACCCAAACTCATTGTTCTTCCAGCCTGTGATATTTTGTTCCAATTTCTCTAACATACTACAGTAATTGATTTCTTCCTCAATTGGTAGACTGACCATGGCAAGTGGGTGATTATGAAATACTGATAGGAGGATCCTCCTCATGGGAACCTTGAGTCATTTGTATGTCCTTGACTCACTATGGTCGACATGAGACCAAATACATATCCTCTGGTGTTTTTGTACCAAAAGACCACCAATTCACAATAACAAGTTGCATCTGCTGCCTCTGTAGACTTTTCCTTCCTTTTCCATCACTACTAGATAGTAGTGGTGGTGGAGGGATGGAACAATCCCATTGTTGTTGTTGACTGTGGATCTGTTAATAGTTGGACCAAACAGCTCAAGTAGCTATCTGAAGACTTTGCAAACTATGCCACAACAGTTGAGAAGTGTTTGGTCATCACCTGACTCAAAGAGGAATACGAATGACAACAAGTTTGCCTGCCTGTGGATTGCAATCCTGTGTGTCTTTCTGTGCCTTCTGTGCCTTTCCTCTATTTTCCAGGCATGTACCAGGTGGTTTCTTTCTTTGTCATTCAGTATACAGTCACTGTTTGCTTTATTTTTGCAAGAGGAAGAGTATGGTCTAAAGTTGAGAATGGTGGTGCAAGAAGGAATACACTCCAAATCTTTGATACTAGTATGTGAGTATTTAAGATTTGCATGTTTCTTATGCTATTGGTAGTAGTGATATTAGAATCCAAAAGTTCATTTTTTCTTTCTACCAAAGAGACAGGTGGCCATCTTTGTAGTCATTGGGGTATGGTTTTCTTCAGATTGCAGCCATTGTCATTGCCATAACAGCAGCAGTGGCAAATCCTGCTATGAAGTCAAAAATTGTCAACACCTGTGGGTTTGCTCTAGGAGCAGCAAGATCCTTCAAAAGATTGAGATCTTCTACCTTGTTCTAGATTCTAATGGTGGTCAAAAACCCAAGTTCTTCTGACTTTGCTTTGCTCTCTTGAAGAACACGAAAGGCTTTGATAATAGCATCCAGGTTGGGCATCTTGTAGAGGGATGGATGATAAATCCCTCCCATGATATAACCGTCAATGAATGCTGGTCCATCCACACCTGCTTGTTCCTCACAGCAGTAATACTTACATTGAGCCTTGTCCTCCTCTAGCCTTTGTCTCGTGTACATTATAGCTGGACAAAATTATGGGCTAGCTTGTTGACCTTTAGCATGATGGAATTGAATTTTTGCTCCACTACTACTAATGCTGGTCAGATATGGGAAACCAAATCACTTCTACCCATCAAGAGCAGAACACTAGTGCTCAGAAATGTAGCTAGGTTGGGACCATACTAGCCTCAAAACTAATTTCTTGATATTGTGACTCAGCAAATTTGTCTGAATCTTCACGTTCATAGTGCTCTGAAAGGGAGGGAGTAGCAAATTCTGAATATTCTTTGCCTTTGCATATGAGAAAACCTCCAGGACCTCTATACTAGAGTGAAGTGATATAATATCCTGATGTTACAGGACAAATAATTTCCTGCAAAATCATGACTATCCTCCTCTGCAAATGGAATTTGGATATTTGTATCATTGTACACTATGGTGAATTTTAGTCAAGGCATCACTTTTTTCTACCAATTTGTTAAAGAGCTCTCTTTTGGTGATGCCCCCTGCCTTGCAAGTGGCAGGTCTGAAACTCTTGACTTAAAATTTTCCAGCATCTTTGCAGATGGGCTGGTCTCCAGAATAAATGCACTAGGACAACCACTCTTCTTAGTGACTGTTTCTACTACCAGCAGTAAGTAGCATCAAATTCAACCTTGCAGGAGCAGGAATGCTTCAGTGACTACCTGCACCAGAATTCCATTTCCTTCAGCAATCCCTCCTCACCTGCAGCATCTTGAGTGATCATCTGCAAAAGAACCCTTTTGTTGCATAAACCTGCAGTCACTTTATTCCAACAAGGCACTGGTGTATTTCTTGAAGGGTTGTTTGTTATTCCACTCCCATTACTATTAGTACTACTACTAGTATTGCTAGCACTACTGGCACTAGTAGCACTACTAGTAGCACTACTTGCATTACTTGCATTACTTGCACTACTAGCACTACTCAAGGATCTGGTTTGTATGATGCAAAAAGAACCATTGAAATTGCCAGTACCAAAATATTGGTCATCTTCTTTCATTTGTAAAGACACAAGAGTCTGGACACATTTTGGACCTTGGAAAGCATTGCTATGCTGATGATTTTTCTTCAGGATCTTATAATTTATCATCATACTGCCCCTTGGAGCAAATACTACTACTAGTAGTAGTAGGATAGTCCTTCTCTTTGGAAGTGATGATTCTTGCCTTCCTAGCTCCCTGTTGACTGCCAGTAGTTTGTGAGATTAGAAATAACATTAAAGTTTTTGGTTTAATTAATTGTTGCTTATATTGGTGCCGGAGAGGAAGGAAGCAAGAAATATGTGGTAGTGTTTGTGTTCTTGGTGATTGATGCTGATATTCTCTTTTTTGTTTTGAACAAACAAATATATTTGATTGCTAGTAAAGAACAAACACTGTAGGTGTGTTATCAAAGGATATACAAAGTACTATAACAATCATTTGCAGAACTTTTGAAAATAAGTCCCAGTATCACTGTATCAACCAGTCAACTGCCAAAGATAATCAGCATCATATTATGCATCTCAATATGCTGTTATATGGCTGGTGGTGATGGGAGATAATGAGATATCATAGGAAGAATATGATCACATTGAAATTGTAAACAATCAGCCAGGATTGGTGGTATGGATAGTAGGGATTAGTGAGGGGAAAGAGTAAAGATAAACTAGTACAGATATATGCAGTACTACTGGATTCATATAGTTTTTTACCTATGTTTTGCTTACCAGCACCACTGTCAATTTGCCATTAGGAGCCAAATTAAAGTTTGAAATGCCAGATGGATCTCAAATTACCTATCATTTGGCAGAAATTGACTCATTGGATTTCAAGATACTACTATGCCAAGTTGGCCTTTGAGCACTTATTTCTTGTAGTATACTATGGGCCTAGTGCAACATCATATAACAAAATGAATTTGTGGACACAAGGAATAAAAACTAGTACTACTAGTAGAACCAGTAAGGGAGGAAATATGGTATCCAAAGTAATGTTTGGTGAACATTGTATGTGCTGACCAACAACTCCTGATTATACTGTATAAAAATAGTAGTATGCAGAACATAAAATTAATTATACAACACAGGTTGGTTCATGGTAAGATACCCACACATCTTTGCACATTCTTCATCTATTGTAACACTCTAACTGGACACCACTACTATATTTTCTCATTATTTCATGTATTGAAGCAAGGTTACTACTAGTATTCTCCTCAATTTGGAGACCAAAGAAAGTCTTCTTTTTCAAGTAAGATTGAGAAGGAAACTTCTGCTTGAAACTTCACGCTGTTGTCTCAACAGTATCTTCCTCTCTTCTTCCTTCCTTGTTTTGGATATTCTCATCATTACAAAAGTATGCTGAGCTAATGTGTAGGCAAATGATAGTTCATGATTTTGTGTACTCCATCAAACGGTTTAGCACAGAAAATAAAAAGAAAAATATTTCTAGCATGTGTTCATAAGAGCTGAGCATGTGCAGAAAACACAAGGCATTGTAGCGATTTTTGAAAATAGAAAGTATGCTGGAAGCAGTACCAATCCTAAATTGCAGCGGTAGAACTCAATTAGGAAGACTTCTATGCTCCTTTATTGTGACTGTAAGAAGCCAGAAAATAAATTGGTAAACGAATTGAACGGCATAACATCTACCGGTGATTCTTGCAGTAGGAAGAAGGATTACTCTCCGCTAGAGCTAGCAAAGTTTCCCAAGATTGAAGCACTTCAGGAACATAATGAGAGGTTAAGAGTATATTTGATCATTTCCGAAACAAACGCTCCATTATCGAAATCAACCTGAACGTCTACATCTTCGTAACCAAAACAAGAAAGTGCATCGTTTTCAATCAGAAAAAATATCTGCCTTCTTTTGAGAGAACACGATTGGAACCACCAGGTATTGTAATCTCATGTTTTGGATCGCCGTAGTCTTTCACGATATGAAGATGGCGGAGTCGTTACCAATGAATCTATTTCTAGACTGTCTCACACATGTTGTCGAGGCAATCGAAATTCTTGATTAATCCACCACCGATTCGTGGTTTTTAAAATTAATGCAGTGCTTCACTTCCTCTTTGTTGCGGCTGCTTCCTGCATCCACACCGTTTTCAGCATTGCGTGGAACGCCACTTGCTCCAAATCTTTTTCGTCGTAGGTGCAAGAATCGCTGCTGTTATTTCGTTCCGCTCTTTCAAAGATGCCCCCGCAAACCTCGAGGCCCTCTGCGCGTGCCTTTCGCACCTCCGGTGAGACACTAAGATCGTTCAATACCATCTGGGCGGCTTCCTTAACTGTGCTCGTAATATCCACAACCGTTTGCTGCCAAAGGAGCTCCATGGCTGTTTGTTGGAGATGCGATCGTTTAAGTGCATCCATTGCCAGATCTTCGAGCTCTTCGTCGCCGGCACTTTTTTCAATAGCAGTACTGACTTGCATGTGCAGCTCCCTGTTCTCCGTTTTCCCTCCAATTTGGCAGGTTTTCTTTATTACTTCCATGGTGCCCAATTTCATCATCTCGTTCTGTTTCTTAGCCCATCTGCTCACAGAGGGCATGCCTATTCCAGATTTCATTGAGCCAAGGAAGTGGATTGCAGTGAAGGTATAAACCTGTTCTCATTCGAATTCGTACATGTTAGAGAGGGAATGAACCATTGGTTAGCCCGAAGAACCAAACTCGTCTACGTGACTTTACAGTCCCCCTGAGATGCAACGCAATGGAAAACGAACGGAATGGACAAATGTCTTACCTTTCCAATGACGTGTACCAACTTTGGTCCGTAACTCGCATCGCACAAAAACGTTGCTTCTTCTTCCCAGTTTTTTATGGCGGTATCGTGCTCGTTGTCTTCTGCCCAGATCGAAAGTCGTTCGGCAAGCTTAAGTGCCAGTCGAGTCACCCTTCGCTTTTGCAAAAGCCTCGACTGGGCCAGGGAAAGCTTGGATTCTACCTCGCAACCAACACGCGTCGATGTCACCGCCGCTAGCCTGCCAATGTGGTCGTTAAATTTTTCGGAGCCAAACAATACGCTGTAAAGCACCATAGGATCGACCGGTTCTTCGTTTTCGTCGTCGCTGTCTTCGTCMCACAATAATTCTCTCCCTACCCTGTCGTATTTTGCTCGCAAGGCAGCATTCATCAGAACAGCGTAGGCGCGGCCAATCTCATCGAATTCTCCCTGTGCTTCGGCAGTGTTTGCCCCGCATCGATCCGGAGCGTACTTGCGTGCCACAATGAAATACCGTCGCTTGATGGTATCCTGATCCACGTCGCAATCCAGCCCAAGTTTGTCGTAATAATACATATCCTTCACAACCTTGCGTTGGTTCTCGTCCCCATTGATGTTTCTGTTGCTTGAGGGTCTTACGTCCTCGGGAAGCGCCATTTCTCCCAATATGTCCTCGTCGTACGCTGGTTCCCCCTTGATCCACCGTTCTTCCTCCAGAAGATAAGTCTGCACCCATTTCCCCAATGCACCATTCCACCAAAATCTCCGGGATGGTGCAATAACAGCGCTCGGCGTTGCTGCCACACCCATCGCAATTTGTGAAACACCTGTGACGAGGCCTCCCCCCAAAACATTCACGCTCTGGACTACGCCGGACACGATGCCTCCAGAGGCACCGGCTATTCCGCCGATGATCCCAGCTTCCTTCTTCCCTTCTTGTCCCGCCACCGCTGGCACGAGCTATTACGTTTCCCCCCCGATTTTCCCAATTCGGACAAAAAGTGAACCAAATCCAAACGCCCGCACGAAAATGAGTCGGGCAAGTTCGAATATCAAGAGCAGAAAAAAGTATTCAAATACACGCGTGCCAGATGTAAATGAAATGTAGCATGAGCAATTGAACATTTAGGGATAAGCATGGCTCAAGAAATGTGCCTTGATTCACATCGTGTCGTGATGTATCGATAACAATATCTGTGCACAAAGGCAAGGCAAGCCAACGACCCAAAACCACAAGCCAACTCTCCACTCAAACCCAACGCATTGCATTCACTTAACATACCACTAGCGCTCCACATGCACCGACCGCGCCGCGGAGAACGTATCCAATGCCGCTCGACAACCCCTCGCCGATGTGTTTCGGTTTTGTGGTGCCGAGGATGTGCTCCACCTCCGCGTTCGCAACATCGTAGTCGTTGTCTTGTTGATGCTCCTCTGCTTCGCTTTTCAGACCCTCGCCTCTGCTTTTTTGGTGTTGGATGGTTCCTGTCCCGTTTTGTTCCCCGGCTTGATTATTCGCCATCCTTTGTTGGCTGTTGAGTATTGGTTGACTCTAGTACTTTTACCAGGGTTGATATTGAAGTCGAAACAAGACCCTGGTCCTCTTTTTGATCTGCTACTTATGACATAAATTGATTTACGAGTGATCGTACCGAGTGATCGTACCAATACCGTACCGTAGGTCGTGTCGTACTGAGTGAAGCATGAGGAAGTGCGATTGCGAGTTGCGAACCTCAGTGAAAACAGACACCATCTCAGTTTTAATGGACTTAACCTTCTTCGCCAGAATAAGAATTTTACCATGCACGAATGACAATCCATTGATCGTCAATCACCAAAAAATTGGCTGATCTATTGGTTCTTTTCATACGGACTGGTGGTGCCGTGGCCTAATCTACAACTGTCAGCAACTGCAGGTGAAGCACAAGAAGTATCCCTTGATGTCACCCTATAGGTACTTAATTCTATTCAACAAGTCATTTCTTTTTTTATGTTATTGTACAATATTTCTTGTACGTACGTTGTTGCTTTATATCACTAGCGATTTCGGCTGAATTGTTCTCTATTCGTGTGGTGCTTTTGGAAGTACTGTACAGGTCTTACAAGAAGAATATTAGAAGAAGGAATGAAACTACGCTCGTTACGACTAACTACTTGCAAAAGACCAATTTCTTTCTGGCGCCGGTCTGCTCCCCATAATACCCCCGCTTGTGCGTGTCAAAGACCTTTTCGAAGCCCTTCAGAAGCCTGGCGTGGTGCTCGTCGATGTCTTCCTGTGTAATGGTATTACTGGGGCTGTCCGGAGTCGTCTCGTCGCCGCTGCTGCTACTGCTCTCGGGGGGATAAATGGGATCGCCCAGGCACACCGTAATGGGAACGTTTCGCTTCGGTGGGCCCAAAAACCATTTGTAGCGGCCAAAAAAGGGTGTCAGACTTACCCCAAAGGTAATCGAGAGATACTTCATGATTCCAAAGGGATCTACCAAAATGTCGTAGACCTCGGCGTGTCCAAACCCGTAAACAGGAACGAGGGCCGCGTTGGCCTTCAGTGCAATCTTCACGATCCCCTTGCGTTTCAGAATGGCACCGACCTCCGTGTCGGTGTTTGTAGCGTTGGCATTGTGAAACATGCCCTCAATTCCGTCCAGGATTACGCCAACGTTGCGATCCTTCTTGGTCAGCGCCTCTAGAATGTTCTTGGACTTGGCGGGTATGTATCCAATCGCTTTAAGAAAGTAGCCAACAAAGGGGAGGCTCAGAAGCACCGGCGCACAGGTCCACGAGCAGAGTTTCGAGTTCCAGACCTTGGAAAAGTAGGGGTAGCCAACGATCCCATACGGAGCCAATCCGTGGGGGATGATGCAGTAGATCACGGGTCGATCGTTGTTCGGGCCTTTCTCCAGAGCAGGCCGATGCAGACTGGCAGGCCAAACATAGCTCGTGCTGCAATACTTGGTCGTGTTTCGTTCCGTGTATAAGTACTGGGAATATCCGGGATCCACCGGGTTAAGGTCGTCCTTGAGTCTGGAACCGCGGTTGTATCGTCTCAAAAAGATTGGAACCATCCAGAGCCTCCAGAGGGCGTACAATCCACCGTGGTACACCACTACGAACCAAAACAGGTACTTAGCGGCCTCCATCCCTAGCGCCAGCCAGGCAAAGGCCAGAGACGGAAGGGCAAATGGGGTTACGTTGCCCACCATGTAGAGAGATATTCCGATGCATCGTTCTATGTCGACCATTCGATCGATGGGATGGACTTTCTTGAGATCACCGGGGGGAAATCCGCTGGGACTGGAGCTGGTGGCTATCCAGGGCCTGGCATCATCGGCGTTCTTGTTGTCTTCTTCCTTTCCGCCGATCCACTCGGTCACTGGCACGTCCTTCCGAAACAGGTCGTCCGGGAGTTCAGCCGCACTCAGCTTGTAGTAACATGGCGAAGAATGCTCGTTTTGGTTCTTTTCTTTCGTGGTTGCTCTCGTTGTCGCCATGGTTCTTGCGTGTTGGCGTTAGCGTTGGAGCTTGTGCTATTGCGGTTTGTTTTGTGCTCAAGCAGTATAATGATTTGCTTTGTTTACAATGCCTCCTGCTGGCCCGATCACCGCCCTTCTAGTACTTGTTCGTATTGTTTAGGGAGAAGGTTTTGCTTTCGTCGTGAACGTCGGCGATGTAATGGTAATATTATGATAAATCCATACACTATCGCAGTCGTTTTCAATACGGGACGGGAATGCCTGCGAGACAAAAAGCACTCAAGGATATTTGTTCACGCGCTTTGAGGAATGATGCACAGTTTTACTGCGTGAATCTTGCTGATGACGATGTCGTGTCCGGGATTCATTCATTCACTCTGAAAAGGACGGGTACAGTATGATTCTTACGGTAACAACAACGCTTCACTCTTTTTTAGCAGTTACTGTACTGTATTTATCTTTTGACTTCGTACTACTGTACCGTACAGTACATTTTTTCGTACAGAGGAGGATGGAACTCTTCTATGTACTCGTATGTATCATACTTTTATACTGTATTCATAATAGATATGAATGGAATCAAAAGAGTACAGTTAAACATCGCAACAATTTTTTGAATGGAAAGTACGAGTACGAGTAATAGGAACACGGTAAGTAGAATACAGTTCGTACCATTACGTTACGGTATGTCATTGGCGCGCCAAAGCTTCGCGCCTAATTTTCTTCCTGCTTCACTTCCTAGTGAGAGCGAGATCCTTCCAAGAGCTGAGGGAGAAACGTACACAAAGCTCTCCTTTATCGCGTTAGAACTAGGGTACGAGAACTGTACTTATCATACCACACCGTACGTACGGTTCACCGCAAGGCACCGAAACCCTCTCTCTGCCAAAAGAGTTCTCTCAAGGTTCGACGGCTAGAACTATTGTTGCACCACCCGCAGCCTTGACCCACCAAGAAGGAACGGGACAGACCATCCGCTCTCCCACCGACATACGGTACGATACGATACCCGTGTTCCAAGCAGTCAGCACTCTCATTTGACACGAAACTAGGAAGAAAGCAACAAATTATTTTGCCATGGGAATCAAAGGTCTCGCCAAACTGCTTTCCGACGAAGCACCCGACGTGAGTGAAAGGAAAAGAAAAGAACGAACACGAGACGGTTGTGTTGATGTTCAGCGGTGCAACCCATTCCATGTGGCACGTGTGCTGGATGGATTGTTTCCAGAATTGCCACCGGTATCGTTTTCTGTTGTCACCGGTAGGATTTCGTTCCATCGATTCGTGCTCTTTCGTAGTCTCGTCTCATGTCTTCTCAACCCGTCTCGCCCCGCCAACTATGACGAACGAACTGTGCTTGCAACCAACAGTGCATTCGAGAGGTCGAATTCAAATCTCTCCACGGACGAAAGATCGCCATCGATGCCTCCATGGCCATATACCAGTTTCTGATCGCCGTCCGGAGCGGTGGGCCAAACCAGCAGGCAATGATGCTTACCAACGCGGACGGAGAGACCACGAGTCATATCCAGGGAATGTTCAACCGAACTATCCGCTTCTTGAACGAGGGCCTGAAGCCCGTCTTTGTCTTTGACGGAAAGGTACGCAGCATGTATCTTGTATTTTGTTGTCCCTTTCTCTTTTTGTGTCTTCAATGTGTATTCGATGCGGCAAGGCGTTGTATCTAACCCGACGTACGCACAACAAATTCAATCCACACATCGTCGGTGATTCCACAAACCACTTCTACTGACAACAAAAAAACAACGCGATCTACTCCGCAGGCCCCCAACATGAAATCAGGGGAACTGGAAAAACGCAGGGAAAAACGGCGCAAGGCCGAGGAGGAGCTCAAGAAAGCCAAGGAAGAGGAAAACACGGACGAAATCGACAAGCACTCGAAGAGGCTAGCGAGGGCCGGACGAAAGGAAAACGAAGACTGCAAGCGACTGCTGCGGCTCATGGGGGTTCCCGTGATACTGGCGCCTATGGAGGCGGAGGCCGAGGCCGCGGCCCTCTGCAAGGCCGGCAAGGTCTGGGCGACCGGGACGGAGGACATGGACGCCCTGACGTTTGCGACCCCCATTCTGATTCGAAAACTAACCTTTGCGAATCAGTCCTCCAAGGGGGCCCAAATACAGAGCATGAACTACAAAAAGGCGATCGAGGGACTCGGGTTGACCCACGATCAGTTTGTCGATTTGTGCATCCTTTTGGGATGCGATTACTGCGACAACATCAAAGGAATTGGGCCAAAGACCGCGTGAGTGAGAAAACCATACTCAGTGCCGATGTTCGTCTGTTTTGCTCACCAAGGCTTCCAGGCCGGAATTCTCGAACAAGGAATCCGTTTTGCTCACCGTTGCTTCTTGTTTTGCTCGTTGTCTGTTCTGTCGCAACAAATGATCACCGCAGCCTCAAGCTCATTCGCGAGCACGGCAGCATCGAAAAAATACTGCCGGTGGTGAAGGATGTTCCGAAATACACGGTCCCCGCGAACTGGATCCCCGACGAGAAGGACAAGGACGAAACCACGGACGAGGAGGCAGAAGCAGCGAAAGAGGCAACCACCCCGGCCTACGTGCTTGCCCGGGACCTCTTCCACAACCACGAGGTCGACACGGACGTCGAGCTCAAGTGGAAGGAGCCACAGGCGGAGGAGCTCACCAAATTCCTGGTCGACGAAGCGGGCTTCAACCCCGAGCGGGTGAAGCTCCAGATCGAGAAGCTCAAAAAGGCGCACGCGGCCAACCGCAAGCCCCAGGCCAGGATGGACTCCTTTTTCAAGGTCGTTTCGAACCCGGCGGCCGACGCCAAGCGCAAGAAACGACTGGAGAACGAGCGGGCCAAGAAGAAGCAAAAGGCGGCCGAGGATCGCAAGAAAAAGGGCAAGAGCAAGAGATAAACAGGCAACAGCATCAACAAGTCAACAGTTCGAAAGCATGTATGCACTACCATAAGCGCATGAGGCATTGTTGTATCAAACATATCTGATTCGTTGGGAACGAACAATGAAAAGCATAGAAAATAATAAAAACCAAATACTGTACATCGCAATGTTAGAAAAAACTATCTACAGTGTGTTTACTTTGACCGAAAACACAAAAGATTTTGTGGATTGCACTCGTTCTATTAATTTACTCTACAGTGTTACGAGCCGATGCCACAAACTACAAGGTTCGGACCCCCACCTACTTTGCATTTCCCCCTTCGACGGCCGAATCCTGTTCGGTCGTCGGAAGCAGGGGTGGACGAAATGCCAAGCAGACATTGTTGGCGTCCACCCCAAAGGGGCAATCGCAGGAAAACCGAGCGAAGGATCCCAGAAAGGTCTTGTGTCCCTCGTGGCATCTTAGCTTGCACTCTACGCAGAATCCACGATCGAGTGCCGGGATCATGTTGCAATCCAAGCAGTGGTACATTTGCGCCAGTGGGACACTCCCCGAGAGCCGCTGGGATCGGCTTCGAGCGATGCAGCAATGCTTCAAGGTCCCTGTCTTTTGGCATCCCTCTGTCAACTCGGAGTGGTGGTGAAAGACTCTCTGGTTGACAAATTTCAAAGAGCGGGTTACTCCAGGGTCGTTGCGCAACCACAAGGAAAGTGGTATAGACCTCGGCGCGATGTCCTTTGCATTCACTTCTACCAAGCATGGCAACCTTCGTATGGTCTTGTGAACCGCAAAGGGTTCCACCTTGCTGCATTGCTGGATGTCAAGGATGATCAAGGACGTCAGTTCCGCCACGGCTTCGATCGCTCTGTTTGTCAATCTCGGGAGACTCGCTACCCGCAGGATTTTCAACGAAGGCCGCAGCGTTCTGCTCCGTTTGGATGCCGGCGGAGCCTCTTCTTTCCCTCCCTTACAGCCGCCAATTCTTTCTCCCCTGCGCAGGTTGTGGCACAAGGCGATGATGCCGTCGTCGCCGATTCCAAAACACGCCGAGACATCAACCTCCCCCAGCACGCGGCAGTACTTGGCCAGCGATTGCAGGGCCTGGTTCCCTATCGTGCCTGCACGCATCTGGAAACAGGTCAGCGTTTCCCCGCAATTGACGGCCAGTGCCTGGATTTCCCAGTCCGAGACTCCTTCGCACCCCGCAAGGTGCACTTCTCTCAGGCACCTTCCCAGTGAAAAGGTGGCAACCGTGCCGCGAAAAATACCCGAATGTGGGCTGCCGGCACCGTTCAACACCAGGTGCCGTATTTTGAGACGAAAGCTAGGCTCGTTTTTCCAAATGTAAACATCGGGCTGAAAGTCTAGAACATGTCGATTCCCATGTAGCATTTCGTTTGCGTTGATCCCTTCGTTGTTGAGTGCGCGGAGGTTGTCCTGAACCCTTTGGACCCTCCCTTGCACGGCATGCATGTATTCTAAACTCCTATTCAGATACGTGTTCATGGTTCCGAACACATCGTGGGAAACAAGCCTTAAAGGCTTTGTTCCCGTCAGGTTCAATGATTCGATGCCGTCGGGCAGTAAATCCAAAAAGTAGTCCTCGGACTCCGGCGACTCCTTGTCGTGGATATGGACCAAGCTCTGTAGATCCAGGTGTTTGAGTGAGGTCAATACCCTCAGGAGTGCAAACACGTCCGGTGTTCCGATTCGTTGCGAGCAGGATCCCAGGGACAGAGAGAGGAGTCCTGGGTGGCGGCGCCCGATGCAAGCCAGAATCTCGGGGCCAACGCAGCGGCACCCGTTCAGGTGTAGATGCCGTAGCGTGGTGGGGCAGTTGTTCAGGTAGTCCAGCAGCACCCCGTGATCCAAACGTGCACAGTTCGTGAGATCGAAGGACACCAGCGATGCCTTCGATAGCCCCGCAAACCAGGAGGCACCCGTGATTCCCCTGAGATTGGATATTTCTAGGTGCTTCAATCGATTGCGTGGGCATCGGCCGAAGAGCGATTGCAGCAAGACCTGCACCGCGAGCTGCTGTCCCTGGTTTCCGACCAAGCTGTTGGGGTACTTCCTCAGCAGAGAACTCAGGGAGAGCGAATCCGCGGAGCACAGATGGAACCGCAGCGGCGTCACAAAGACGGATTCGGAGGCCCGAAGAAGCGAGATGTAGTCCGAGGCGTCGCAATACGCGAGTATCACGGCGATGAGGTTGTCCGGTATCGGCAGGTGCTTGCGCCTGCGCCTGCGCTTTCGATCGCGTCCGAGCCGCCCGGTGTCACGCCCATCTGCTGGCAAACTCGTTTGGCCCGTGGTGCGAGAGGCCATATCTTCGGTGTCTTTGTGTCTTTCAATGTCGAGCCCGGGTGTGCATAGTGCGTTTGCTGCTAAAAATCGATGGCATCCATTCTGTCAGACCCAGATGCCTTCTACCGGTAGAGTCTTTTAGGGTTGATTGCCGATCACCAAGTTGTCAACAAGACAAATACCAAAAACAGGAGATCGATATTGTACATACATACTGTACTGTACTCTAGCCTGCTGTATTGTGCCTACGTGCTCGTACGACAGGTGTTCAGTTCAGAAGACTACCTACGGTAATACCTTAGAGCGCGTAGGCAGAAACGAAAGTGTCACTAAATAAAAGTGGACGACTCGTACCGTATCGTATTGTCGTATTGTACGGTTCGTACCCGTACGTATCGTTTGAATTTTCAATTTTCGCCACAAAATTCAAAATCGCAAGATTTGATTCGAGACAATCGGTTCCCGTTTCAATCGAGTCGTGTTACGTCTGTCATCATTCCTTGCTAAGGCTTCGACAACAAAGACCGTGTTCCAACCAACAAAATCACCGTGTTTGATGTTCAAAAATGCCCGCAGCGCTTCGAGTACGGTAGTATGCTTTTTTGCCCAGCTTGTGCACATGACATCCCTCGGCACCCGACACCAACCCACTACTACCGTATCGTATCGTATGAAAGCAGTTGGTTTGTGATAGCATCGTTTACGGGCACGGAAGATTCAGCCACAAATTTATCGCGACGATCACTCAGTAACAATTCGGTCGAGAGTAATTGCGACACCAGCGGACGACGTTTGATTGACGTTTAAAGCAAAGCAAAGCACACACGTAACGCCAACTGCGCCAGATCGGTTGACATCCACCGCGTGCGACGAAATCTCTTTGAATCGCATCGGATTCCATCGCACAGCATCGCCCACGGAAACAAGTAGACCTATAGCCGGGACCGTCTCGACACGAAGCGCAACACAACACAACGCAACACAGCTCGGCACAACAATGGAAACGTCCGCAAAAGTAACGCTGTTCGAAGATATATTCGAGGTCACGGCCCTGAACCCCGACGGATACAAGTTCGACCGGGTGAACCGGATCCAGGCCGTCGGGACCACCTTCGAGTGCGACCTCCTGCTGGACATCAACTGCGAGATCTACTCGCTCCGGGAGCACGACAAGGTGACCCTGATGCTGGCGTCGACGCTCCACCTGGACGGGAGCCCCGCCGACCACTTTTCGTACACGCCGAGCTCGGAACCGACCCTCGCGGACAACTACGAGTACGTCATGCACGGGCGGGTCTTCGACATCAGCTACAAGAAGGACGGAACGGCGGTGCTGGCCCTGAGCTTTGGGGGATTGCTCATGAGACTGACCGGGGACCAGAGGCACCTGGCGAACGTGCTTCCGGACATGAGGTTGTACTTGCTGCTCAAAAAGGACTAAACAATATAATTCTACTACGTAACAATACTGTAATCATGGGTGACGCCGTCACGGTATCTTGGTGAGAAACCAAGGACAGGATTCCGGGCTTTTCGACCGGAGCACGATTTCCGACAATCTCACCATTCGTTTCACCTGCCTGTTTAGATAATCGTTGCCGGTTGGATCATCGTTGCGTCTTTTTCTCCCGGCAGGAACCAAATCGCACCACAATCGTAGGCAGCATGCGCAAAAACACAAACCTTCCCTTGGCCGCGTTTGCCGTTGGACGCAAATGGATCCCATTGGATTGCCCCGGGCGCCGCGGCCTTCCCCCCCGTTGCCACCGCTGTGACAACCCGCGCAACCCGACACGCATCCGCTACGAGTCGCCCCCCTCCGGCTCCTTCCGGCGGAACAAGACCCCGAGCAGGGCCTGCTTCGCTCCCAGGCCGGGGCGTTCCTCCGTCAGCACCGACCACACGGTTCTCGCCCGGTGTTCCGCCTCGAGGACCGAGGCCAGCAGCGGGACCCCCAGGAGCTTGCAGAGGCCTCGGGGCCTTTTTGCCCTCTCCGCCCCGCCCCTCCCGTTCAGGAGGGACAGGACCTCCCTCTCGCAGGCGTCCATCGCCCGGAGCGCCACGGCCTCCTCGCTGAAATAGAGCGCGTCGGCCAGGTAGCACCCAAAGGTGACGAGCCGGAGGTCCTTTTCGACAAAGGCCTCCGCCCGCGCCTCGAGGGAGGGGACCTGGAAGGCCCGGGCCAGAAAGAGCAGGGCGATCGCGTTTCTCGTCGTGACGCAAAAGGCCTCCGAGGAGTAGACAAAGTCCAGGAGGTCCGGAAAGCAGGCCGCCGCCCGGGGGGCGAGCTCCACGACCGAGGAGCCGCCGCCGTCGTCGATCCCGTAGTGCAGGAGGTTGGCAAAGTACTGGCTCCTCCGCTCGCCAACGGCGAGAATGTTGCGGTGCACGTTGTAGGTGGTTTCGTGGGCCGGCAGCGAAGAATCGGCGGCGGAATCCCCCGCCCGGTTCTTCCGAACAACCACCCGCAGTTTCCAGTCGCTAAAGCTGCGCGCCACGAGTCGAATGGAACCGAATGCACAAACAAAACAAACCAAAACTCGGTGAGGATAGCCCTTCGGAGCCGAAATACTGGAACGAGCAAAGAATTTCCGCCCGGTCTTTCGGAACGACTCGTTGTCGTGCTTACTTATAGGCCGGGTCGTTTCTCCACGACAGGGTCCTTTCTTCCGCTTGCGGGGTGGGATCTTCGAACGAAATGTTGTCGCTCGCAACGTACGATCCCTCGTCGTCGTTGCTTTTGTTTTCGTCGGGGTCCTGGCCCTCGAGGCTTGTCAGTTCCTGTTTCCGCATTCTGAAAGCAGCAGCACAGGCAGTGATTGGAAAGACCGACACGGCTAGTTCTCGAGAAGCCCGGTGAGTGAGTGAGCGAGAGCGAGAGAGAGACAGACAGAGACTGTTTTGAAGGCATGTGTGTGTGTCGTGGTGGGCACTGCGGTACCGGATCGAATCTGCTGCGACGCCACTGGAGGCAAGGTGCCGTTCGCGGAGAGAGAGAGAGAAAGAGTGCTGGAGTCGAACCGACCCAACAAAGCCGCAACGACGGATGCACCAGTCTGCCGTCGTTTCGCGCCGGAATTTTGTTCCCGCAAGCGTTGACGGATTGCGGAGGACAGAGACAGGTTCAACGGCAGCAGAACCGGAATTCCCCCTAAACGGAGTCCCGTTTCGAAAGCGGGACGCCGGGCGTGTGGGGCGGCGCGTCGCTCGGCCCCGGGAGCTCCGGGGCAGCGGAGGTGCATTGCAATTGCCTGGCACACCACGGCACGGCGTTGCCTTCGGAGCGGCAGCGCTGGCGGGCGCTGGTTCCGAACCTCCGCGGCAGGACCCGTGGGGGACGGCGTCTCGGGACCGGAAGCGATCGCCGGTACCGCACGGGGGGGAGGGTCCCCGAAACGCCGGTGCCGTGGCTCGTTCGCGGCCCGGAACCGCCGTGTCGTGCCGTGACGCGACGTGCCTTGCCTTGCCTTGCCTTGCCTTGCCTTGCCTTTGTCGAAGGCGTCGTGGCGTGCCCAACGATGGGTGACGATCCATCGATCGCCCCGCTCGCGCGACAACGCAACCACGATTCTCCGCGGGGGTTCGGCCGGCGCGGGGCGTCCCGGCACCGTTCACACCGTGAATTTTGCGAACACACACGCGAGTATCGCAACGTACGATGCTACGAGTAAAACGAGTACCGCAACGTACGGTACGATGCTACCAGCTCATGTTGTTGTAGTCGTGTGTCCCCGTACCAGCTAGGTGTACTGAAGACCAGTGATTTTTTTCGTTTCGGTTTCGATCCGAGAGAGGTGCTAATATATTCTGGCACTTACTTGGCTGGGTGCCGTGATTTTCTGTCTTCTAGTCTTTTTGTAGAACGGCAAGCTCTCACGACAGACTTACTACGAGTACTCGTAGTATGAGCATCGGTGCCAGTAGGAGTTGTACGTGCGGTCCTACGAGTAATACCTGTACATCTACGGGCATCAGCTGTAGCACAATGTTTTTCGCCTCTGTGAGGTGCAGCACATTCATTACAACGCACATCGCTGCAACCCTGCACATTGCATTCGCCACCAAACGGTTGTAGCGCCATAAAACGGGACGAATACGAGCGTGATTCCACTCGCACTCGCACTCGCACTCGCAATTGCATCAGGCAGGAAGATAGCTCGCCAACCCGTCGATCCATCGCACATTCTGCCGCACGAAACACCAGAACCGACAACAGCAACAACAACAGCAACAACCATGGACGGCTCTGCTTCGGACAGCTTGGTGCCACCGTCCCTGGCAGCGATGACGGCCCTCCTGGCCCTTGCTCTGCCGCTGGTCTTTTTCCGGGAGCCCCTTCTGCAACTGATCAACGACTACCGCGTGTACCGGAGGCGCCAGCAGTACCCCCACATCCTCGTGTGCCGGGAGAAGAAAGGCCTTTCCACCGGTGCCGGTTTTGCCAGCGCCGACGGCTCCCGGACCGGCCGGGACCTGCTTCTTGCGGCTGCTCTGGCACTCGGGAGGGTCCTGGTCTGGTGCTTCGCTTTGCTGTGGAGCGCATTGTCTCTCGCACTGGGTTGCGTTCTGGCACGCGTTTTGCCATCGGAAGGGGCTTCTGCTGCTGCTTGCGACCAAGCAGAGGCGGAGGACCAACCCAAACACAATGCCAATTTCCCGGGCAGTGCGAAAGCATCGGCGACATTCGGGGGGACCGCACCGTCCGATCCAGCGCTGTCCTTGTCTTTCTCCACCAGAGAGGGCCGGGAAGAGACAAGAGAAACATCGGAACCCGTGTCGACGTCCACGTCCACGCCGATGCCGATGCCCGTGCTGCACGATGTCGGAGCAAGACGCAACCTGTTCTTGGAGGAGACGGAGAGTGCGCAACCCCAAGAGCAATGGCAACAAACGAGTAACCCATCCGCGACCGCAAAACAATATTACTACCAGGTCGATCCGGGGGAATCGGAACGAATTCAGGCGTCCTCATCGTCGTTGACAATACTACCGCTGCCACCGTCGAAAGAGGTGCAGCCATCGCCAATGACCCAGCTAGGTGACCGTCGGGTTCCAAGCCATGGTGCTAGAAATGTGGGTACCAGATCGATTGCCGTTCGCGGTGAACACGCAATGGTTCGAAGGAAACCCGCGAAACGCAGGTTGCCATCCCCAATGGCAGCTGCTTTGGCCCAACAACCCGTGCAGGACATCGATATCGATCGGTCTTCCCTCTCCGAAAAAATGAGGAAGCGGCGACTGAACGGAGAAGCTACCAAGGTGACCACCGGTCTCCCTTTGCAGCAGCAAGGAGGGGACACGAGCCGGAAACGACGAAAACTCAACGGCGGCCGGGCGCCGCTCCAGCGGTACGTCGCGAGGCGTCCGGCGGTGGGGGCCTGGAAGACCGCAAAGCTCCTGGACAAGCGGGAGCGAGAGGAGCGGGAAGAACGGCTCCTGCGCGGGATGAATCGGAAGCGGAGCAAACCGGCCGTTCCGAAATCCACCGAGGGCACCACGGCCGCGATTCCGAGTGGTTCGGCACCAACAGCGACGAGCACAACGTTAACGACAACGACAGCGACAGCGACAACGACACCTGCAACGACAGCGACAGCAACACCTCCAACGACAACGACAACGACGGCATCCGCTCCCGCCTTTAGCTTTGGACAGGCACCGGTCGGCACTGCCGCCGCCAAGAGCACCCCAAGCGAGGCACCGGCGGCCCCGGCTCTGCCTTCCACACCGGCACCGTCGTTCCAGTTCGGAGCCACCAAGCCCGCGCCGGCGGATCCCGCCAAAGCGGAAGGCGGGGCCAACACCAACGGCAGCGGCACGAGCACAGCTCCGGCCAAGCCAGCGCCGGGGTCCACGGCGCCGCCCGCCTTTTCGTTCGGGGCCGCGGCACCGACTCCGGCGCCGTCGGGCGGAGCACCGGCCTTTGGAGGAGCACCCGCTCCGGCGCCATCGGCACCGACCTTTGGGGCATCTGCTCCGGCACCGGCGCCATCGGCACCGGCCTTTGGGACAACAGCTCCGGCACCGGCGCCATCGGCACCGACCTTTGGAGCATCTGCTCCGGCACCGGCCTTTGGAGCATCGGCTCCGGCACCATCGGCCCAAGCGCCGTCCTTTGGAGCAACACCAGCACCGGCCTTTGGAGCAGCGGCTCCGGCGTCTTCCGCACCGGCACCATCGTTTGGAGGAGCACCAGTACCGGCCTTTGGAGCCGCTGCTCCCGCGCCATCCTTTGGAGCAGCACCGGCACCATCGTTCGGGGCACCAGCTCCCCAGCAGGCGAACCCAATGTCGTTCGGAAGCCAACCTTCCAATCCAACAAACTCGCAGTTCTCGTTTGGCAACACCAAGGAAAACCAAGCCCCGGCGCCGTCGAACGGTTTCATGAAGTCCCAGCCATCGAACATGGGCAACCCCCCACCCCTCGGGATGAAGGGCGGCTTCTCCATGGGAGCCGGCGGAGCTCCGGGCTTTGGGGGAAGCAACGCCGGTGGTTTTAGTGCCGGAAGCGCACCCGTCGTGGCCAGCGGAACCGCTAGTGCTCGACGAATGGCGCGAAAGTCGAGAACCCGCCGGAGGTAGGAGGGAGCAGGAGCGGAGGAGAACGGAACGGGACAACGGGCACTCGGCTAGCCGTACCATGCGAGTACCCAATCACTGGCACACCGGCAGCGCCGGCCAATCTCTGGGACGGGAAAGGCAGCACGCGGCACCACACAGCAAAACAATTCAATACACAACGGGGAAAATTCAACTTGGTGGTTTGCTACGGAGCCGGGCAACCGATCCGCGACAACAACGCTGTAGACAATATTCATTGAATCACACGCATTAGTTTAAAAGAAAACAATCATTTCTATAGTACCGTAGTCGAATCGTTATCTGTCCTATCTAGCTACGAGTGATTAGATGCAAGCGTATTGGTTCTGGCTGACAATCAAGGCAACAATCATGCCGCTGTGCAAGAATCGGAAAAACACGGGACGAAAAGGAAAACGAGTGGGTGAGTCGGTTCGTCGGTTCGTACGGCAAGCGTTCCTTTCCGAGCACGTCTTGCGTTCGGTGGTTTCGCAGAACGGTGCGTGCGTGCCTTCGGCGACTTACTACAGCGCGAGGGCCTCGGAAAAAATGAGCATGATCAGCATCCCGACAAAGAGCTTGTTCTGGTCCTCGGACCCGCTAATGTCCTCGGTCATTCCCTCGGCGGCCTCCTCGCTGTCGGGGATGTTCGAGTACCCCTCCTTCTCGGCTCCGACGGGGAAGAGGGTCACCGCCGAGGCCCGGTAGCCGACGGAGCGGACCCCGTAGTCGCCGACGATGCCGATGCAGATGCCGGCGCCGAGGCCCGAGCAGCCGGTGCACAGGCCGGCGGCCAGGTGGGCCAGGCCGCTAAACGTGCTGTAGGAATTCTCTCGCTCGGTCGAGGGCGTTGTGATGGACTGGCCGATGATGACGCCCACGATCAGGCCGTAGATCCCGATGACTGGTGGCGGCAGCGGCAGCGAGAAAAACCAAGGATCCCACCCATCAACCAACCAACCAAGCAGAGGGGACCATTTCACAGCACAGCACAGCACAGCATAGCAGAATTGTTGCGTCGTGTGGCATTGGGTGCGGCGTTCCACGGAATAGAAAGCAGCCAATCGAATCAATTGTCGTGTGCGAATAGAGGTTAGACCAGCCGATGCCGCACCATAATATTGTAATCCAGAAACGATTTCCGAGTTCGAAAAAAATGACGCGTTAGTTTCGTTCCCTTGTGCAAGGCACAAGATCGAGTCAACACCAGTGCGACGCAAAAAAATGATCGCGATTAAACCTCGACATACCTCCCGCCATAACAATTGGAATTACATTCTTCATGATAGAGGATGGATGCCGAATGCCAGTATAAATGATGGATTGCCCGGACTTCCATGTTCCAATCTGGATTTCACCGCAATGAATAAAAACAGAACGAAAGCCACATTGCAAAGGATTCAAACAACCGCAATGTGAGTGTATCATCAAAACTCTGTATTGGTGTTTGTTGTGTACATGTGATCTTCTAGCGACTCCTTCCCGGCTTTTCAATCGGCCGTGGACAAGGCCAGAAGAGATCATTCATGTGTTACAGGCCAAAAGCGACCTCAACGCTTGTTGATCCGTTCTGAGACCTACGGGAATCTAAAATTAGAGGTATATATTTTATACAGAAAAAAGCGTAAAAATACGTCCTCTTCCCCTTCGTTCGGGATACAATTTTTCAAAACAAGATTCCCGGGGCCTCCAACCGGCAAATCTTTTCCCGCGCCATGCCCGAAAAAGGCACGAATAGAACCAAGCACGAAAGCAATCACCGATGTCTTCATACTTACAGCGCTACCCCAGTTGCTCAAGCAAACTGCTGATGCTACGCCCATGTATCCCAGAGCAACAGCGTATGATGGACATTGAGCATCGACGGGTGGTCCTTGATCCACCATGGTTGGTTATTGTATCGACGTATAGGTTTTGAATCAATGGGGAGGGTTGGCCGTGCGGTATGGTCTTGCAGCACTGAGCAATGTCGGAAGGAGGGCATCAACAACAAAAGGTGCTCTCTCCTGCGAGGAGCGAATTCAATCACTTAGGGAGAAAAGAGATGCCTCGTCAAAAACTGGATAAGTCTTCGTCGCACACATTTAGCTGATTCCGTTTCCGTTTCGGCAGGCTTGTGCGGCATGGTTCGCCATATCATATCTGCGTGCTCGTTTGAGTTTGTACCATACGAGACCGTAGAAAGTACAGAACGATATTGGGGGGGATCGGGAAAATATTTGAGTTTGTCTTCGTTTTAAAACTAAATCCCCCAAATAATCCGTCCAATATAAAATTATTCATACTCGTAGATATTGATATGAACCGCCTCCCAATGAAGCTGGCGAGCTTTTGTATGGTCTCTCCCTTGTTTTTCACGAGCAAATTCGGCTCAACGACAGTAACAGAACCAGGAGAGAAGCAATTATCGTCAAGGAAGGCATCCTTTTCAAACCCCGATGCCATTGAGACAACTGTAAACTAGAGCAGTGTTGACCGAGAACACCAACAATAAACAATATACTGAATAATCAAGATGACAGAAGTAGTAGCAGGATATGATGTATGCCCATCGTACGCGACAGTGTTGTAAGTCTGGGAGTCATTAGACCAGAAGAATTGATGTTCGAATCAAAGTAACCGTTATGAGGAACCCTCGAGCTCCTCTCTAAAACAAAAATAGCCGATGTCAAACTTAGGCTTCGATAGAGACGGACTCTATTTCTATAGGATGATAATGGTAACCATAATCAAACCGAATGTATAAGTCTCACCCTTGTTCTTGCTTTCGACGGAAACGTCTTAACACAACACGTGCGCAATGATAAACATCACATCGCAGCGGATACCTGGGTGCCAGTGGATGTATGATCCTATCTAGCTGGGGTTCTGCCTGGGGAACCTGGAGAGCTGGACTAGGAGTCTGTCAAATGGGTATCGATCACCCCAAGGGAATTATTAAGAACATCGTTCCTATTGTCATGGCCGGTGTTTTGGGTATCTACGGTCTGATCGTATCTGTTATTATTACGCAATCTATCTCTAGTCCCGCAGGAGGCGGTTACAACACATACAGTATCTTCAATGGATACGTCCATGTAAGTATTATGCAATGCTGTTGAGGTTCGAGGATATTCCTGCGCTGCACCGGAGTGGAAGCATATCATTCGTTTCATTGATTTGTACTATCGGGGTAAATTAATTTGCTCACGATGTTTGTGCGTCTCTGTAATATTTCGTATTTTTCTTCTATAGCTTGCCGCTGGAATGTGCTGTGGACTTTCCTGTCTAGCGGCCGGAGGTACTATTGGAATTATTGGAGATGCCGGAGTCAGAGGTTTCGGACTAAAGGCGGAAGGCGGACGAAAGTGGTTCTGGTCCGAAGACCAAGGTGATGACGGTGACTTTGGAGGATCCAGCAACGCCGAGGCTTCAAACAAACTCTACGTCGGTATGCTTATTATGCTCATTTTCTCGGAAGCTCTTGCACTCTACGGATTGATTGTCGCACTTATCTTGAGTCAAAACACCTATGTATGCGCGGCATAAGAAGAAACTATTGTACTGTAACTAATATACAGCACTGCAATGCAGTAACTAGCCATTTCTATATGCAGAAATCATTATCCTGCCGAGCTAAAAATTGACAATGAAAGAATGATGACTTACTTTTTAAAATCAATTATATTTCTCTTATCATCGAATACGGTAGTCTCAATGTTGATACTGCAAGTCATGGTTCAGCCTGTATAATTGAAAAATGTTTCGTGGTCTTAAAGATTATGGATCAACAATCATGCTTTGCGTATAAGAAATGTCATCATGCTAAGATCGTCAAAGAATCCACCTTGAGTTCAAATGAATTAATCAATAGATCGATACGGATTCATTCACAAGGAATTTCGGTTAGAAAAGAGAATATAAGAGTTGTATAGACAACGAGTATGAAACAAGAAACTGCAATCTTACCTTTGATCCAATCTCCGCAGTACCATTTCACGAATGGGACGTGAATTAGAACTAGCAGTTGGGCAACTACAACGGTAGGCAAAACCGATGAAAACCATTTGACTAGAGCAAGTTTTCTGAGCGGTCGTTCCAAAAGCATAACGATGCCTGTATAGGCGAAAAAGGCAGTAACCCTACCAAATTGGAAATCGTAGCAGCCTTCGTCTTTCAGACATTTGCCGTCTGAATCATACAAATATGATTGATCGTAGAAAATGCACGCCCAACAATATTCGTGATAGAGACCCGATACAACGAAGGTCACGAACATTGCAATCCGCCGGTCATGGAAGCATTTCTTTGCCGGCTCAAATATTCCTCTCTATCCCATACCAAGAATACATAACAGAAAAAGAGATAAGGTAATTTGAAAACAACCAGACGAAACAGAGAAGTTTCACGTATCCAGAAATGCTTGGCTTCCGTACAATTAGAAAAGCATACCTTTAGAAGAAGATGCGTCATGTGATTCCAGCGTTCGGTCCAAAACTCTGTCGGTGTCTTGCTTTTTGTGAGAGGAGAATCGAAAACCTTCTGTGTTGCAAATCCCTTCACATTCTCTCCGAACGCATTCAATTCAAACAGGTTATTTAGTGTAAAGTACAAAAGGACTGCACCAATATTGTCGAGGGCAAGGAAAAACAACCAGTCAACGAATAAATAAGATCAGTAATCATCGCCACAAACATAGAATGATCATTTCAGCCGGTGCTTGTATCGTAGTAGCAATCCTCAACTCACCTGTGAACAAATATGAATTATACAAATGCCCCAGAGAGAATAGATCACGAGATACGTTAAATCCTGTCAGCGCTATCCTATCCTCAAATGGCTCGAAATCGAAGTGCATTAGAAAGGATAGGACTAATGAAAGCGCGACGAAGTTGAACAGCCGCTCAATAAAGGAATTAAAGAAAATTGTCCCTGATGTCTTCTCTATTCCCCTTGCCTTCGTACTCCATACATACGGCGCCTTATCGCATGGGGAATGAAAAGAGTTAAAAAAGTTATGTTGATGAGTTTCATTTCACGAAGGGTAGCATGCAAGTAGAAACCCAATTTCGAAACGTACCATATTGGAATAGTAACAGCAGTAGTTCCAAATCGATGATTCGGTTACATTTGGTGATGTCCCGTACATAGCTTCGAGGCAGCGAAAACATAAGATGCTCATCGGTGTAGCCGAAGTTAAACAGAAAACCTTGTTTCTGTCCACCGTGCAGAACAGGTGCCACGGAAAGGGTTAGAATGTGATGATCATTTGTATGCGAAATAGACTGGAATTAACATACATCGGCTTTGTGTGACTAAAGATTCAAATATTATTTCAAACGCACCTTATATCCAATACCTCCAACAAATAAAATGGGACGACGAAAGAAAGTGGGATTATAAATCCCCAGCCAACAAGGTATGATCCAAGGGTTCCCCGCCTTTTGACTATGGCCTCGTAAATGAAGCAAGAAAATGCGATTTGGATGGTGGATCCCACAAGAATCGTTAGAAACAAGAGGTTCCACGATTCCGCGGTCGGAGCATATAAAGAATATTCTCCACCAACATGTGGAATGGTAAACTCGAGAATTGGTTCTCGGTCGTCATCCTTCAAGTTCTGAACGAAATAGCTTTTGAGGAAGTCAGCCATGATCAATCACAAGAACACTGGTGTTTCGGTGACGTAGAGCAATGTGGCGCGTGAATTATATACAAAGGTATAGCGGCGTCGGTGATTTGGAGGAAAGGATTTAGTGACACAGAACGGTATGGTGCGATCCCGTGGCGGTAGCAATGTCAAGGATAGTTTCTGTCGAAACGTTGTGCAATGATGAACGGCGCAGAAGATTCTGCCTTTGATGAAGGGGTTTTAGCGTTGTAGCCTCTTATTGTTATCTTGTTCTTGTTCAATCTATCGGCAACAAGTTGAAAGTTTTTGAAAGCACGAAATCGTACGCGAATCAAGCTATTGCATTCTCTGCTTATTTCGCACTAATGCATTGTTTAATCGCTTGACGCTTCCTGAAGTTTGGATAGAACTACGTTTGTTCAAGAGATTCTAGGTCACGCGATTGGAGTCGAAGGGTTGGAAATACCTTGCTAAATTGCATCGTCCTCGATTCCCTGTGCAACATTCTCAATACGTAGTTGTTCTTTCTCTAAAAATGTACCACGTACAGTATGCTGCTACTATTCGTATCTTTTGTTCTTTCCCTGTACAAGCATCATTTTTTGGACACGCCATGTTGCTAGCGCGATGAATTTTACGTCAAATCCTGCTCAGGGTGTACGATACAAGTACTCATACCAGGGGTCATAATTTTAGACCCCTGACTCGTACGAGGTACAGACTGTTGAAATCCTGCTCAGGTCGTGGGATAGCAACTGTTGTAGAGTACTAACATTTCACGAATTGATGCGGAGCAAGCAAGCTACTTCCGTGCAGTACTCGTACTGGTACTCCGTTGTGATTGCCATAACTGTTTGTGTGTCAACCAGATAGATAGACAGGACGAAACTTGACAAACCTATCGACAGTAACGCACTAGCAGAAATAGTTTCAGAAGGAATTCATGAACATAATAGGAAAAGGATTCTGGGAGAAAAATACATCTAGCATCATCAATATGGTAGTAGTGGCACTAGAGTGACGTACAAGTCCTTGTGGTCGATCAACCGGCGCTTAAAGGAAAACAAACAAGTTCGGGATGGTCGTCCAGGGAAAATCTCATGCACACCTAGCGGTCTGCTGATGATGCATCTGTTATGAATTGCACTTTTTCCATGTAAATTCAATCTGCGTTAAGAGCAGGAAAAGATGCAGGTCCTCCATTTCTTCTTGTTCTTTTTCAATATTCTTGAAAAACTTTCATTCTTTTTATCCACATGCAATTCGTGTCTGCTTCACCTAGATTAATCGTAATGGCCCAGCTCCTGCATTTTCATCAAGAATTGAATCGCGCGAGATCTTCTTGCTATTTCTATCGGCGTGCTATCGGCTCCCTCCATTCGCATGTTTGGATCATGTCCTGCTTTCACCAGGGCTTCGCCACCGATTGCAAGGTTGTTGCTGGCCATTCGGTGGAGTGCAGTATATCCGTAGGTATCCTGAGAGTAGATATCTGCCTTGGCATCGATGAGCACCTGGGTAGAAAGCTGGCCTTTAGCAGACATGCCGCACATGTGTAGCGGCCGCGCACCGCCGGTGGTGATTTCTTCCCTTAGTTCTGGATAATCTGCCAGGATCTCTGCCACCTTTTCTGGTCCGGCATGAATAGCTCGACCCATGAACGAGTAACCTTTGCCATCGTAAACAGGGCCGGGGCGATTGTTGTGGTTTTGGTACTGTTGTCCGATTACGATATTCCCCTCTGTATCTCTCTTTACGGAGCCTCCATAAATTCCCGGCCCCACGGTGTCGGCGTATGGATCGAAGCCGTCGGGATCTGTCGATCCCGGCAATCCATATTTTTCCGCCATCCCCTTCGCGTACGGATCAAAATCCATTCGCACACCGTCCTTTCGGTAGTACTCCATGTTACTGTGTTCTTGATTGGCGTTCACGGAGGAAAGAATTACCAGAGATGGAGCAAACCCACTGGTCCACCTGGATTGACTAGACAACAAAGAAAACGAACGAGGCAGCACTGCAAGGAGCAGCAAAGATCTAATCATTGGATCGCGACTGAAAGCAACCGTGTTCGTAATTTCTTCTCAATTTTATATGCAAGCTTGTCACGGCTAAAAGCGACATGATCCTACGGGATAGTCGCCATCGAGCAGCAGGGAGAGAGCAAGAGTTTTTCGTTCTGTTGCTGACTCTCATTCTTCTCCTACCGGTACAGTACGTTAGGGATGATTACTGATGGATTATTGATTTTCGTCTGAGTGAGTCATAATCGTGTGCTCGTACGGTACTTTGTATGTCCCATCAGAGAACTTGGTATTACTGTGGTTTTCGTACCGTACGTACAGTCGCATGCTATTCGTGCTTGCACCTCGCGCGACAACACTAACCGTGACTGCGCGATCCATCATACTACGATTAATTAAAATGAAATTATTTTTATGACGTCATAGCAAAATAGCACTCTAAGTACTTTGTTGCCTTCCACTTTCGAACAAGTACGAAAAATGGGTCGAGATCCAGGTCAGCTTTCTCAGTCAGAGCCATCAGAAGTACCATACGGTACTGCACATCTAGTACTCGTAGGTAGTAGTTCTGTAAAACGGAACCCTTTCCGCATCGTCTGTCACGTGATGAGATGCAAAACGAATCTCGCCGGAAGATCACGGCCGCAATCTTACAATCCCTGTAGACAGCAAACATCGAATCCAATCTACCACCGCGTCAAAATGAAATTGTCCATCGCCACTCTCGTCGCCCTTCCGGCCGCCACCGTCGCTCTTTCCTCGAAAGCCCCCGCCGCGCGCAATCCGTCGCCGGTCATCAAGGCCATGGCCAACGGCATGACGCTCCTAAAGCCCGTCTTTGGGGTCGAGGCCAAGATCCAGGCCTCCGTCCTCGGGGGAAGCGTCGACGAGGCCTCGGTCTCGGAAGAAATCGCCTCGGAGATCAAGTCCAACGACGTGGTCATCTACACCTACGGGCTCTCCCCGTTCTCGTCGGAGGCCACGGCCATCCTCGATGCTACCGGCTGCAGCTACGACAAGATCGAGCTCGGAGCCGAGTGGTTCTTGCTCAACGGAAAGGACTCCGTCAAGCGCGTCCTTCTCTCGGAATGCGTCGACAACGGGGCCACGTCCCTGCCCAAGGTCTTTGTCAAGGGGGAATGCATCGGGGGATGCGCCGAGCTCGCCGAGAGCGTGTCGACCGGGACCTTTGACGAGCTCTTGAAGAAGGGAAGCAGCACTCAGGGCAAAAAGAAGAGTTTCCTCCCCTTCTTCTAAACAAAGCACAATAGAGTATAATATTATAGAATGGAAAAATACGAAATGATCAAGAGCTATTTTGACGTTCGGGTCGGTGGAGTTAATGATAGCATGCCTCTAGTCGAAAGCGGACGAAGCKAACCACCGTGTTTCAGAGGTTTACGCAAGGTCAGGAATTTTCTCTGTGATTGCATCCCGGATCGYGGACGTCTGCAGCGTTTCCGTCAACCCCGTCCCRWCGTTCGGAACCGCACACGAGGAYTCTTTCTCGGGAGTGGCTTTGGTTTCGGGTGTCGACGCCGCTGGATCGGACGTGACGGTGAGACCCTCGAGCTCTCTCAGGAGTTCTTCCTCCTCGTCCTTTCCCATGGTTGCCGTGTTGCCATTGASCGACGTCAGCGTGTTGTTCACGTCCCGTAAATCGTCCAGTTCGGACTGCAAGTCGTCCATCGTGTCATCGATTTCTTCGAGAGGCGTTTCCTCTCGCAGCTGCTTGAGCAACCGCGACGAGCTGGCCATGATGTCTACCATYGATCTGTTGGACTGTGCACTCTCGATCGCGTTTTTCGTTTGCAGCAATTGGAGTTGCAACCTCGAATCCGAGTCGATGCGCTGCTGAATCGCTCTTCTCTTGGCAAGCTGGATCGTCGCTAGTTTRGTTTGGTGTTTCTTTTTGTATTGCAGGGCTTTTTTGGTGCACGCCGCCGCTTGGTCCGACCAATYGTGGAGATTTTTCTCGATCTTTGCTTCGGCCTTTTGAATGTCCCAGAGACATACCGGTATGCGAAGTTTTTCGGGGACGCAATCATCACTGTCGCCATCGATCTTACTCATAGCTGCAGTCGACAACACTACCAAATCCAGTCCCTTTGGTGCCTGATCCTGCCGCCGAATGATACAGGCCTTGCCGAGACCGACCAAGACCCGAAGCAAAAAGTCGTTGTCGTCTGCCGACAACTGGTATTCTTTGTTTCCTTGGTGCTTCGAAAGAGCGGAACGCGCCCARGCGTTCCACTCGGAGAATCCCATAACGCACGGTGCCTCCAGCGTGTGGGTTTCGATCTCGTCCTCGAGGCATCGGATTGCGGCTTCCGTCGCGCCCGGGTTGGCTACCGGGACGTTGAGGGCAAGAGCCGCGCTGGAACCAGACGACGAGTTCCCCGTGTCGCCGTCATCGAGCAATGCATCGTCGCCTTCTTGRATCCACTCGTCGACGTCGTCGTCGGGATCCCTCATCATGGAMGCAACGGCCGACACAACCTTCAGGGGGCTCATCAGCAGGGAGGAGGCAAAGGATTGTTTCTGGGGCGTTGTTGCTGCGGCTTTGGTTCCGGCAACGCCGTTGTTGTTCCCTCGCTTGGAAAGAAGAAACTCGGCTACCTCGTTCGCTTCCACCAAAACACTCGGTTGGTTGCGTTTTGGCAGTGCCCACGGTATCTCCTCGTTTTTGCCGCAGGCCTCGGTCAAGACTTGGTGGATCGATGCTCGAAGGGTCCCGTGTTTCGTACAATAGACATCGTGTGCCTCGCCGAATGACGCAGCTGTCGGAGAAGATTTCGTCKGTGTTGCGGAACAATCCGGTTCACTGCTGAGAACTTCGCTCGATATTTCTTCGGTTTTGGCAGCGCAGTCCGAATCGTTTGAATCTTCGGCGCCATTCGACGACGAAGAAAAGTACGACAACATTCTGTCTTTTTCTCCGACAAGCAGAATCGAAGCCGGCTTTCGAACGACAGGCTATTTATTCTGGGTCTTCTTGTTACTCGATCCTTTCCTTTTTGATAACTTTTTGTGGTGTGACGATTAMAATACTATTAATGGGCTTGTCGTGCGATATCAGATGTGCGTTGTTCCGTCGATTGCTCTAGGTGTTCCAATGCATTGGGATGAGCAGATAACGTATTCCTCCYATCTCGAAAAAGGGTACGAGTTCGGTACTCGTACTCGTACCAGTACCACGGTGCTATCGATAGAACGAAAGGGGAGGCACACACCCAACACAACTAGCCCCACAAAGAACATGGCAGAGTTTTTTTGAAATTGTTCGACCGCGCGCGTGCGTGCTACTCCATGATGGTAGAAAAAATGAAGAAATTCCTTTGATCGCGCGAGCATCTGGAGGAAGGGTGGCACGAACCAATCGAAGAGGTCGAAACCGCGTCCAGCACGTGCCGAAGGCGCGCCAAGGGTTGATTGACACGAGAACTCCGTCGAACCAGATTTTCTGGCATCACAAACAAACCGCATCATCGCATTCTTTCGTTCGTTCGTTCGTTCGGCAAGGAAGCCCAGTCACGACACTCGAATCGAACGGAATCGGTTCCGTAACGCTCTAGTGGAGAACCAGTAGACGGCAGGAACCCTCATAATTTCGTGTCTCCCTCGGAGGACAACTCAAACGAGAAAACATTTTTGTCGTTATCGGTGCCGCACCATTTCCCATTTCTTCAACGGTGTCTGTGCAGCCACCAATCGCGACGATACCTGATTTTTCGCGGTTCGAGCCGAAACACAAGCTGACCGTAGGCGTTTGTCTCTTCAATAACTATCAATACCGACACACAASACAAAGTGGCAGCATGGCGACGAAYTGCGGCCGGCAGAGCTTTATGCAGCACATATGGCATCGCCTGGTGGGAGCCCGGGGTGCCGGCAGCATCTTCCCGGACCCCCTCTCCAGCCTCACCGAGCCCGCGGAACCGAAGCACCCCAAYTTTGGGAAAATATCCGAACATCCCTCCAAGGACATTGCGCGCCACAAGCTCGTCTTTTTGGGCGAGATCCATTCGATGCCCCCGATCATTTCGTTTCAGAGAGAAATCCAGGCAGAAATGAACAAGCAGGCCGACAAGCTCCACGTCATTCTGGAACACTTTAGCTTCGACCTCCAGGGACTCCTGGACCGGTACATGAACGACGACATTGACTTTGAGCAGCTCGTGGACGAATACCATTCCCGGGGGGAGGAAGGCCACCACCTGGAGCCCTACCGCGATCTGCTGGAGGACGCCAAGCGGCAGGGGGTCCACCTGCACGCCGGCTTTTTGCCGCGAAAGTACGCCCGGATGCTCATGAAGGACGGGGAGAAACCGGCCCTGGAGGCCGCGTCCGAGTGGCTGCCGGAGAACGTCAACCTCGACAGCTCCGACTTTCACTACAACGTGTTCGAGTCCTTGCTCAGCGGAAGATCGATCTACGATAGCATCGTTCACAACAACGGCAAGAACGACAGCAACGGCGGCAACGGTGGGGGCTGCACGCGCGAGCAAGAGGGGTCTCTTCCAAACAGCAACGAACCGTCGGATCAGTTTCGAAACATTTTCAAGGCGCAGGTCCTGAAGGACGAGGCAATGGCCCACCGGGTGACGGGGCTCATCAAAAAGGAGGAAGACGGAACGGGTGCATCKAACGAGAAATTTCTGGTGATTGCCGGAAACGGTCACCTCTTGCACTACTGCGGAGTTCCCGAAAGGGTCCTGAGAGAAAATCCCGAGATTGCCGCCGATACGTGCCTGGTGATCAGCGAGAACACGACCTCGGACTCGCTCATGGGCGGGGAAAACCACAACAGGGACGTCTGCGAACGCCATTCCGGTCACTGCAACAACAACATCATCAACAATAACAACAACAAAATCAACAAGAACGCGGACGGGGAGTGTGTCAACCACAAGGAGAAGACCGACATAACGGCCTTTCTCCAATCGAGGTTTGGTCGGGAGGGCTCGAATCCGGCCGACTTTATGTATTTTTATGAAATCCCGGAAGAGATCTTGACCGAATGGGACGTGAAGGAGGAAACAAAGAGCGCGTATGACAAGGTTGGGGATACGGCAAACATTCCAGGAAACAGCCTGAAGGCTGCCTGGATCATGCACAGCCTTGGATACACCGAGGAACAATTCGATGCCGCGGGCCCGGACGTCTACAACTTCCAGGGGGTGGGAAACCCGCACCTCCAAGCAAACATCCAGAAAGGCGACACGGTGCTGGACGTCGGAAGCGGCCTGGGGATCGATTCTACGATTGCGTGCCACGCGACGGGTCCGGAGGGAATCGTTATCGGCATCGACATTAGCGAAAAGGAAACCAAGCACGCGCTCCGACGGGCAAGGGAGCAAAACCTGAACGCGCACTTTATGGTGGCCGACATGGAAAACATGTCGCACAAGATACCGAGCAATTCCATCGACGTCGTGATCTCGAACGGAGCGTTCTGCCTGGCCCCCAACAAGGAAAAGGCCTTCCGGGAGCTGTACCGCGTCCTCAAGCCCGGCGGTCGGATATCGGTCTGCACGACAACGACCCAGGAGGAAAACCTCGAGCCGGGGATCTCGTGGCCCCTGTGCATGAAGATGTTCATAGCCAAGAACGACCTCAAGCCCCTGTGCGAGAAAATCGGATTCACKGACGTCGTGATCGACGATTCGAACAGCGAGATGAGCATGGAAATCCCCGACGAAATCCTGGAAGAATCCAACCCCGGGAGAAGCAAGGTCCACGTCGGTGGTTCCGATTTCGACCACCTCGAGGATTATGACATGGATGCCATCTGCGCACGGGTATGTGTAGTGGCAAAGAAGCCTCTCGCATGATACTACTRCTATGCAACGCAAACGTAGTGTAGTACTGTGTATTTTGCCAAGTGTTGAAGTAGACCGATAGAAGCTCGCTACTATTCATAATAGAATACTGTAGTATGGGATTGATGAATTGATGAATGCGASGAACTGCTTTAATTAACTGCACTTGCGTTTGAAGACGAAACTAGGCACCATGATTAGTGATTAGTGGTATGAGAAATGTGAAGGTAGCTAGTAAGTACTGTGGTGCGTACTAGGTACTAGTACCATACGGTACGGTATGTAGGTATGTTCGTAGTTCGTGCTCTTTGCGTCTGTCCCTCTATCATCCTCTTACACTTGTCAGAGACACGTTTTGTCAACTCTTTCAACATGCATCAGTTTCAGATCTTGTTTCAGATTTTTGACCGATGTATTTCGTTCCGTAGAAGCAGCCAGAGCATCAAACGATTGATCCCCACAATGCGTCGAGTACCAAGTGCCTCCCAAAAAAGGTCCGACACTCAGTATTTCCCAAAGAGTTTTACTTGAGCAAGAAAAAATGTTTCGAATCATAAGCTCGGTTTTGCTTCTCTTACTTTCTTCATGTAAGACCTCGAGCGCTTTTGTTCTTCCGGTGCCTTCCGAGCCGTTCGACCTGTTGAGGCATCATGGCGCATCAACGAACAATTGCATTCACACGGCACTGAAAGCCACAGAAATACCAGCCGCCTCGCCCRCGGAAGCAAYCAGAGACATAAAATCAAAAATCGATACGGAGATCAAACCGACCAAGCGTGGACTGTCGGCATCGCCCGACGAGAGGGCCAAGATAGATTCCCTCGTTCGGTCGCTCGAGGAACTTTGTCCCTACGACGAACCCGCCCGCATGCCCAACATGGAAGGAAAATGGATAGTCGAGTACACCACGGCACCCCCGCCCTCGAACGGGAAGCTCGGGCCGTTTGAAGGGATCGCACGCCAGATTATCGATCTGGAGAATGGGACGTACGTCAACTATTTGAGTGTACCAGGGGACATTGAAAAGGAATTTTTGAGTGCGAAGCTCGAAGCTACTTTTGAGGAATGGGACGGGACGTTGCTGAAGGATGATCGAGACGGCGATTCCCAGGGTGACAGCACTGATGCCATTGGAGATAGTTCTGTTTCTGTCTCGACCGAACCACCAGCGTCCACGAACTGGTTCCAATCCTCCATAAACTCGATTTTTCAAACACAAAACAAAGAAAAAGCGGCAGTCGATTACGGTGCCGATAGCTGGAAAGTGGATTTTAAAACGCTTACGATCAAGCTGTTTGGCTTCACACTGATCCAAAAATCGTTCGACGAGGGCACATCTAGGGTATGGAAAATGTCTTATTTGGATGACAGCGGAACCCGAATAGTGAGAGCTGGTAGAACCGGCAAAGACGAAGATGCCATGTTATTCTATATGAAAAAGGAATAAACGTATAAATAGAACGATAAACGTAGAGTCTTCCTTGCTCCAATCGAGTAAAGAAGGTTTCGCAAACTATTTCCATCGAATCAAAACAAATTATATTCCGATTCTTATTCGGATAATGATCCAAGAAGCGAAAGCTTTAAAACCAAAATCTGGAATTTGTTTGCACGCACCTTCTGCTTTCAACAGCAAGAAAGCTACTGCCGAAGTACTAGTACTTTTCTATGAAAATATTGTACTACGAAACACCACAGCCAACTCTGGACTATCCTTCTATGGCTGCATATTGTTCTTGAAAGACGCATGTAATGGAAACTGTGGACAAAGGTGTTGCATAGCATGAAAGAGCATCTATGATTTTGACATCATTCCAAATGGAGTACGGTAATGTTGTCTTACCGTAGAGTGACATGGCATTTGGAATGTTGAAGAGAAAACAAAGGAATACGAGGCGATATGGTATTTGGAGGGCGCACAGGAAATGATTGCAATGTCAGATTTTTTCTGGGTACAGTTCGTACGTATTCCCATACATCATAGAGGTACGTACCCAAGACCAGGGGTCATAAATATTACAGTAGTACGAAGTACTGATACCGAAGTACAGTAGTAAATATATCCGCTGCCCCACACCCCATGCTATTCTTGTACTTGTACGAGTCTTGTTGATGAGATTGTTCTACCGGTACGTACGTAGTGTTCTTCTGACATGAAGAAGGCTTTTTATTCAGACACTAGTCAACTACAGTAGAAAATACTGTAAAGTAGTGCTGTATACTATTTGCAGATACGAACCGCACGGGGAAGGAAATTGAAGGGTCTAAAAACTAAAAATATTGGGATGTGAGCAGAGCTGGACCAGTGCTCGTACTGCTTGTGCGAGTCAATGGTGATTGTTTAGGCCTTTTCGATGCGAAGACATCGATCTACTGCTTCGATTTCTTCAGCAAAGAAAAACTGCAGTCTTTGGCAAGGGAACGGAAGGTCCTCGAATGTTAGTTGATGTCGTCAGGTTCTAAAAATCGAAATCTCCAATTAAATGAGACTAAAATTTCTTTCCATAATAAACAACAAGAAACTTCCATTATTTTTTTTTGGCCACACGGCGGCCAATCGAACAACCCTCATTTTTCTAATCCATATCAAAAGCACTTGAACAAGCATAAGAAACCGTTGCGCTGTATAAGTATTTTTTTAAATCAGTATTCCAGTGAAAACGTCATTCCACGCCAGCAACTCAGACACCCCCTAGTAGTGTTCCTGAAAATGGCACGAAAAGATAGGCATTCATTTTCGAAATATAAGGCAAAGAAACTGGAATCGTGGACGGTAACCCCTGCTCGGGGGTTGTTAGTCCTCCGGGACTGGACTGTTTTCTCATCTTTTTCTTTTTTTAAATTGCGTCCGTAGAAGAGACATGTGCTATCAGCGAATCAGGTTTCAGGAAAATCCTAGTCGGACAGAAGAACAAAAACTAGCACAGAAACTCTCTCTCCCCCGCACGTAGCTGTTGACGTTGCACAGAATTTGTTTGCATTTGTAATGTTTGGGTCCCAAGCTGGCTAGCATGTTGACCGCTGCGGGTACTACTAGACCATACTTGTACCGTACAGTCGATCGACATCTTCTGCAATCCGCGGGAAATGGATACCCGTTTAGCTCTTTCATCGGAAGCGCACAGTTTTACTCGCCAACGGCAATACCCGTAGTAGTATCCTAGTTGTCCGCATTTGCGACACAACGCACATTCCTGGAACAAAACAACTGTTGCAACATTCCATACCCCAAGGAGACAGCAAGTCAAAGGATAAATACACTAGTATCGAAAAATGACGGCTGCCACTAACCGAGATAACTCTGTGAAGGTGAAGAAGGCTTCATCAACGACCAAGGTTGCGGGCCCGAAAACAGCGAGTTCGGGGATCATGCACCAAGTCATTATGCCGAAAACCCTCCCCACTGCTCCACCGACGTCTCAACCATCGAAGCCCGTCAGTTTGCCAGCCAACAGAACTGTTGCCACCGTAACAACCACCCACCGCTCCAATTATGCTAAGAAGACAAACGGCCGGGTCTCGAAGAGAAACGGGGTCTGGTACCTGGGAGGCAACCACGTTGTGAAACTCCTCACCAGTGTCGATGGTGATCTAGATCATTCTATTCTCTCGAAGCTAGCAGCTGTCCCGACAGTGGTCGGGGAATTGGCCCTCTCGGTGGAGTCATTAGTGTCCGATGATATCACCGTGGGTGGCTTTGAGAACGATCTCCTAGCGAAGATCGCTTCCAACACCCTTACAGCCAAGAGGGAGATCATGGCAGCAAAGGCAGCAGCCGCACCCAAAGCTACACCGATCTGCACCACGCCAACTCCGCTTGGAAGCACTTCGATGGGAGCAGCAGCCGCTGCATCCACTCACAAAAAAGCCAAGGGAGCCCCGTCCTCGGGATCGGAACAGGTTCCGAATCCACTTCTGGCAAACTACCAACCGGTTCCGAATCCCCTAGCTATTCGAATCACACCCCCAGCTTCGCCACACACTTCGGCCGCTACCGAACAATCCTCCGCAGGCAGTCCCAAGACTACAAAGACACTCCAGACCAAGGGACTGCCCTTGATTCATGCGCGGTGATGCGGCTGTACAGCCCACCAACCAACGCAGCTGGTGATGCTATCCATCCAGTTAAGAAACAAAACGATAGAGTGCTTACATTTTCATAGCACTAGTGCAAACGGATCCATTAATACGATCGATCCATTATACTTGGAGACAAGAAACTACACAGCTGATTTTTTCATCGGGTCGGAGAAGGGAAGCTGATGACCGGGAATACAACCGAGCTACAACCTGTTGTAATACTATATACGCAGCATGCACGCTGTAATGTCGCAGCCCTAGACTCGATACGAGCGCATGCGGATGTGMACGAACAGAGGACCTACATTGGTGGAGGAAAAAGCAAACATACCGATGGAGCAATGTCTCCTACGATTTTGAATACATACTTTTATATACTTTACGAGTTGAAAATTAGGCACAATAATAGCATGGCATGTCATTCTTATAGTGATAGTAATAATTACTAGTACTTGTCTTCTACTGCTTCACCATTGCGCCAGGGTTTCCTCGACAATCAGGTGATGCATGCATTCGACGGTGTTGTTCGGAGTCCCGAAACGGGCGCATCGCGTATCGCACAATCACGAAGTACTTCACATAGTACTGGTATGTAAACGTAAGGAAGGTAGCAGCTTTTTTTGTCCGGGGTCTTTTGCGCTTCTTATGTTGGTGTCTGCCGCTCGTGTCTGTGAACCATCAATCATCGGAAAATACGATCGGAAAGACGTCACCCAGTTTAAAAACAGAAACAGCATCGGAACAACAAGCGCGGGACCTTGAACGACGTTCTCTCCAAGCCAGAAGAAAGGATTCTGAAAATAAAATCCGCGTAGAGAGACAGAGAATGCTACTAGTACCGTGGCACGACTTGCTGCTTCGATTTATGATTAATGGGTGTCCATCCTCTCCTGGCGTTGGATTCTCTAAAATACCGTTATTGGATTTTGCGCGCCGACCACTCGTTCCTCAGGATCTCTACCATCCGATGATGATTTGATTCGATAGAAAAATATGGCATTCATGGCCGTGGTGTCCGTAAATCCCAAGAGGATGACACCTCATGACAGCAGACACGACCATAGAACTCTTAATCACCACAAAATGTCTAGATGCGGGAAGCAAAGCCGCATCACCTCCAGTCATTCKTGACATCAAACTTCGCGCCACAACGCATCACTTCAAATAATTAAGGCAAGAACAATAAGTAAAGTACTAATTCGTCCCTACTGTACAAGAAGATTTTTACGAGACTGTTCCGAATTGTACTAGTGATACCTTGGTTCTGCACCGTTGGTTTTTGCCACCGAAGCGAATAGGGTAAAGAAACCAAGCATGGCTACCGACGGGGCGGTGGCGCGGRTGGAAGGTGACGACGACAACGACGAGGTTTTGGTGAATGCCCTCAGGGCGGTTTCTATCGCTCCCGCCGTCGGGGATGGCAGCACCAGCGGAGGGAAAGAAACGGAGAATCCGATCCTCGTGCTGGACGCTGGGTACGGCTTTCCCAGAGAAAAAAAGGTCCGAAAAGAAAAAATCAACGCCATTGCCTGCCAGATTGCCAATTTCCTGGTGTGGCAGATCGGCGCGGCGGATGCAGGCGACTGCGCCGCCGTTAAGGTCGTCGGCTGCCCCGACGAGGACACGAGGGTCTTGCTCGAGAACCGAACCATCGACCGCATGAAGCGGGCCGGTGCCGCGGAAGCCGTTTCGTCGGGCCTCCCGAAGCACGCCACCYTTGCCTGCGAGAGCCTGGAGGAGTGCCTCCAAGACACTGCAAGGCACGATGCATCCCCCGSTGGCACCGCCGGTGCCGATGCGGAACCCCCCGTGTATTTGTCGCCCGATGCCGACCAGGCSCTGGACCCGKCGGCAGATCCCCCGCGGATCGCCGTGGTCGGCCTGCTGATCGATCGGCGGGTCCAGCCCAACCGCAGCAGGGACCGRGCGAACAAACTCGGTGTGGTCGCGAGACGGTGGCCGCTGGAGGAGTGCTTCGCCGAGATCGATCCCCGCGAGCCCCTCAACGTGGACTGCGTGCTGGAGGGCATGCAGCAGTGGTGGTGGAACAGCAAAGACGCAGGTGGGAGCGGAGCGGGCCGGGCACCCTTTGTCGAGGCCGTGGCGCAGGCCATCGAACACCACGCCGAGCGGCATCCGTCTCGGCCTCTTCACATCGTGAAGGAACCGGTGTGACGACGGGGAAGGTRGTGGTCTTTTGCGGACAGTRACCGAGCACCGCATTCCAAAAAACTAGGCAACAATCAAACAGCATATTTTTGATTCGATTCGACGAGAACTGAATTTCTTTCATAAAGCTTCCTGGAAGGTWCCTAGTTATAAACATGATAGACCCTTTTTCTCTATGAATAGGTAGTTGAGCAGTAGCCATGCCGGTCAAACATAACCGTAGTATGGCAACGGCGGTGCAGAGAGCAATAAAATCACGCAAGAGCCGAACAGCGGCAACACTAGGTTGTCCAGCTGCATCGTGAAAGCCTCGAGGACCGTGGTGAGAGTCGACGCCACCACCAGGGCCCCGAAGCCGTGCCCCGAGGTGCAACAAAGAACGGCGGAGCCGATTGCTACCATGCTGCTCCACATGGCCAAGGATCCCTCCAGGGTTCGCTGGTTCCTACCCCATTTGTGGGTTCCGAAGCTCTTGCCGACCACGGCCCCCATGGCATCTCCTACCCCGATGCAGAGGACCCCAAACTCTGCGAGGAGCAGCAAGACAGAAAAGTGTTGTTCCAGCAACAAAGCATTCTCTGCTTCCCCGTCCGCATTTGCAATCGCAATCGCATCCGCGCTCGGCGCACCGGCAATCAGCGCATCGAGGACCTGGCCGATCCAGAGAGGGATGGCGCACCCCACGATCAGAAACAGGTGCGACACGATGACCTGATCTCCGGAGTCTTTCCGGTCGTCGAGAAAGGCGGTGTAAAAGGCCTGTAGCACTGGCGCTTCGTCGCCGCGCATGGTTTCCAGGACCAGCAGGATCGAGGCGGCGATGGCGTAGGACAGGGACATGAGCTGGGGAAGGCGCAGCGTGATGGGTCCGAACAATATCACCGCAACAAGGTGGAACCATTTCCTGGTCACCACCACCGAGGGTTTCGGTTTCCGCTTGGGTGCAGTCGTTTGTCGCTGTATCTTTTGCGCATCGGTTTTGCCGGTTTTGTTCGGGGATGCCATCGAAAGAATTGCGAGGGTCGGAACGCTTGAAGCGACCAACACGCAAACCCAATACACTAGGCCCCAGAATCGCTCTGTGTCGTTTTCCTTCTCCACCAGAAAGTCTACCAGCCATCGAATGGATAGGAGAGGGAAGAACTTGCCGTAGTGATCATGATACGGCGTCGACTCAAAGGCAGCAGCACCGGGCGTCGTGCACACATACAGCGTCGCATCGACAACCAACAGCGGCCCAAGCACGTTGAGCCCAATCCTCCACCACCACGACAATCTCTCCCGCAAGCTGCTGCCGAGGCACGCAAACGCACAGCAAGACAGGCTTCCCGACAACGCCACCATCGGCCAGAGGGAGGAARCCGTCGTTCCGACGTGGTGGGTTTCGTGCCGGTGGGTGAAACGGCTACGAAACCGTTCTGATGCGGCAGCAGACATCGCCCCCGCGTATTCCGAAACCGCGACCAGGAGCAGCAGGCACACAACCCTCCACTCCCCAAAGGCAAACGATTTTGCCACACCGCTGGTCGCAATCCTTGGCAGCACCAGAAACCAAGCCACGAAAAAAAGCCCGGCGATCGGGTTCCCGATGGACGGATCYAGAACCACGGCGGGCACGTACAACACCGCCGTCACMGCGGTTGGGAAGGGGAGCACCAGGATCGCCGTGATCTTGGCGTACGTGGTCCAGCAGCCCCGGGCTTGCGGATCGCTGCCCGCCGCACCGGAAGAATAATGGGCCAACACCCGGAGGAGGACGGGTACCAAAACAATGCTCATTGTTGCACCTCTTTCTCCTCCGCCTAGGTGCTTGGTGCGTCTGGTTCTGGTTCGGTTCCCGCTGGTTCTGTGCGCGGGAGAGAACGRATTCGATAAAACCACGGAACCAACGGAGGCACAGAGCACCATCCAGGCCTCCCAGTGCCAAACACCGTCGCCGTTGTCGATCGACGGTAGGAAAAAGGGAACGGCTCCCGCCAGGAGGATCCACAGAGAGTCTTCCACCGCTATCGCCATTTGAATTCTTGCAATACACGACGACCGCCACTATTCGTTTTCACACCGGTGTGGTTGGTAACATCMGCGAATCTAGTGGGGCCCAAGCAGTACTATGATGCCACCGCTGCCATGCCGAGTTTTTGTTTCTGCGGTGGTTCTTGTCTTGTTACAGTGCTGGCAGTTGTTTGCTGCGTTTTGTTGCCACAAACCATGGGAACGGGGGAAACAATTCTTTGGTCGGCACTCGGGTCACGAAAAAAAGTTGTTTGTGACAGTTTGATGTGCCGAACTAAAATTTAGATTCGATTCGATTTTCTCGATTTTTCCTCAAATATCTTTCGTGTTGATGAAATTCCCCAAGCACCCCTGACAACCTGTATCTTTCCTCACGAATGGAAACGCAGAAACCATGAAAAATACTTCTTCATAGCAGAACGAGTACTCGTACTAGTATCTACCGAAAATGACACGATGCGAACGAATTTTATTGAGATTCACTTTCACAAGTTCTTAGGGGTGACTTTTTACCGAAAAGGGTCTACTTGAGCAGTACCGTAGAGTAGTTCTATCGATAACATTGAAGTCATCCTCCATCCTTCTGCCTGTCTTGGTGCAACACCATACCATACTTGTATCCAAAAGAATGAGCGCCCCCAGAACATTTGACGAAGCTACGGAAATCGCTGCGGATCCCGCCATTCTGAAGGTTGGCCACAGCGAAAAATCGAAACTGTGAGTGTGTGGCGAGCGGAGGATTCGGTCTGGCTGTGTCGGGAGATTCCGTGCGATGCGTTCTTTCCTTCCTTCCTTTGTTTGCTCCCCGCTCACTCTCGTTTCGTTCCAACGCAGCTATGGGTACTTCAAGATTGCTTCGACGGCATCGGTGGYGCCGGAGGGGCCCCGGCCCGGGTTCCTGAGTGTGACGGACCGGACCAAGTGGGACGCGTGGAAGTCGTCCGGCGAGACCATCCCGGGCGGGGCTTCCGAGGAAGACATCGTGAAGGCCGCCAAGCTCCGGTACACGAACGTGGTGAGGGTCGCCATGGGGGCGGGTGAGCTCGAATCCCTGTCCTAGCCGGCTGCGAGAGCCGGTGTGTTGCTCGTGGTTTGCCGCGCTCCCTCTTGCCGGACCGTTCCGTGCTGGATTGCATCGAATTTGTTTGGTTTGGTCGCCGCTTCGATTTGGTGGTTACTGTCTGTACTGCTAGTCTCCCAAGGAAGAGACACCATGCAATCCAGCAATATATATATATATTTATTGGTTGCTGCTCTCATTCAGCTTTCCCGGTTTGCCCAGCGATTGGTGATGATGGATGGATGGATGGACTGACGAGACACACCGTTTTCTTCCTTGCTATGTCAAGCGGCTCGTCTACGTCATAGTCTCTCGGAGAGCGGGAAATGAATGATCCGAGAAAGGAATTCGAAACAAACTACTGAATGTTTTATGGACGCAAGCTGCGTTCTCTTTGTGATTATCGACAGACCGCTCGGCCCTATTATTTCGAGCACATACATCTATCCGAACCAGGATGTGTTAAAGTAATACAGTAGCAATAAACACTGTACTAGTGGCATCTTTCAATACATACCTTCGGTCGATCTTCAATACAGAATCAAGGTGTGTCCCCCACATTGCTGACTAAGATGGCAGTTTACCGGAATCTGCACGGTATTGATCTAGCTATCCGGAAGACTATGAACGTAGGCCAAAAATCCTGGTTTATGTTGTTAGTACAAAATACTTGACGTCAAAATAAGAATTCAACTTTGTTAGTTATTCAAGGATATGTGTGTGTGTGTGTGTGTGTAGGAACAGAGCACTGCCGATTTTGATAGTTAATGCTGTATCTGCATCGTGCGCAGKGATTCGTCGGCTCTGCCGCACCCTGTCGGACTGCTGGTTGGTTTGCTTGCTTGCGTCACAGTGGGTTGCTACTGTTTAAAACGGCTTGCGGAGTCCGTGCTGGTTGATGTGGTAGTTGCTGCGCTCCACACGGTGGGCTTGGGCTTTGGCCTCGTCCTCTTCTTCGGTCTGGATCTTGGACATTTCTTGTACGGTTCCGGCGCCAACTTGTTCGACCTTCTGGAGTTCCTTGGCGAGCTGGTAATCCGCAATCTGCTGGGGAGTCATGCCGGCCAAGCTCTCGCTCTTGTCCTGGTGGGCAACATAGTCGGTGTCCTTAACATACGCATTCGGTGTGGTGTAATCGGCGGGGACAGAAAGCATGCCGTGGTCCTTTTGGCGAACGGCTGCCAACCTGGTAAAGGTTCCGGATCGTGCCGTGCGGTTTGAGTTGGCCGCAACGGCTTTTTGGTGCTTGTCCTTGTGCGCTGCGTAGACGGCGGCGTTTTCCTCTTGCTGGAGAGCGATCGCGAGTCTGTGGTCCTTGTCTTCCTGGGAGAGGTTTGGGTCGTCGATGTTCATGGACATCTTTGCGCCTCCGGGAGTGGCGGCGCCACTGCCCATCATGACATAGTCCCCATCAGGTGTCTTGGATTCTTCCGACATTATGAATAATTGGTTTTGTAGGTTGCTAAAAGTACTGTTTTGAATCTAAAGGAAACAGGCGCATCGGTTGYGATTCCGAGAGATTGGGAAGGGGAGAGAAGAGGAACGAACGAAATGGCGTCAGAATATTGGCCATCGAATACTACGATATTCGGCAACGACTACCATCCCCGGATAAAATTTCGAATCCTCGGACGATTCTGACGATCCCATCGTGAAAAAGAACCCGAAGGCATCGAAGGAAGAATGATGAAATTCATCACCAGCCATGGCCGAGGCAGCGAAATATAATAACACAACAACCCCAGATAGGAAAATGAAYCTATCTCCAGTCAACTAGATTCCTCGACACCTTCATAGGATCTCTGTGCCAATCCATGCTCGCTCTGCAGCGAACGGAAAGGAGACACTCGAGAACAGACGGCACTTCCGAAGTGTGGGTTCGGTCATCRCTCGTTTATCGTCGCGTGCAACCTCTCGGAAATTTTTTGGSACCGGCCCATTGCGCATCCTCCGCACAATCCTATGGAGCAAACGCAAACCGGAYCCGGGGGGCCGCCATGGTCGACGTACCTCGCGAGAAACAATGCTGCTGTATTTGAGTTGGGGTTCAGTGCCTCGTGTTGTTGTTGCSGGTTGCTCAGCTTGCGCCGTCGTTCTTTCGTGCATTGAACTAGCATTCGCGACCATGATCGTGTCGGCCTGGTCAACGGTCATGTATGACTTTTTGACTCTCGATCGGCACTAGGCCCTCATACTCGGCGGCTGCACATAAAAGTATACAAATACGTATAATATATATCAAAATAYATTGGGGGCATGTCAAAGGGGGAGACGAAACTCTTATTACGAGAGCAATTGATGTAACGGAGATCAGGGGTCATTCTACATTTATGACCCCTGACGGAGATACTGTACATGGTACGTACATATCTACTGGTGGTACGGTACATACGTACTCTTTTTTACGTAATGCATGTATGGGTACATTTTGCGGTTTGTTGCTTTGTGTACAATGAATATGATTCTTCACAAAAACAAAATACTACAATTCTGTAACTCATTGCATGCCACATTGTGAAATCAAATAAAACAATCACAACACAATCATAGAAAGGAAGATTGTCTGCATGGCATGGAATAGCGTGCGGTAGTATTTTCCAGAATGGCTTTTTCTTTTTTGTCCGKCCCGGCTTGCTTCAATCGGCAACAATGTTTCCGTCCTCGTCAAAGGCCATGTCYTTCAGGGGMCGAAAGGTCCTCCTGTGGATCGGAGAGGCCCCGTGTGTTTTSACGGCCCGCATGTGGGCGGCSGTGGGGTACCCCTTGTGTTGCTCCAGCCCGTAGTGGGGCCACAGTTCGTGGTAGCCCCTCATGAGCCGGTCCCGCGTGACCTTGGCGAGGATCGACGCGGCGGCGATGCAGTACTCCCTGCCGTCTCCCTTGACGATGGAAGTGGATTCGCAGGGCATGTCGGGCGGAACCCGGTTGCCGTCGATGAGTGCATAGTAGTCCTCGGCGCTCGCGGCGGCAGCGGGAGCGGGAGCATCCTTGTCGTTGTTTTTGGTGCTGGTGCTGCTGCTGCCGTTCGTGACCACGTAGCACCCCTTCTGCTCGATGCTCGCCCCGGGAACGATCGGTATCGTCAAGTCCTCCCCGAGCACTATCGCATCCCCGTTATCGACCGCSAGGGCGGTGGCGGCGGCCGCCATGCCCCTCAGGGTGGCCTGCAGGATGTTGACCCGGTCGATGAAGGGAGCGTCCATCACCGCCACCGCCCACCGAACGCCTTCCGATTCCGTAATGGCCGCGTACAGGTCTTCCCGCTGCTCCTCTCTGGTGATCTTTTTGCTGTCGGTGATCCCGTCCAGGTCCACGGGAACAATCGCCGCGGCCGCTACCACGGGTCCCGCCAGCGGGCCCCTCCCGGCTTCGTCGACCCCCATCACGAAGCGCACCGCGTGCCCACCGGGCCGCAGCTTGCTTCCGCTCGCTTGCGTCTCGGAGAGCARCCTCGTTTCTTCGGTGCGCGGAAGGCAATCCGCCCCGCCCCGGGCGGAACCGGCGGAYGCGGGAGACTCTTTTGTTTTGCCCCGGGCACTCGTCGTTTTTGCCCCTGCCTTTTTCGTCTTTTTGGTGGCGCCCCGTTTTTTTTCTSCCTCCCCGGAAGCCGGTGTCGCTCCGGAAGCAGCCGTCGATCGGGAGCGCTTCGTTTTCTTTGCCGCAGCCGCCGATCGGGTCCGCTTCGTTTTCTTTGCCGGCGGCGGCGAAAAATCGGGATCGCGTCCCGCTGCCGCTGCCACGGAGGGACTCGCGCCGGCCTTCGAGAGGCCCCGGAGCCGGGGGCTGCGGCGGAGGGCGGTCGAAGCGGTCCTCATTGCAGACGCTGCCCTCGTTGCAATCATCAACGCCACCAGCGGTGCGGGGATTGCGGTTTTGTTTCTGCTGCTGCTAGAGCCTATGCCCGCACACRCTGTTGCGACAAACAGGACGAGGTGCCAGAACCCCCGGTTCATGAACGGAAGCCTCGAATGCCTTGGTGCTTTTGGAACGGATCGGAGAACAGGATCGTCGGCTGGAAGAGTACAAGGCTTCGTTTGTGGCAGATAGAAGTTGTCGGGTGTATTGTGTTCGGAAGCCCCTCCTGGTGGCAAATGTCAGCAAACGGTTTTGATGAAAAATAATGTACGGAGCCGCTTTAAGGGTGCAAAGGSACCTCGAAAGATTGTGATGGTTGACGCGCCAAAAACAGAGTCCAGATGATGCGCGCAAACAATGCCATCGGTCAGGGTTTTGAAAGCGGTGAAGAACGAGATTGSTACGATTGCTACGATAGAGTTGGGGATAATCTGGCCTTCTCGAAAAGGAGATGGAACGGATATATTACAGTACGGTAGGTACATACATAATACGTACATACCTTTAGGTATCGGTACGTACTCGTAATCGGTAGCACGGCGTTCTTCTCGCCTTGTTCACTTCGTTGTACCGACCGTTATTCGTACCGTAATGTACGTACTGGGTACTCCACTTCTACAAAACCAAGCATCTTTCCCACACAAGAAACAACTGCCACAAACCAAAACGTTCCCGTAGCACTGACCGCACTGACAAAAGCAAAGCAACCAATCGGATCGGTTTCGTTTGCTGATTGCCGCACGATACGGAACCCATGAGCGAGGCACCACCGTCCRCCGTGTCCGCGACACCGTCCACGATGCGCTATCGCCACAACGCCACGACCGCTTCCGACGGGGGCCATGGCTTCGCGAAGGACCGCGGTGGCCAGAGAGGCCCCGGCGGAAGGATGCACCGAGACGCGGGCGCATCSGGGCCGGCGGGAAGGACGCGGCAGGGGACGCGCGGGGGGGGGSACCGAGAGCGGCAGCGGCGGACGCAGAAAGAGAAAGAGAACCAGCGGATCCGYGACGAAGAACGCTTCCTYCGGCACCTGAGGACCGCGACGGCGGTGGTGTCGGCGGGGATCGTCGTGGCGGTGGCCTACCTGGCCTGCCTCCTGCTGGTGATCGATCCGGAGCTGCAGTCCCACCTGCACCTGCCGAACCTCGGAGAACACACCGGCATCAARGGCTATTACGACCGGGTTTCTTCGTGGTACTCGTCTTACTACGAGTACGCATCGTCGTCGGCARCAAGAAACACGCAACAACAGGAAGGGGATGGGAAAACTATGGACCTGGACGTGGACTTGGAAGTGGACCTGGACATGGAYATGGACMTGGATTTTTATCCGAATTCGGATGCTGGAAAAATTGAGAAAACCGATGACTCGGATGCCCATTCTGCAGTACACCAAGAAGGTGACGAAAGCGACACCGGTGGTGGCATTGGTGATGACGACGACGACGATGATGATGATGACGCGATCGACGACGACGACGACGACGATGATGATGCGATCGACGAGGAAGGCGAAATCGACGAAACGTCCTCTCCAATATACACGATACCAAACTCGATGGATCACATCGGGGACAAATCGGATCGATACGCTCTCCTGAGAAAGGAGTGGGACGAGCGGAATCCCCCAAACGATAGCGAGCGATCCCTGCGTGCCCTGAAAGAAATAGTCGAAAACAACCACGAAAAGAACAAGTTTTCCTCGATCCTTCACCGTCTGCGGCCTCCCCCCGGCAACGATGCSGACGRGGAGATGAACTACGACATCTACGATTGCCCGGACGATCCCCCACCCGGATATCCTMGGGAGTACAAAACGATAGACGTGTTGCGACACTGGCCACCCAACCARAACCTGCCGGAAGCAACAACCACGGCTGCTAGCGATGGCGAGGCCGATGACGGCGATGCCGGGAACGGCACACAAACGATGTGGGCCCATCTGGGCATCTGTGTCTTTGATTACAACCGCGACTAYGACAAGGCCCTCAACTACCGTTCGAACGAGGTTCCCTTTGTGGTTCGGAACGATCCGTGGGTAGCCGAAACCGTGGAGCGCTGGAACGACGAAGGCTACCGCCGCACCTTGTTTGGGGGCCTCGGCCACAGCGGCAGCGGGACCACCGATGCGAACGGYAGCGAAAACGACAACGGCGGTGTTTATGCCGATGCCGACGCCTCCGCTGCCGAGACGAATCGAGGGACCACCGTGCACCACCGGGCCGAGCGCGCGGTGACGAACCAGATCTTGTTCCGGCACGGACCGAAGAAAAAGGCCCCAAAGACCAACACCTACGCCAAGATGCCACCGAACCGAAAACGAGAAAAGACCGGGCCGGTCCGGGGAAAAAAGCTGCCCCCCCCCACCAAGCTGATCCAGATGACCTACGAAAACTGGTACGAGCTCGCCATGGAGAAAGAAAGGAGGCTGGTATCAAACCAAACCAGCCTCGCGGAGGGCGGCGACGGCCTCCCCCGGCACGGCTACGAGACCAAGCCCGATCGAGCGAGCGACTCGTACTACTATTACTTTCGGCTGGTGGGCTGCGGGGAAAAGGAGGGCTGCGAGAAGAACTCCACCGAGTACCTCTTCGACGAGCTGCCCTTCTTCCAGCCCCGGAAGAGCCGCGGGCCGAGCGATCCGCGAAGCGGCAAGCGATCCAAACCCACGAAACCGAGGAGGGGATCACCGCGGGGCCAGACCCATCCGGCGTCGCCGGAATCCACGGAACCGGCCCCCKGGGACCACCGAGAAAACCTCTACCTCGTGGAATTGGACAAGCAGCGGGGAGTGAGTGTCCGCTCGTTGTTTCGACGAGAACGGCAGCGCGTGTTTGCTTTTGTGCTTCTGCTCTTTTGTTCTTCTTCGTAGGGCGTTGCTCTGTGTGTGTTTTTTGTGTGTGTCTGTCTGTGTCCGTGTGTGTCGTGCACGATTGTTTTCTCACGCTGCCTCTCCCCCCCCCCCCTTCCGTTCTCCAGATCCATTGCCGGTTCGGCATGCCGGGCATGATTGCCGCCAACCACTACGACGCGAGCCGCAACGCGATCGCCGTCCTCGGAGGGACCCGGCGGTACGTGGTGTCGAGGCCGGCGCAGTGCCGCAACCTGGGCCTCTTTCCGCCGGGGCACCCYTCGGCCCGGCATTCCAGGGTCGATTGGACGACGGCCCCGGCCGATTACGAAGACCTGGTCCGGACSGTCGACGAACGCAGCGACGAAGCGGAACCGCTGTCGCCGCCGTCGTCTTCGGAYAACACTGTTCCGTGGAAAGAATACAACGAATCCCTGTCGCTCCTCGCCAACCAAGCCAGGTCCACAGAGGTTGTCCTGGAAGCCGGCGACGTTCTCTACCTGCCTAGCTACTGGTTYCACTACATTGTCAGCCTGGATACGAACATGCAGTGCAACACACGCTCGGGAAAAGGAGACGGCAGGGAKGACCAAACCATGACAGACTGTGGGTTTCGGCCAAAGAAACGATAAGAGCCGCGCGTCTCGGGCGAAAGACGGCAATCGCTTGCAGCGAAAAAGCGATCGGAGCAAAACGCTCGTGTCGAGAAGGATCCAATGCCATACCACACTGTAACTGTAATATACCATGTTATGCTATGATATGATATGATATGATATGCTATAACAAGTTCGTTTCAAAACGTAAGAGTGACTCTTCTAGTCTATGGGAAATATCGTCTGGGAGGATCCAATGCCATACCACACTGCAACTGTAACACATCATGCTATGCTATGCTATGCTATACAAGTCCGTTCCAAAATGACTCTTGGAACCTATGGGAAATATCGTCTGGGCTGCATACTGTAGAAGGCACATACTTTACCGTGCATACCGCGATGTTGCATCGGATGGAACAGCATACAATCCAATCAAATTGCGCTGCGCTGCGCTTCGCTGCGTCGTGTGCTGTGGTCAGTCGCTGTGGTCAGTAGCTGTGGTCAGTCGCTGTCGCTGTCGCTGTCGTCCAGAATGAATCGCCGCTTGGCATTCCCKCCGCTGGTTCCGTTCCCGGACCGTTTCGCGAGCGGCGTGTTTTCGCCGTCGATCTCTTCCCCGCTCTGCTCCYCCGGCTCCGAGCCGCCTTCCTCTCGCCCGGTAGGGCTGTCCGTGCCGGTCCCTCCGCCTTTGCCGCCGTTTGGTTCTTCTTCCTTCGTTTTCTCCCATTCGCTGCCGGGGGGSCCGCCGGTCCTCCCATGGGAGAGTCCTTCTCCTCCGGCGCGGTCCGCGTGGGCCCCTCCCCCCTCCTCGTCGCCACTAAAGGCACCCTCGATGTCGCTCGCGTCGGAACACCCGGTGGAAGAGCGGGCGGGAAGTGTTCCCTCCTTTTCGCTTTCCTCCACCACCGGGAACTCGTGCCCGGCGGTCCCCCCGTCCCCGAGGCCGGCCCGGTCCGCACAGCAAGAGCAGATCCAGTCYCCCTCGGGAACGACCGAGCGGCCGACGCAGGAAGCGTGGAAGCTCTTGCCGCACCCGGGGTGGGCGTCCCCGCCGTCGCAGTACATGAGCTCCCCGCCGTCGTCGCAGACGCAGCAGACGTCGTCCTCGTCCTCTTCGTCCTCGTCCTGTTCTTCCTCTTCGCCGTCCCCCACCAAAAAGCCGTCCTCCTCGAAGCGGTCCATCCGTTCGTCGTGATCGTCCTCGCTCTCGTCGTAGGCTCCCATGGTYGGGTTTCTGCTGCCACGGTCCGGGAACCCTTCTGCCGGCCCCCGCCCGGGGGCCAGCAGCGTGCTCCCGCCCGCACGGTTCTGGAGCTGGGCCAGGTCGAGCTCCAGCCTCGTCCCGGTTTCCGGGTGCTCGAACAAAAGGCCCCGGGGGGGTTCTTCGGTTCCGACCCTTGGCCGTGGGGCGTACCCGAAGCGGCCGGTGCCCGGGTCCGCCACCAGCAAGGCCAGCGGGGAGAGCCCCCCGGCCTCGTCCCTGGCCCGGACCCCGAGGGAGGTGTGGCCGAAGCGGCCCCCCCTSYCGCACACAAAGAGCTCGTCCTCCGGGGAGAGGACGCAGGTGGGGAATCCCTGGTCCGTTGCCTCGTCCTCCTCCATSGACAAAAGGCAGACCTCCAGACCAAGGCCGGCTTCTTCCAGAGCGGGCCTCCCGTAGACCGCGAGGGCCAGCTGCATGCGCTGGTCCTCCGCGTCCAGCACGATGCTCCGTCGGACCTGGACGGTGGGGTTGTTCCTGCCGCTGTAGTGGCCATTGCTTCCGGCGCGGCCGATCCGGAGGTAGTGCCAGGTCTCGTCCGAAAGGTCGCTCAGGACCTGGTATCCGGCYKCGTGGGCCCCGCCCCTCTCCCCCCTGGCGGCCTCCCTCTGCTGCYKCGACCTTTGTCGGATCCGCTCGACGACCTCCYTCCCAAAGAGGGCCACCACGCAGGCCTTGAGGGCGAGGTTCGGGAGGGGGGCAACGGTYCTCGGCAGCCTCTTGCGGCAGGTGGGGCAGCGCTTCTCCGGATCCCGGTCGAACCACCACTCGATGCAGGGCCCGCAGAAGGAATGCCCGCAGGGCAGCGCGATCGGCGGGTAGACCACCTCGTGGCAGACCGCGCACAGGAGCTCCCGGCGGAGCTGCTCCGGCGGGCGGTAAAACAGAGAAGAATTCGTCGATGCCGATGCCGATGCCGATGCCGATGAATTGGGGTTTGGTGCGTTCTCTCGCTGGCCATTCCCGTCGTTTCCGTTGTCGTTGCCAGCAGAGGTAATGCCCGGTGGTTCCCCCCGTTGGTTGCGCTCGGATCCGCKTTCCCCAACTTTGGTTTCGAGGGCGGCGGGAGACGCGCAGGCCTGCATCAGCGATCGTATCTGCCGCAGCTCGWGGTCCTCCCCGTCTCCTCCATCGCAATGGTCGTCGTCCACCCTCAGGTCCCGGCCGAGGACCTCGCGCTTCAATCGAGCGAGCGAGACGTCGTTGTTGTCGTCGTCGTCATTGTCGTCGCCGTTGTTCTCGCTGCATTCGCCGTCGCCGTCGTTTTCGTTGTCCCCACCGTGGAAATAGCGCCTGTGGTTGTCTTTCATGGCTTCCAGGCGTCGCTTCTTCCTCGGAATTTTGGTGCTCTGGGACCAATCGGTGCCCGGATCGGGACGCAGCGGTGCGGAAGCGGAAACGGAAACGGAGGAAGTTCCATCTTCGGGTCCTGCTGCCGCTGCAGCTGTAGCCGTAGCTGTAGCTGCAACAGCGGCTTCGTCCCCGGCCGGGGCAGCGGCGGCAGCAGCAGAAACAGAAACAGAAACAGAAACAGAAACGAGAGCGCCAGCGCCCTCACCCACATCGTCGCTCTCGCCCACTGCGGTTTCCAAGGAGCATCCCGCTGTTTCCTCGGTGACCATGGCGTTCTTGGTTCGTTCGGAGGCCCCGAGCAAGACGATGATCTTCCGCTTTGATGCAATCCCGTCGGCCGGAGGGAAAAAATGCGGTGTTTGTTCTGATTGTTCTGATCTGATCTGCTTTGTTTTGCTTTCTTCCCTTCTTTCCGACGGGGTTGTTCCTCCTCCGGTGTGGTTTCCGTTTGTTTCCGGCTCTGGGATTGGTTTGGGGATTGGTTTCTCTTTCGCTCGSTTTGGTTCCGCTTTTGMCTTTTGATTGGTACTCTTACTCGTATTCGTACTCGTACTCGTRTGGTTTACGGRTTGTGTCAGTTTGGGGCGAAACAGAACTGAGAGTCCGAAATATCCATCGCATCGCATCATTGGGATTTGGAATTGGGAGCAGCAATCTTGGTCCGAGTAACTCGTACATAGTACGGGACGATACTTTACTGCTAAACGTCTAGTGGTACAATTACGGCATGATGCAAAGTCTCAAGGTACGATCATACCTAATAAGGTATGATCACATGTGTTGAGGTATGATCATACCTCTTTGGGTATCATCATACCTGCATGGGTATGATCCTATCCTGATAGATATGATCATACCTAAAAAGGTATGATCATACCGGCCTGGGTATGATCATACCCTGATGGATATGATCATACGTGTCAGGGTATGATCATACCTGTTTGGGTATGATCATACCTTCATGGGTATGATCCTATCCTGATAGATATGATCATACCTAATAAGGTATGATCATACCGGCCCGGGTATGATCATACCCTGATGGATATGATCATACGTGTCAGGGTATGATCATACCCAGATAGATATGATCATACGTGTCAGGGTATGATCATACCCTGATGGATATGATCATACCTGTCAGGGTATGATCATACCCTGATCGATATGATCATACCTGTCATGGTATGATCATACCTGTCAGGGTATGATCATACCCTGATCGATATGATCATACCTGTCAGGGTATGATCATATCATACCCTGATGGATATGATCATACGTGTCAGGGTATGATCATACCTATTGAGGTATGATCGTACCCAAACTCTTGGCGCGGGAACAGGAACGGTTCCGTTTCGTTTCTGGTTCGTGTTGTTTCTGTTTCGGTCTCCGTTGCACGAAACCAAACCCATCAAAAAGAAAGATTCCGTTGTTACCGCAACACCCAGCGAAGGTTCCGTGACAGCCSCAACCACACCGCATTGCCCCCGGTGCACGGGGTTGCCGATTGCCACCAGCACGGGCAGTCCATCGCACCCGTGCCGTGCCGTGCCGTGCTGCCACTTGTCCACCTTCCCGACAGCCCGTTCCAACCGATGGCGAGGCCGATCCGGATCGCGTCGCTCAATGCRTACCTCATCTGCGGGCTCTTCAACCGGTACCGGACGACGCACCCCGAGCGGCGKGCCTCGAAGATCCGCCGGGAGYTYCTGGGGCCGCACGGACCGGATGTTTGTTTTTTCCAGGAAGGTGKGTGGGTCGATTTTTGCTCTTGGCGTTGATGTTGATCTTGGTTGGTTCCCAGGTCATGGATCSTGGAATATCTAGCCTGCGGCTTACCCCGATTTTGTTTCTCGGTCGTTTGTGGTTTCCTCCTTTGTTCTGTGGATGGCTGGAATGAACTTCAATGGAACGGCTGTGTGGTGGATTGGATGGAACGGAACGGAAAATGGAAAATGGAACATTCCATTGAATCGCATCCGTCTGAATGTGCATTTTCCCCGAAACCCCCGCAAGTGTGGGGAAGCGGAATCCGCGAGCTCACCGAGGGCATCGAGCACGCGATCCCCCCGGGGCGAGCGTCTCTGTTTCCGTCGTGGTTTGCACCGTCCGGCAGAGCCGCTCCGGGAAATCCGGAAGGAAGTTCCAGCACTACCCCACCAGCGGGCCGGGACGGCAGCCACAGCAACAACATTTCCAACAACAACAACAACAACAACAGCGGCAGCCACGGCGGTAGCTCGTTTTCGCTCCTGGCTGCCCTCGTGGAACTGGTGGACACCCTGTGCTTTCACTGGAAAAAGACGGGGGGCCTGTACGACGCAAGCCTTTCGGACCCGCCGTTGACCTGTCGGTACCGCCGGAAGCACACCTTTGCGGTGAGCCGGTCGAGGTCCAACAAGGGGGTGGAGGCAACGCTCTGGGACGTCCCGCAGTGGTCGGAGGRGGSCGTGGATTCCCGCTCCGGGACGGAGGCCACCGAAMKGMCGCGCCGCGACACGGGCAAGAACAAAAGCAAAAGCAGCCGGCACAAGCAGCTGCTGGTCTTCAACACACACCTGGACCCGTGGCATCCCTCCAATCGAAAGAAACAAATCGGCGAACTCCTCYGCTTTGTGGAAGACACGCTGTCTTCGATCGAGCGGGCGTCCGGAAACGCACGGGGCTGCTACGACTGGTCCCAGACGGCCGTCCTGGTACTCGGCGACTTCAACGTCAAGGCCGGTTCGGAGGAATACATGGAACTGCTGGGGGCGGGCKCTTCCGAGCCAAGCCTTCCGTCGGCAGACGGTCCTCCGTGCRGGGATGACGCTCCCTGCCTCGGCTGGATCGATTATTTTGCCCTTGACCACGGAGCACACGAATCGCCGTCATCGTCGAGGGGCAACAGCGAAACGCACGAGCAGGAGGAGCAGCATCGGCAACAACAACAACAACAACAGCAACAACAACAGCAGCAGCAGCAGCACACGTACGCCCTGCAAAACTCCATGGTAGAATACCCCGGGGACTGCGGCCGCATCGACTACGTCTTTGGAATCCACCGCCTCTGGGCCCGCGGGGGGGCGGAGGGCCCCTCGAACCGGCCCCGCGAGTTTCTGCGGCTGGCGGTGGTCGACCGATCGGTCCGGAAAGAACCGGTCGGCGACGAGTCCTCGGACCACTACGCCCTGGTCCTGGAGCTGGTTCCGGCCGTTCGTTAGCGCTAGAAGCCCCRCCGTGCTTCCGCCCAACCGAACTCGTTTTGGTACGCCGGTAGTGGAATACGCTACACGTTATCCATTGAAACAAGCACTTGGGTTGGGAGGAGCCGCTGCCGGTTTCGAGACTCCATCGGCGGGTTGTTCACCACGGAATCCATCGCGGAAGCAAGCTTCTGATTTAGAACACCGTTCAAGGATCGGCGCTCTGCATTGCATCCTAAGGTACTTTTCTTGTTGTTTCGTCGTAACCAATGGAATATTTTAATTATCCAATTATTCTAATCTACMTAATGCTCCTCGGGGCCGCAGTGTCTCGCTCGGACAGAATCGCAAACGCAGCACTAACAGTTTCAAAAAGAATAGGCAGTTCAACAAGCAGTTCCATCCATGAATCGAACACACGTAATTTGTGTCGAATTCATTTCACGACGGAATTCGAAAAGTTCCACAGAGCATAGCATCGCATCGCATCGCATCGCATCGAAGCAATCGGATCGATTGCTCTCGACCAACGGTACACCCGCCGCCGGATGTATGTACAGCCGTAAACGTAAAACCATTCAATGCACTCCATCGATGTACCGCCCTCAAACTCGTCGTTTTGTTTTCCTTATTTTTTCTTGCCCTTGCCCTTCGACAGACCGGCGTTCAGCAAATCGTCCAGGGTCTCGGTTTTCTTCTGGACTTTTTTCCGGGCCACGGGGGCCTTCTCGGGGGCCGCGTTCGCCGCCTCCGCCTTCTTGGCCGCCTTTGCCGCCAGCTTCGCCTGCAGCTTGGCCGCGTCTTCCTGGTTTCGCTGGGCGGGCGTGCCTTCTCGGTTGTKGCCCTTGTTCTTGGCGGCCTCCTTGGCCTGGCGCTTGGCCCTGTCGGTGTCGCGCTGGTTTCCGCGGGACATGGTTGTTGTGCTCTGGCTTCTGTGGGTGGTTGGTCGGAAGACCGTAAGACGAGGGGGTGGGTAGATTGATTCGGTGAACGAGGTGAGCTCTTTGGCCACTTGTGGAGCGTCGCCAGCGGAAGTGTTGCGCGGGGACCGGTGGTGCTGCGTCCAGTTGTCGTGACTCTTCTTYTGTTTTCAACCGCCTTAATCTGATGAACGACACGGGAAGTTGTGAAGTACAGTAAAGGCAGTACAACACAGTACGGCAATAGCGGTACGGTACTCGTACTACTTTAGGAAATACTATACTGTACGGTAGAAGACAACCATCCACTCTGTGATGCTGTAACGTTCGTACCGGTATGACCCCTGCCGGTACCGTACCTCGTACCTCCGTACAGTGCCACCAACATATCCATGTGTATGACTCCTCGAACAAGCACTAACCTACGTTCTGTACCAGCAACTACGAGTACTCGTTCGTACTCGTTCCACGTTGCTTTCGTCCATCGAAGAAAAAACAAACGAAAAAATTTGTGGCAGAGAAAAAATGAGACTTCCTCCACCCTCAAAGCAACTTTTGCGGGTGAAATAAAAAGCTCCTCCTCAATATTATTTAATGATTCAAATGCTGCTTTTTGGGTTGCAGTAGTAGTACTTCTGGCATCAATCAATTCAAAAGAAGTACAAACTTGATTTCAGTGTATGTTATTATGGAYGCTTGGGTGGAGAGGGGGCTTGAAAATAACCTATTTTGACTGCTGCTGGTGGTGGCATACTCGTCCTGCCACAAGAAGAAGAAGAAGGAGGAGACGAGGAAGACGAAGAAGAACAAGAACAACAAGAACAACAACAAACACAGCATGCAGTATGAGGAGAGAGAGAAGAACAACAATGCTGGTGGTGCAATTTTCCCCTGCCTACCACAAGCAGCAAGAGTACTACTAGCAATAGTAGTAGTAGTTAAACAATTAAACAACAAAAGCAAAGGAAAGGAGGATCTGGATATTCCAACAGCAGCGCTTCTGCTAGTAGTAGTAGTAGTAGTAGTAGTAGTAGTAGTAGTAGTAGTAGTAGTAGTAGTAGTAGTAGTAGTAGTAGTAGTTGTTGTTGTTGTTGTTGTTGTTGTTGTTGTTGTTGTTGTTGTTGTTGTTGTTGTTGTTGTTGTTGTTGTTGTTGTTGTTGTGGTTGTTGTGGTTGTTGTGGTTGTTGTGGTTGTTGTGGTTGTTATTATTACTATTATTATTAGTAGTAGTAGTAGTAGTTCTCACTGTTTCTCCATCAGCAGCAGGATGAGCAGCAAATCTGCTCTTACTACTAGTACAATAAAAAAAACCATGCTGTCTCTTCTTGATGGTCCTTCAAGTGATACTGGTAGCCCTAAGTTGACAATACTGAAAATCTTGGTGGGAGTTTCAGCTGTTGACATGACATAATGCTGGTACTAGTCCAATTATCATCATTCTTCCTTCTTTTATTCAAAAGAGATGCTGACATTGTCATATATCTTTGTCCATACTACTACTACCAGTACTACCATAATTTCTCTCTGCTGATGGGCTCCTTGTCATTGGAAACAAAACATGCAACTTGCTACTGCTAGTATAAATTGACCCTCCTCTTAAATGTTACTAATCACCCTAAACTATGTGAGATGACTACATGATTATGCATTTGCAAATACTACTAGTAGTATTACTACTATCAATATTAGTAGTAGTAGACAGGCAGCTAGGAGTACCAGCAGTAGTAATTCAAAACATTATACTACTTCCTTACTAACAATACCACACACCAACAAGTCCCCATGTGCCAAACCCAGGATCAAGAACTACTGACAAAAATTTGTGATTTCTGTCACCAGTCTAAAGTCTACACCATTTACTAGCAGACTGTTGCTCATTTACTAGACAACAACTAGTACCTTCTTCTTCGTGGCCTGGTGGAACCTAGTACTCCTACATGGTTTGGCCAGGTTTCACTACTAGAAATACTAAATGGAATTTTTTATTTTCAATTAATTTGGTCCTTTTGAGGGTCTATTTCACTTGTTACTAGTAAAGGATCAGTCAAGGGAGTCCACAAAAATTTCTCAAGTATTCTTGCTGAATGAATAATAAATCTACTAGTGGTAGCAAAATGGGCTCCCCTCTATTCCTAGTGGTGGTAGTACTGGCTAGTAGGCAGTAGATTTTGGATATTTAGACTGGTGAATGGCCAGAATTTTCAGTCTAAATTGGTCATGTCTACTAGTACTAGTAGTAGTACTAGACTGTGGCATAAAGCAGCACTTTGGTGATGACACATGTTTTGAGAAAACAAAATCATCATGATTGCTGGTGACACATCACATCAGCATTCTGGGATAATGGTACTAACAGCTTTTTGCTGAATGACCAAAAAGTAGCAGTAATTTGAGAATTCCTCAGCAGCAATATCTCTGTGGGTCTGATGCAGCCTTTAGCATTTCCTTTGTACTACTAGTTCTCTGGGAATATGATGTTACTACTAATAGAATGTCATTACTGAAGAAGGGATAGTAGGAAACAAGGATGAGGAGAGTTATCTTGTTGTATCTTGTGATACCACTACTATTTGTAGTAGTAGTAGACCATGATCTACTCTTTGTACTGCTATACTACTGGTGGTAGTGCCACTACTAGTATTATACAATTTCATAGTGGTTTGTGCTGCTAATAATTGTACTTCTTGATTGTGTTTGTGGTTTTGTTTTGTTTTGTGCTACTGCTTCTGCTATTACCAGTACTACTGGTAAAAAGAAGATTGGTAGCATCATCATGAAATGCTAATCCATCACCACCATATCACGGTGGTGGCACTGGTGATGCACTCATTATTATACAACACAAATATTTTCTGCATACACAAAAGATTTTGTCAAGTGTTTCATCCTGATGTATTTTGCACTAGTAATCATAAAAAAATAATTATGTATCAGGCTGACTCATTTCTTTTTCCAAGTTGCAAGTAGAGCTGCTGACACTACTAGAACTGAGGACATGCCCATTTGACCAAAACAACATCTAGCACTACTATTGAAAAATCATGAAGTATCATGTTGGATAATGGAGATAGTGTTTGGTCTCTTTGACATCACTTGTGAAAAGATCATTTGTTGTTCTGTATAAAAAATAATCCTTTTCCCCCTCAGATCTTGACAAGTCTAGTAGTATTGAAAGTTGAATGTGGATACTAGTAGTACCTAGTAGTAGTACTAATAGTAATAGTCACAAAATCATCAATGATAATATTTTTTCAAATGAAGCCTTCTTATCACAGCAATATAGTACAAACCTGCTGTAACCTACAAAGAGTTTGCTGCAAGACCAGTCAGCAAGAAAAAATAGCAACTAATAGTTGTAGTAGTCTTTAATAAGGAGTGATGTAGAGAAGGGGGTGTGGCAAAGTACCAACAAGCAAAGCAGCACATCTAGCATACTCTACAAATGCCTAATACTGATAATGACTCCACAGAAGAAACTGATCCCCTGATGACTTTAAAGAAATCATAGAAAAAGATACTACTATGGCACCACTCAGAGAAATGCACATTACAGATTTCACTGCATGATGATTGGTGAAGGAAATACTTAGATCCTTGACAATCATCCAACAAGATCCTCTTGTTTTCCATGAGATAAATAGTTAATCCAGCAATAATCACAGATGACATAGTAATGTTGACTTTCGTTTTGGTGATACAAGAAGAACAAGAGAAGACTACTGCTGACACAACCTCCTGCTTCTTGAAACTTCTTGTTGTAGTACCAACTGATTTCATAGATGACAGCAGTCATGAATGCCTGCACTATGGCACCTAGTGANTGGCTAGTAGGCAGTAGATTTTGGATATTTAGACTGGTGAATGGCCAGAATTTTAAGTCTAAATTGGTCGTGTCTACTAGTACTAGTAGTAGTACTAGACTGTGGTATAATGCAGCAGCACTTTGGTGATGACACATGTTTGAGAAAACAAAATCATCATGATTGCTGGTGACACATCACATCAGCATTCTGGGATAATGGTACTACTAACAGATTTTTGCTAAATGACCAAAAAGTAGTAGTAATTTGAGAATTCTTCAGCAGCAATATCTCTGTGGGTCTGATGCAGCCTTGTTTAGCATTTCCTTTGTACTACTAGTTCTCTGGAAATATGATGTTACTACTAATAGAATGCCATTACTGGTGAAGAAGGGATAGTAGGAAACAAGGATGAGGAGAGTTATCTTGTTGTATCTTGTGATACCACTACTATTTGTAGTAGTAGACCATGATCTACTCCTCTTTGTACTGCTATAATACTGGTGGTAGTGCCACTACTACTAGTATTATACAATTTCATAGTGGTTTGTGCTGCTAATAATTGTACTTCTTGATTGTGTTTGTGTTCTGTTTTTTTTTTGTGCTACTGCTTCTACTATTACTAGTACTACTGGTAACAAGAAGATTGGTAGCATCATCATGAAATGCTAATCCATCACCACCATATCATGGTGGTGGCACTGGTGATGCACTCATTAATACAACACAAATATTTTCTGCATAGACAAAAGATTTTGTCAAGTGTTTCATCCTGATGTATTTTGCACTAATCATCAAAAAATAATTATGTATCAGGCTGACTCATTTCTTTTTCCAAGTTGCAAGTAGAGCTGCTGACACTACTAGAACTGAGGACATGCCTATTTGACCAAAGCAGCATCTAGTACTACTATTGAAAAATCATGAAGTATCATGTTGGATATTGGAGATAGTGTTTGGTCTCTTTGACATCACTTGTGAAAAGATCATTTGTTGTTCTGTATAACAAATAATCCTTTTTCCCCTCAGATCTTGACAAGTCTAGTAGTATTGAAAGTTGAATGTGGATACTAGTAGTATCTAGTAGTAGTAGTAGTACTAATAGTAATAGTCACAAAATCATCAATGATAATATTTTTTCAAATGAAGCCTTCTTATCACAGCAATATAGTACAAACCTGTAACCTACAAAGAGTGTGCTGCAAGACCAGTCAGCAAGAAAAAATTTCAACTAATAGTACTAGTAGTAGTCTTTATAAGGAGTGATGTAGAGAAGGGGGTGTGGCAAAGTACCAACAAGCAAAGCAGCACATCTAGCATACTCTACAAATGGCTAATACTGATAATAACTCCACAGAAGAAACTGATCCCCTGATGACTTTAAAGAAATCATAGAAAAAGAGACTACTATGGCAACACTCAGAGAAATGCACATTACAGATTTCACTGCATGATGATTGGTGAAGGAAATACTTAGATCCTTGACAATCATCCAACAAGATCCTCTTGTTTTCCATGAGATAAATAGTTAATCCAGCAACAATAATCACAGATGACATAATGTTGACTTTTGTTTTGATGATACAAGAAGAACAAGAGAAGACTACTGCTGACACAACCTCCTGCTTCTTGAAACTTATTGTAGTGGTACCAACTGATTTCATATATGACACCAGCAGTCCTGAATGCCTGCACTATGGCACCTAGTGACCTCCTAAGGTAATTTAAGAACTGAGTACAATGAGGGTACCTGGTGGGGAAAGAYATTCAATGCAGGAGGAAATGATGCAATAAGAATGGGTCCAATCCTGATTTCTTATATTTTGTTGTCACAAAATTCACTGCTCCTGTTAATCCACAAGATAAGTGCAAATTCAAGAAGCAGGTTCTTTGAACCACAAATACTAGTAGTGGAGGAAAAAGGTTGAAAAGAAGAAGTGAGATATTCAGTATTAGTGATAAGGGGGCTTGGCTGGTGTTCTMCTTTTGCAAAATGATTTCTATGCTTGGCAGAACCATAGATCAGAAAAAAAACAAGATATACTTTTGCAACTACTAGTTACTACTAGTATACCATTCCTCCCCAATTGTGTTCCTTTGGAAGTGCCACCCCCCTTGGAGCAGCAACTACTAGTAGTAATATTACTACTAGGAGTATTCTTTCCCTAGTAGTGATGGTTCTGGTCTTCTTTATGAGTCCTCTAGCACTAGTAGTAGATTTCAAGGTTAAACAAAAGAATATGAGGTTAATTTGAAAAGCAGTTGCTGTTGTTTGTACTAGTAGTAGCTACCAGCAGTACTCAGAATATTACTACTAGTACTATCAATAGTAGTACCAGTAYTACTTGTAGTAATAGTCCTAAGGAGGGGCTGGTCAGAGATCTTTTCTACAAGAAGGATACTCAGAGTCTACATGAAAAATGGACAACATATACTACTAGGGAGAAAATAATTAATTGTTTTTTGTCTTTAATCACTACTACTTAAAGCTAGTATTAATTGTTCTACTTCCCCTGGTGGTACYGCTCCTCCTTATCTTTCCTGTCCTTAGTATTCACATCCCCTCAAATTGCTTCCACCACTCTTCTGTACTATTAGCTGCAAGTGCTACTGGCCTGTGTGGGATCTTCATTCCGATTAATTCTATATTTTGATTAATTTTGACTCCTACTAGTACTGCATTCCACTTCAGAGTTCCTAAGTTACTGGATGTTGTGTTCTTGTCTGTGACCTAAATTTTGTAGTAAATGAAACTCACAACTGCAACAACAACAACAACTACTACTACTACTAGTAGTAGTAGGAGTGCTACTAGTGCTATTATAACATTCATACTACTATGATTTACCTGATATTATGTATCTTCTCTTTCCATTTTTTCCTTTGTGCACTCTTGCCACCACAAGAATTACTGCCTTTATTTAATAGCATCCAATTCTAAACTTCACACTAGATTGATTTTCTTGATTTCACTACTTTCCCTGCCATTAGCTGTAATCTTCTCTTTGTGTGGATCTGCTAGTAGATACTCACTGAATTGATTTCTTCAATTCATCAGCTGCGTTATTTTTCCACAGTCATTCAGTTTTGTACTAGTACTAAGAGGAGTGCGGATTGGGGTACTAGTGTTCACCTTGTGCAACATCAGTAGCCCACTAGTTTCAGCAGTACTAGCTAGTAGTGGTAGTAACAAGCAAACACAGCAACAAGAAGTAATACCTACTTGATGCTGATATGAAATGTATTGTGAAAATGTTCATACTCCTATTGCTATTACTACTGCTACTACTAGTAGTAGTAGTACTACAATTAGTGGTACTAGTTTGAATGTTAGTAGAGAGTGGTGATTGGGAGAGATACTAGTTTGAATGTTAGTAGAGAGTGGTGAATGGGAGAATTGGCATAGATTAAGTGGTACAAACTTTTCATTGTTCACTCCAGCAAGTAAATTTTGATTGGTACCAATAATGGAATATGCATGTTTACTTGATGTTGCAAAAATTAACCCTAGCACAATGTCAAAACTAGCACTAGTACTACTAATAGTACTACTAGTAAGAAAACTAACAAAAATAATCTTATCATTTTCCAATGATAATAACAGGACAAACAGTCCATCTGAAATGAACAAAAATGATAATAAGAATTGTAAATGGATTGGATGTATTCTTGTTGTAGAGTTTTTATTATTATTATTATTTTTTAAACGAAGTTCTTCTTACTAGTTAGTACAACTACTTGTCATGCTTTGGATGAAGCTGGGCAGTTTCACTAGTATTTTGCATCAAAGTTAAAGGGAAAATGTTGTTGGGGATGAATTWTAAATTTTCATCTGCTTATGGGATATAATTTTTGATGTATTACACATCATCACTCTAAAGAAGTATCAGTCTAACAAGAAGTTATTGGGTCATTTCCACAGTAGTAGTAACCCAGTAGGTACCTAAGAAGATTAGCTGTCAATGAAGCAGTTGGATTATTGTTCTTGGTGCTGCAGTTGCAACTAGTGGCACAGGTGGCACATGCATGCTGGAGTTACCACAGCAGGTGCTGGTGGAGTTACGGGTGAAAACAAACCAAAAAATGTTGAGAACTATTTGAGTCATTTCTACCACCACGACTACTGTCAAGGAAAACCAGGGATTTATGCCGCAACAACTACTACCAGTATTTGTATTTATTAATAAAAAAGAAACCCTACAAATTCTTGGGATTATTTCATGGGTTATTTATACTAGGTTAGTAGTAATTTAGGAACCCATCATGCTTGGAAAGGAGGTGGGTGCTGGGGGGTCAAAATAGTATCCCATCATGAAATCATGTCCTTGTCTCCACATTGTTGTGGTGGATTTCTACAAACAAGAAGGATGGATGGTGGGCTGCATGGCAATGGTGTGATCAGAAATTCCCTTATGCCCACCACCACCACCAGAAGCCTTAAATTTTGGGTCTTATTTCCTTTTCTGGTGATATTGAGTGAAGAAGAACCATCTTTGAGGGCAACAGCATCAACAGCTGGTGGTCCTTCAAACAAGAAATAACATACTATATGTCTAGTACATTCCCTGTTTGGAACATTGACTTTGCTTATTTTCAAGCTAACTGTGACTATGATCAATCAGAAATGGCAGCAAGAAGCAAGAATAGTACTAAGAACAGCAGAGGAGGAACAAYAGTGAGAAGAAGAACTCCTCCTCACAAGAAAGAACAAGAAGAAGAAGAGCGAAGAAAGCAGATCAGCCACCCTTGTCCTGCTCCTATCCATAATAGTATACTACTGTGGCTAGTACTAGTATCCAAGTGGACTTTTTGCATCATGTCATCAAGTACTCTTTTTCTTCCTTTTGCTCACAACTTTGTACAAGCATTCATTTATGTGGAAAGGATTGAAAAAAAGTACTGGCGGCGAAGAGTCAGAACGGCAAAAGATGATCACTTTGCACCAGCCGTGAATCGAACACGGGGCCCAACGATGGCAACGTTGGATTTTACCACTAAACCACTGGTGCTTCTGAGCGTAGGCCTGAAATAATAAATTATGAATCCTTTTACCTCGAACACTAATATTTTATTTTTATTTAAACGTCGAAATGATTTCATCACTATATTATTCGTGATATTAATCATGTTCGTCATCGTGCTTGTAACTATCAGATACGAGTAGTGTCGAGAACAACCGAAAATACTTGTGAAGGGGGAGGGAGGCTCTTGATTTTGCTGTCATGTACAAATGAATCTTAGAAGTAGCTTTTATGCATTGCGATCATGTTGGCGTTATCGCAGCAGCARTCATCATTGATCATACATCGCATCTTTTCTACCCACCTCTACGAAATTGCGTCGGAAATATTCTTTCRATTACAAGCTTACTATGAATTATTATAAAAAAACATTTYATTTATTCATTYGAAAATTTTCGGAATAGGACCAGCTACAACGACTGACTGGTGATATTCTGAATTCAGCCTCAATTTCCAATTCCTAGATTATGGCAGGACAGCTACAACGCACGAACGGAGCTCATCACAGTGCCCTATCTGYGATTCTTTACGTTTCACTCAATGTCATTATGCGTAGCAMACAAATGATCGAAACCAAGAGTTGCSTTTTGCTTGGTGRTAATCGTATTGCGTTTCCATTAAGACTTTAATAGTCTTACTGTGTTCCATTACCTCGGCRGCAAGTTTATCTTCTGCWAGCGACAGAGAAGATTCAAGCTCTASAATCTTCTTYTTKATGTYCGCAATTTCGTCATCYTTCGATGYTAAGGCGTTTGCGTTTTGAAGCTTCATATCTTCAGCGGCCTGCTGCAGTTGAAAAATCTCCTTGTCTTTATTGGCAATCTGCATCATGTGAGCGAGYTCATTTCTCATAACTTCAATGTGGGTGAATGTCAGAAACTTTTCAGTTTTGCTATTGATAGTCGAACTTTCTATTTCATTTCKTTCTTCTGTRTTCTGTTGTTCGAAGTTGTCAGTTTTGTTATCGTTACTCCTCAGCACAGAAACACCTCTTACTTCTCTTTCGGGAGAGGGAACATCATCGATGRTTAATTGGTTTTCGATATCATGATCTTGGAAGAGAAATGGTTCGCATGATTCCTCATCTTCAGATAAAGAATAMGTWATCGCTGCTTCGATCACAGGAGATTCTGTCTCCGTCTTCTCCGTGAAATCCTTGCTTGTATTGGACCGAAAAATACCAAGACTTTTGTGGTTCACCAATTGCGATGATGATTTGGAACTTGAGCGCCTCTTTTGRCTTCGAAATATCTTAAATAGCTTTGCCATTTTTGTTTTTATTCTTATTCTTTGGTTCTATTCGAAAAATTGTATTGATCGTCACAATGAGATGAATAACATGGTAGCGAATGTCAAACAAAATTATGAGTTTCGAAAGAAAAATCAAATTCAGCGATTTATTTTGTGAGGTAGCAACGGTAACTCAGCCCGCGACCAAGAGGTGTCACAATCATTAAAAATACATTACCGTACCGYACTGTACGGTCTTCTACGGTTTGTACGTATGATGCGAAAACATACTCTTACATACTAATGTACTGTAGCGAARTACCTRCACTYGCAAACGTGTACTGCMTGTACWGATATTCGAATGCTCCGACTAAAATTATTATTATTTTTTTCGAAAGTGAAGTTTAGCCGACTGACTGGATAGAGTTGTTGCTTTGGTACCGAATGCAAAGTGGTACGATACCCATAGTTTAGACTATAGACGGCCTGCTAGAAGCTAGAAACCTGCCGCATCCGTACAATCGAAGTAGCGAAACGACCTGCCAGTGGATCTTTCAAAAAAGAAACAAACACCATCATACCACTCTCTTATAATCATGAACGACGGATCAATGTGAGGCAAAATAGAGACAGGATTGGGTACCGAAATGGATTTCTCTGGGGACTGAACTACTCGATTGAATCGCTCTGACACAGTTATCAACTTGCTCCTCTTTCTGCTTGCAACACCTCTCTTCTATGCTATAGATATCTCCGAGTCAAACGTCTCAATCAAACCTATTTCATAGTCTGCAACGAGGACGACACAGTCGGATATCTCAAAGACCAGATATCACTGGCCACCAAGAAAGAAACCAAGGCAGAGYGCATGAGAATCATTCAGCCCAAGGATAATTTACCATTGGATGACGACGACGCGAAACTCTCAAAATATGAAGAATTAAAAAACGACTCCGTGGTTTACGTTGTGTTCCAGATTGCCGAGAACGAATGGGAAGGAGTTCATGTAGAAGACACTGATGCACCAATGGGAGGGGAAGCTTCTTAGATTGAAAAATCTATCAAGGAAGTGTGTCAAGCATAACAAGATCGCAAGCGAACGCCACGACGACGTTTATGCGTGAAAACGACTGGGAGCTTTTAGTTCATATATGGTCCCTGAATTAGAATAGTTCTATGATTTAACCCCGATGGTAATGATTCGAATGACCAGAGGAAGCAACAAAGCTTCGCGTTTGGCAACATCAAAACAATAGTAAATGAGGTCGTAAGAACCTACGTTTTCAAATATCAGTTGTTTCGAGAACACATAAACCAAAAGATTGCTATACTGTCGCTGCTGCCTCCTTCGACTTTTGAATCATGCAGGAATCAAGGCAAAAAGAGATCAGCTTGTCTAACTTGTCGCATACTCGTTGGTTCTGTACATCCTCTGAAGCCCGGGAAATTTCTTTCCAGTGTTCAAGCATAGAATGCCGGGTTACACCTACTTTTGTGTATTCGATATGKGCCAAAAAGCGGGAAACGTCCGACTGCACTGGCCCATCTAACTGCATGAACTCTTTTCCCGTGGCTGTGATCTTATATTCGTTGTTGTCATTAGAGTSGCGTCCATCTCTGGATCTCCTCTTCGAAAACTTCAAATGTGGCAAATCCAAAGAGTTCAGGTCCTGCGAATGCTCCTTGTACCAATCTTGCTGAGTGATAAACTCAAACATTTCTGGCAAATCTAATTTCCTAGCAGCCAATGTTTCGCTGTCTTCCCCTGTTGCTGATGCCACGGTCAACAAAGATCTACAGACTGTTTCCAATTTGTTTTCGTACCGGCGAATGAATCCCGACAGTCGATCTGTTTCTCGAATCATGGGTTCCATGGAATGAACAGRTCTTGGCGAAGATGCTGGAAGCTTCTTTGGAGATCGACTGATACTTCTGCTGATACTAAATGGTTCTTCCACTTTCTGACGTTGCTTCATGGATAACTCCGAAGTTTGTGAGCGTTTTGTCGAATAATTTTTAGCTTCAATTCCATTTACCACTGCTGAGTCTTTTGCGTTCGTTTTGCATAATCGATTATCGTCAATGACAATACGTGAACTTGCATTTCGAATCGCCATAGCTCGTTGCCTAGTTTCTTTAACCTTCCGCCTCTTTTCTGCCAGGGACCTACTAGGACTAACATCAGTAAGAAAATTAGTACGGAAAASAGCTGGATCAGCGATGACGCTGCCTTGAGTTGTTTGGACAGCMACTCGCTCAGGGCTTTGAGGAGGGGTTATGTTGGTAGAAACAGTTTTTGTTTGGATTGATGGAGCCAGCAATTGAGTTTGATCTTCGACGGTTGGAGTTTTCGTTTTTCCTTGCAATGCTTCCT